AAGAATTAAATAAAAAAAATCATTTTATTATAACTTACTCAGCAATGTGGAGTGATGGTCCATTACGTTATAATTTTGAGAATATGAAAGGGACAAGAAAATCAAATGAAATGGTTACTTTAAAATATTTTCATAACTCCAAAAATATGATTAATGAATTTTTGAATAAGGTATTGCACAAAGTTTTTTTTAAAGCTTTACATCCTTTTTTTTAATATATATTTTATTGTATATATATATATATATATATTTAATAGGTTATATTGTATGTGATGATGAACGAAAACAACAAAAACGAACTTCATTTGAAAATATATGGAATATCTCAAGATCCAAATACAAATGAGTATATCATGATCATGCAAGAATATCAAGATGAGAAATATGGTAAAAGATACGAAAATATGGAGGATGAATGGTGTATATTATGCCAAATGTATGATATTAAAATAAATTCTACAAGTTGGACTAGTGGTGATGAAGAAATTGACGAATTAATTAGTGAATTTACTCAAGAAATACAATTGAAAATTATTAAATCATGTGATACAATATTTGAATGGATACCATATAATCGATTCATTAATATTAAGGAAGTAGGTAAAGGTCATTTTATGACAATTTATTCAGCAATATGGAAAGATGGTCCGTTACATTATGATTTAAAAAGCGTGAAAGGGACAAGAAAATCAAATAAGAATGTTACTTTAAAATGTTATTATAATTCACATGATAAGATTAATAAAATTTTGGAAAAGGTATAGTACAAATTTTTTTAAATAAATATCTAAATACTTTCTTTTTTTTTTTATATAAATAATTAATAATGAAAGTTTTTATATCTTAATACAAAGGTTAAAACATATCCAATAAATAGAATTAATGGAACTCTTGGAATATCTCAAAATCCATATACAAAAGATTATGTTATAGTATTTCAAGGTGATTATTGTGAAAGATGTGATGAAGAATATTCAGGTATAATACTTAATTGGTGTAAATCATGTTATAAAAATGATCTAAAAATGAATTTTATAAATTGGACAAGTGGAAATGAAGATATTGATAATTTCATTCAAGAAATTCAATTAAATTTTGATGATATTATTTCCCGTGATTCGTCATTTCAATGGATACCATATAATGAATTTTATAATATTAAAGAAAAAAATGATGATAAAGTATTATCATATTCAGCAACATGGAAAGATGGACCATTAAGCTATTATGATTCTAAGGATAAGAATATAATAAGAGATTCAAATGAAAAGGTTACTTTAAAATACTTGTCTGACACACAAAATATTATCAATGAATTTTTGAGCAAGGTATGAAAATTATATATTGCATTTACAGTAATTGCTTTTTATTTGTATATAATAAAGGGTATACATTTTTTTTAAATAGGTTAATTTTATAAATATATATGGAATAACTCAAAATCCGAATACAAAAGATTATTTTATAGTTTTTCAAGATGAATATTGTGAAAAATGTAATGAAAAATATATGAATGTGATAGATAAATGGTGTAACCCATGTCAAAAAACATATTTAAAAATGAATTTTATAAAATGGACGAGTGGAAATGAAAAGATTGATAATTATATTCAAGAAATTCAATTAAAATTTGGTAATATTTTATTATTTGGTTCATTATTTCGATGGATATCATATAATAATTTTTATGATATTAAAGTAATAAGTAAAAATGATTTTAATACATTATATTCAGCAATATTTGAATTGGATGTATTGTATTATAATGATAATAGAAAAGCATTGATAAAAGTTATTTTAAAATGTTTACATAACTCACAATATATGATTGATGAATTTCTAAATGAGGTAACGTAATTTATATAATTGAATAATGTAGTATATATCGTATGTACAATAAAGTAAATATACTGTATATAGTATATAGTAATACTATTTTTTTTCATATCATATTAGGTTGAATTATATTCAATGAATCAATTCAATAATAATTTCGGAATATATGGAATATCTCAAGATCCGAAGACAAAAGATTATATTATGATTCTTGAAACTATATATTGTGAAAAATGTGGAAAACAATATCCAGATATAATTAATGAATGGTGTAAATCATGTCAAATAGAAGATTTAAAATTAAATTTTATGAATTGGACTAGTAAAAATAAAATTATTGATTATCTTATTCAAGGAATACAATTAAGAATGGTCAATATAGTATTTGAATGGATACCATATGATCAATTTAATGATATTAAACAAATAAAGAAAAGCACTAATAATTTAGATAATGTAAATATTTATTCATCAGATGAAGTAGCAATATGGAAAGATGGTCCATTAAATTATAATAGATTTCAAAAGGAATTGATAAGAGAATCAAATAAAAAGGTTGTTTTAAAGTACTTGCATAATTTATTAGTGCAAAATGTACAAGATGCGAAAGAATTAACAACAGAGGTATGGAATCAATATTTTTAATTTAATAATTGCAAAATCTATTATTATCTAACATATACATATATATTTTTAAATAGATTGCAAATTATTCTGTTAATGAAGATAATAATGTCACTCTTAAAATATATGGGATATCTCAACATCCAAATACAAAAGATTATATTCTAGTTATTCAAAATGGATTTTGTGAAAATTGTGGTAGAAAATATTTAAGAAAAGATGAATGCTGTGGTTATTGTCGAACAGATTATTTAAAAGAAAATTACAAAAATTGGACTAGTGAAAATGAAGTAATTGATAAATTTATTCAAGAAATACAATTAGAAAGTTATAATATAATTGAATGGATACCATATAGTCAGTTTGATAATGTTAAAGAATTAAATCAAGATGAAATTTATACAACATATTTAGCAATATGGAAGGATGGTCCATTATCTTATAAAATGGAATTTACAAGAGAATCAAATAAAAAGGTTATTTTAAATCGTATATGTAACTCACAAAATACGATTGATGAATTTTTTTATAAAGTATAATGAAATTTCTATTTAAATTTTTTTAATATTATACATTAGTTAATATTTTATTTTACTACTAGGTTAATAAAACACACACTGGAATTTTATGTGGTATATCTCAAGATCCGGATACAAATGATTATATTATGGTTTTTCAGGATGGATATTGTGAAAAATGTGGTAAAGAATGTACAAATTTAAATTATAAAAGGTGTAAATCATGTCAAATACATTATTTAAAATTAAATATGCCAAATTGGGTCAGTGAAAATGAACAAATTAATGATTTCATTCAAAATGTACAATTAAATTTTAATAATATTTCATACGATTTATTATTTCAATGGATACCATATAACGAATTTTATGATGTTAAAGAAATAGAAAAAATTGGTAATGATGATTTTGACAAAATATATTCGGCAATATATTTTGCAATAAAGAAGGTTTCATCAGTAATTTCAACGAGAATACCAACAAGAATTACTTTAAAATCTTTAAATAACTCACAAAATATGATTGATGAGTTTCTAATTAAGGTAAGAAATTTTAATTTAATTCAAAAAACTTTTTTTTTTAAAAAAATGTAAATATTAATTATCATTTCTTGTTTTAATTAATATAGGTTAAAACTAATATAATTGATAATAATTTTAAAGTATATGGAATATCTCAAAATCCAAATACGAAAGATTATATTATGGTTCTCCAAGCTAGTTTTTGTACAATATGTGGTTATCAACATGAAAATATATCAGATCAAAAATGGAAATCATGTCAAATAAATTATGTAAAACCAAATTTGATCAGTAAAAGTGAGCAAATTGATAAATTTATTCAAGAAATACAATTAAAAATTAATAATTCAAGTGATGTAATATTTGAATGGATAGCATACGATCAATTTTATAATATTAAAGAAATAAGAAATGATTTGAGTATAGCATTATGGAAGAATGGACCATTACAATATGATATACATAAAAGGAAATTCTCAAGAAACAAATATAAAAAGGTTGCTTTAAAATATTTACAAGATATGATTGATAAGGACAAGGTATAAGTTTATGGATTTATATATTAAATTTAGTGTAATTTTTTTTTTTTAGTATTAATTTCTTTTTTTTATTAATTTAGATTATGAAATATATTGATAATAATACAAAAGATAATAAAATTTATGGAATATCTCAAAATTCAGATACAAAAGATTATATCATGGTTTTTGAGAATAAATATTGTATAGAATGTAATAAACAATACGTAGATATAGAAGATGAATGGTGTAAATCATGTAGAATAAATGAAATAGAAAAATTTACAAATTGGACTGAAAATGAAAAAATTGATAATCTTATTCGAGAATTACGATTAAAAATTAATCGATCAAGTGATATAATATTTGAATGGATACCATATGATCAATTTAGTGATATTGAGGAAATAGGAGAAGGTGGTTTTGCTAAAGTATATTCAGCAATATGGAAGCGGCCAACAAAAACAATTGCAAATAATAATGATATTATATATTCAACAGAATCAGAAGATGAAAAGGTAACAGTTGCTTTAAAATGTATATATAATTCTCAAAATATCACTAATGAATTTTTAAATGAGGTATGTTTCAAATTTAAATTTGATTTTAAACTGAACTTTTAATATAATAATTTCTTGTTTTAATATATACTGTAGATCAAAGCGTATTCAATTGAAAGTAGTTTTTTTTCATCAGGTATTCTTAGAATATATGGAATATCTCAGAATCCTGATACAAAAGAATATATTATTGTTTTCGAATATGCAGAAGGTGGAGATCTTATTCATTGGATAAATATAAATTTTAAAAACTTTGAGTGGTCATATAAAATAGAAGTATTATCAAGTATTATTTATAGTCTTGGTAAAATTCATCAAAATCAAATGGTTCATCGTGATTTTCATCCAGGAAATATATTATTTAAGGATACTTTTACTTCTTTTTATAGATATAATACAGAATGTAATATACGTATTTCAGATATGGGACTATGTAGTTTATGTGAAGAAGTTGGTAAAACAGATGAATCAAAATTGTGCGGTGTTATGCCTTATATGGCTCCTGAAGTATTAAGATCTAACCCTTATACTCAAGCAGCTGATATATATAGTTTTGGTATGATCATGTATGTAATAGCAACTGGAAAACAACCTTTTTCAGATCGTGCACATGATCTATATCTAGCATTAGATATATGTGAGGATGGAATTAGACCTAAAATAAAAGAGCAAGAAGCACCAAGATGTTATATTGACTTGATGGAAAAATGTTTAGATGCAAATCCAGATAATAGACCAAATGCTATTGAAATACAAGAATCGTTTAAATTATTTAAAGAACAACAACAATATGAAATTGAAGGGCAATTTAAGGAAGCAGATAAATATAAAGAAATAGAAGCATTTATTAAAAGAAATCAGCATCCACAAGCTATTTATATTTCTCGAGTACTTAATCTCGACTTTTCCATATCACAGCCGATTTATGAACCCCAAAATTCAATTGATGTTAAGCATATTTAAAAGGCTTAGTCAATTCAATTGATCAGCACGTAATACTTACAGTATACTTTCATTAAACTCATAAGATAAATAAAATATTTTATACTTCTGTTCTTATCTTTATTATAAAAATAAATATAATAAATAAAATACTTCTTTCTGTTTATTGAATTATTAATTTCCATAAGTACATAACGATAAAATGAAAGAAATAGGTAAATTACCCCATGAATCGTATGATAATAGGACATTTATTTGGATCATCTTCCAACATTCTAAAAATTAAATAATAATTGAATTTAAGATTGCATAATTTTTGCCTTTATATTATTTACTATATTCAATAGGAATATTTTTGATAACTTTTTCTCGTTATCCTTCTTTAATGTCCATAATTAGATTTGCATCATATTCTACTTCTTCAGCATAAAAGGGTCTATAACCACTTAAAATTTGCCAAAAGACGGAGAACTCCAATACTATAGACATCAGTCTTTGGATTTAAATTGTATAATTAGCTCTTACTTTTAATATCTTAGATCAACATACTAAGAGATAACACCGCCAAACATATCTGTTAAATTACTATATATATTATTTATTTTCTTTGACAAACCAAAATCTGCTAACTTTATTTTATCTTGAAATACAAGTACATTTGGTACATTTTGTGCATGCTATAAGTAATGACATGTATACAGTATATTATTATATTGTTAATTGCTTGATATAAACAAAGTCAAATAAAAAAAAAATTACTAAATAAATTTGTTATATTACCAAATCACAATGGATAATTTCTTTAAACTGGCAAACAATTTACAGCATTTGCAAGTTGATATTTATCATTTCACCCAAGTTTATCAAAATTCTTTCTTAAATAAGATTGCAACCAGCTAAAGCTCCGAACGGTTCCGGTTTAACCCGAAAACCGAACCGGATCTGGGTCAAAAATACGGTTCGGTTCTAAATAATTTTAATCTGAAATGTTCGGTTCGGTTCTGGTTCGATTCAGTTTTTTTTACAGCTGTTTTCATAAGACCTGGGACAAAATAAATTTATCAGGATCACGTGCCCATCTAAAAATACCGGATCGGCGGATCGGCGGATCGGTAGTTTGTCCCAGGTCTTTATGAAAACAGCTGTAATAATCCGAACTGGGAACCAAACCGGGAACCGGTAGAACCGATGAAAAAAATCTTAAAAAAATAAAAAAAATTTTTTTTTTTTACCCAACTTACTTCGCTAAAGTTTTTATTATCCAACTTTACGAAAGTAAGTTTCGTTTCCTTTACTAATTCCGTCCTTTTTCATTTAAGGTATTTTCGTTTCTTTTCTTATTCTTTCTCGTCCTCCTTTGCTAATGTCGTGCGCTCCTATCTTTTAGGTCTTGGTTCTTTGCGGTTTAATATAAATAACTATTATTGCTTCTATAATAATTTTATTATTAACTAATATGTAATTATATCTTATTACAAATAAAGAATGTAATTTCTTTGTTCATGTACAATCTCTAATAATTGTACAATCGAATATTTTTTTGCATGATTATTAAACAAAATTGCAATGCTTTGATCGTTTATTAATATCTATCCTTATCTACATCCCAACTTCTTCCCGTTACGCAACATTGGTTACGGAAAGGTAAGTAGTTAAGTATTTCTTTTCGTTTTTAGTTTTTTTTGGTCTCCTTTTTCTAATTCCGTTTGCTTTCTTTCTGGTTTTAGGTTTCCGGTTCTTTGAGGTTCTTGATAGGAAGGTTAGTGCTTTTTCGTTTTCTATTTTTTGTTGTTTCCTTGGTTTTCTTTTCTCATATTCAAATGTCTTCTCTTCTTTCTTCTTTAGGTTTTCATTTCTTTGCGACACTTCACGGAAAGGTCGAAGTTTCTTTTTTTTCGGTTTCCTTTTTTTAATTTTGTTCGCCTTCTTTCTTTTAGGATTGCGGTTCTTCACACGAAGGCAAGTTTTTTTTTCATTTTTTTTCGATTTTTTTCTTTACTTCCTTTCCAACTCTTATGTCTTCTCTTCTTACTTTCAGGTTTCGTTTCTTTGTGATTGTTCACAGGAAGACAGGTGTGATTTTTTTTCGGATTTTTCTTTTTTTTAGTTTCCTTTCCGTTATAATTTCTAATTTCGTCCGTCATTCTTTTAGGTTTTCAGTTCTTGCAGTTCTCCACAGAAAGGGAGGTGCTTGTAATTTTTTTTCCTTTTCTTCGTTTCTTTCGTTCTTCTTTACTAATTTCGTCCCTTTCTTTTAGATTTTCGGTCTTTTGGAGGTTTCTCATCAGTGTGTTGTTTATGACTGCTCTGATTTGATGTTTAGCTTCTTTCATTCATCTCAAAATTATGATTTTTTTTTTATTTACTTATAGATCTTAATTCTTTTTACGGCTCTTTTGGCTCTTTTCGGAAATGTAAGTGTTTTGAAAAAATTTTTTTCTTCATTTCATTTCGTTTCCTTCACTAATCCATCCTTCTCTTTTTAGGCTTTAGTCCATTGGCCCGCTGTTACAGCTCTACAGCTCTTCACGCAGAGAAGTAGGTTTGAATTTTTTTTTTCGTTTCTTTTTAAGGAAACTGTATTAAACATCTTGCCATCTGGCCCTAATGATCTGTCTTGAAGGCAAGAATGCAGTAATTTATTTATTTGTGAAATAAATCAATAAATAGACTCTAACGCTAATATTTGCATTTTTAAATTGGAGCTGATCAAATGAAATTGATGTGTATTGAAGGTCCTTTGGCAATTAATTTTCCTTAACTCTAAAATTATTATTTTACTGTATCAGATATGTTATGAAAATTATTATATTATCAGATTTATTTGTGTCCTTAACGCTTTGTAGTTTTTTCTAATAACAGATAAATAGTATCTAAATATTTTAATCTAACCGTTCTTAACAATACGTTCAATATTTCTAAAAATTGTGTAAAATTTCAACTAATAAAGCGATTATTAACACTCTTCCACTTTCCATTCAATTCTAATAACCACAATAATTTATTTAAATTAATCCTTGCATATTTATAATCTTTAAAGCACGTGCTATACTTTCACAATAGTGACCATCATACGATAATCCGTTAAATTCTAGACTTAACCTATAATATTTTATTGTATTCATTGACATTTCTTCATCGAAGTAATCCAATATTTATTAAATTCCTTTTATCAAATTTAAGTATTTGATTAATACAAATCTGAATATGTTGGAAATCTACCATTAGTTCTTGTGAAGTGAAGAATATAAAACAATTCTCGCCTTGCAATGAAAATGAATTACTGAAATAAATAAATAATTATTTCTTCATTAAACTTTACAGATTTTATCGGATAATTTGAAACAATAATTTCGAGTCGTAAATTAATGTCATTTGAATCACATGTTGTATAAGTGTGTTACAGCGTTTACACACAATTTTTAAAGTTGTAGCATGTTTGTAACTTGTATAATTTATTAAATTTCTAATATTTCTAATAATAAAATTTCATTTGGCAATAAAATTGATTGAAATTTTATTATTCAAAATTAAAGATGAAAATAATTGTGCAAAAAACAATTTTTTTTAAAAAAAAACTAAGTAATAAAAACAATACTATTTTTTAAAAAAATTAATGCTTTAAATAATGCTTATCGTATTATTCATTTAATTATACATTTATTTATTTTTATTGTTTTTCTCATAAACTATGGTTTAGCGGATCTTTTTCTTTTTTTATTTGTTACACTAATATTATCTATTATTCTCAGTATTTTCATTCTTAGTTTTATATTTTTTTTGCTAGTTCATTAAGCTTATTAATAACAACTTGATCAGTTGATCTTGATCTTTATGATATAATGACAATAAAGTCATTACTTCGCAAGGTAATAAATTTTCATTGATAGTTTTTAATACATTTTCAGATAATCCAGAATCAAAAACGAGGTTAAACATTTTATTTAATTGATAATGAGTACAATAACCAAGTTCAAGATGAACGTCCATGCGACCCGGTCGTATGCATGCAGGATCGAGGAAATCAATATGATTAGTTGTCATTATAATTATATTACCCTCCGAAATTATATGTCCATCCAAACATGCTAAAAATGCCGATAAACTAAAATGTTTGTTTTTACATTTCTGTTATGAAGGACAGTTGATTGTGCATCAACATCTTTAAGTACAATTAATTGATTTGACGGTACTGCGCTAAACATCGCACTTAACTCGCTATCGTTCTTTATTAAATGATAAATGTTACGAGATAAAAAAGATGAAATTGCATTTATTAAGCTTGTTTATCCAGTTCCCGGTTTTCCATATAAAAGAATACCCCGTCTATAAGGCATGTCAATTTTTCATAAAAATTTTTGTTATTTAAAAAAGTATCCAATTCCTTTTTCAATAATAATTATTGTTCTTCGTCTAAAACGATACTATCAAGTCCTCTGCAAGATGTTAATTTTCTGTATTTGTTGCCAGCCTGTTTGATTGTTTTCATATCTAAAGCGACCATTGGTCTTTCTTTGAAATTCTAAATAATTTTTGGTAATATTATTTAACAGTGTCGAAACATCATCAACAATTGTTTCAGATTTTTCTAAAGTAGATAAGTATATTGATGGCTTCTCGTTGTTTATAATCGATATGCATGGATAATAATTATCGTTATTTTTATTATTCGTGCTTTTACTATTTTCTGGATTTTATATTTGATGTTAAATTTATTTCCTTTAAATTCAACTGTTATTTCTTGATTATTTATTGGTGATATACTTGAGTCAGGAATTATATTTTTTATTTTTATTGTTTAAATTTGGCAATACATTAAGAATGAATATGCCTTCGTATAATTTTTTAGTTTGATCAGAAATCAGCCATAATAATGATTCATAAATTATATTCTTATTCCAATCATTATAAGGTCCTAAATTATAGTAATCTATTTGAATCGTAATAGAATTTTTTTGGCTTGAATTATCAATTATAAGTTTATATATTAATGCGTAAATTAAGTAAGCAAAAGTTGTAAAACCAGAAGCAATAACTGGAAAATCGAAAATTTGATCAAAATAAAATTCTATTATTAAAAAATTAATTTTATTTAACGTTCTTTTAGCATTATTAAAAACAGATAATCAAGATCATAGGATAAGTCATCTACGCAAAGAATTTGGATCAAAGAGTTTGATTATCTGAATTATATAATTTAGCGTAGTATTATTCTGGAATTTTATTATATTTCTTTAAACCATCGCTCGATGCCTCTTTTTGGTAATTTGGAATGATTATCTTGCATAGCATATAAACAAAATTCACAGTAACACAATGATCGTGTATCCTTAATAATAAATTCCAATAATGTGAGTTTAATTTTAAGATGAATTTTCTTATTACATAATTTGGTTCTTTGTTATATTATCGTTGTTAATAACAATATTTCTATTTTTTATGTATACTTAGCATTTCAATTACAATTTGACAGTACAATCAACAATTTATTATTTTATATTATTTTTATTTTTAAAGATTTTTCTGAATAAAATATAGCGATTAACAATATTTTGTTAGTAATTTTTAATTTGATTATTGATAGTATGAAAAGAAGTTGTATTGTTTGCGGAAAACAATATTAAATTGCAAGAATTATTTCCTCAAAAGGATTAGTAGGCGATGAAATCCTTTCTAGTTATAATTTAATTCAGATAACTTCTCCTCTTTACGCTCATCTTCTCACGATCATTATTATTATTCATAAATAATAAATTGTAATGAAAATTTTAAATTGTATTATTGTATTTTCAGAATTGTTTTTTCTAATTTTTTTTTAATCTATATCGATTTGTTAAACTCTAAACCTAAAAATAATTATTTTTAAACCAAAAAGTATTCACGCATTAATATTGATTATTAAATAAATAATACATATTATAATAATCATAATAATGAAAACTTTCAACTTGAAAATAATACTCTAACAGTAGATTAAAATTGTGTTTGTTTAAAAATCTAGTTTAATTGTATTTTCTAATCGCCGAATACTCGTCTGCTAATCCAAAAATCATTTTTAAATTAGCGTACGAATATTAAGTATTTTTTTTAACATTATCCTCCTTTATTTATAAGTTTTAATGTTATACGAAGTGATTACGAACATTACACAGACAGAGTGACCATGACCGATAAAATCGTGTAAAAAATTTTATCAGAAGTCTCTTTACCCACTTCAAACCTACACTCAATAAATGAAGGTAATCCATAGTTTGAAGGTACAAAATGTTCTCTCACTATTTTAGTAACTTTAATACTAGAATAGATAAATTTAAATTTGAAAATATGTATTAAAGTAGGTTGGTACATTAATGCATAAAATAACTATTTTTAATATTAATCGAATTTTTTATTATTATATTGATCTTAGAATTTTAGGAATTTTTTGTAGGTGCGGCAAATAACAGTGACTACTTCTAGTACTATTAAAAAAATTATTATTTATTTAATAGTTATGAGATCATACCGGTATAATGATACACTGTATGAATGATAGTATGAATGATGCTTATTTTATTTATTCGCCCAAAAGTATTATATAGGTGAGAATATTTATAGAAGAGTTAATAAATTAGCGATGTTAGATCTATACAAATTTTCATTTTCTTTCTTTTCTATGATTAACGAAAACAAACTATGAAATTTCTTTCACTTTATTCAATATGATTTTTCAAATTCTAAATCTAGTTGAAATAGGCATATCTTTTATACAGATTTGGAATCAAGACTTTTAATTATTCAATTTAATTACAGAATTTAATTTCTCCTTATTATTTTATTATTTCTCTTATGATAAATAAATCTATTTTATTTATTTTATTAATTTAGCTCGATAGTTCGATTACATAACTATATAATCCTAGGAGTTAAAGAAAGTAACTAACAATTACATTCTTTTAGTTGTTAGATTGTAATTATAGATAGATTTCTAAAAAAAATCAGTTCAGTTCACTTACTTATAAATCTTACTTTAATTCAACTTTTACCAGCGGGTTCTGATCGAATATTTCAAGCAATTTATCATTATTCATTTTGGTTTTTTTTTTGATATTAAATACCGCGATTTGTGTCATATTTATACTTGATATACTAGCGAATAAATAAATGAAATAATATTAATAAACAAAATATTAAAATATTACACATATATACATTACCTCAATGTCTTTTTTTCAGAAAGATATTTGGTTCTGCATTTATCGCATAAAGAATTGCCTTTCATTAGAGAACAATACGCCATTGGGAGATGTGAAAACGAAAATAAACTCTGTCCTACATAACAAATAATAATTACGTCATTACGTCATTGATTAAATCTCGCATGGCGGGACAGGAATTCGCAATATATTCCTGTCGTCATGCCCTGGACATGAATTTGCATATAATTGTTCCTGTCGCAATTTATCATGCCGGGACAGGAAATGGGATCGATGTCGAACACACAACTAAAAGGATCGATGTCGAGCAGTCAAATCAACAGGATCGACGTCGAACATATAGGATCGATGACGAGCAGTCAAATAAAAAGGATCGATGCCAAACTTAGGATCGTTGTCGAAAACACAACATAAGATCGATGTCGAAGAAATTCGAAAGAAATAAATCACAAGTTTTAGAAGCTAATATTAGGTTTATTGCATCGAATCAAAACATAATAATTTGAAGATCAAATGATTTAATGTTGTAATAAATAATGCTTAAAAAACAAATCGATTTCATTAATGAAATAAAAATAAGTAATTAGTATATCTGATTATGATTTGTTATTATGTATCAGCGCTTTAATTCTTAATTATTGTATATGTTCTATGTAAGCACTGGACATTTTTCATGTATGTTATTGATCACTTTATAATAGTGATACACAAATTTTGGTCACTTTATAATTAGTGATATACAAAATTTTGATCACATTATTATAAAATAATAAATAAGATACGCGAAAAAGGTCTCAGTTGCTTTACGTCATACATATCCAATAACTTTATTATCAGTCATGTTTATGATAACTGATTTACACTAGGATGCTACTCTATCATGTGGCCTTCGGCCATATGATATACATAGCAATCCTAGTGGTAAATCAGTTATCATCTACAACATGACCGATAACAATTACTTATTGGTCATTTGGATTGAATATATCGACATAATAACAAATTTATCATGCGATCAATGCTTGCATATAATCTTACCAATAAATAATACATTGGTAAATAATACATTAATACATTAATATTATAATATATAAATAAACACACTACCGAATTATTCATTAGTGATAAAAATAAACTCTGTCAAGTCTGTAAAGAGATAAAAATAAGAAATATTTATTCTGTGGAACACGAAATTTGCGAATCACTTCATTTCTCAATACAAAAACCGCACATATTATATCATTGTCCGAAGCGTTAGCGAAGGACTATTTACTGTACTGAACTAGCAAAATTTGTTTTAACCCCCGTTTTTGTCCCTTTCACAATCGACAATGTTATTTCCTTTTTTCGAACAACCATTTCATTTATCTTCTGTTTTTACCCGCTTCAATGATTCCTGCGATTCTATCTGGCGATCAAACACCCACTTGATTTGTCCAAATAAGTTCTTGAGTTTTCAAGCATAAGACTTCTATCGAACACACTCTCATTAATGGGAAAAGTAAATGGTGCTCGCGAACTCAATAATACCTCGACATTCCCATTATCATTGTCATTGCATTCGCCAGTATTGACTAACTTAATTATGACCCAGTCTACCCCTGTCGAAACGATACCATACATTATATCTTCACGCAAAGCCTCATTGAATGTGCGTTTCTTTTTATTACGCTGAGACGAAGCTTGTAGCTGGATTGCATTTTGACCAACTCCCTGATTAATATCCTCTCTTTTAGCCTCGGTAACAACGATAATAGTATCCCCAATCTTGATAACCCAATCGCTGATCAGTGAAAGATAGTCAAAAAAGTTAATATATAAACCTTTTTTTAGACTTTCTTGGGATCTTTTTGTAATAAAAAAACCGATTCTTATTAGTTATATCATAATCATAATGAAAAAAAAAAATCGGTTTTTTTAAAATTTTGCTAGGTGTCCTAACGAAAAAATTGGAATACAATCCAGATCTGGTCCATTTCATTCGTATCGTATTTTTTTTGAGATATTTTGCGGAACTCTGGTACCAATTTAAAACTAATTAATCTTACGGGGTAACTCTATATAATCCTGCTGCTGAAGAGAGTTGTCCTTTAGACTTTGCTGCAAAATAGTATCTCTATTATTGGACTTTCTCTTTTTTAACGGGACCGATGATGTTGTATTCTCTCCGCATCGTTTATTGCATACAACATTAGTCACGTCTTTTAAGGTATTTTGTTGTTTCCATAACTTACTTACCCTTTTAGTATCAGCCTTTGCAAAAAAAAAAGAATAGAAGTGAGAAATAGTACCTCAGATAGTAAAATCAAGTGAAACATCACTCTATAGTGTTTACATCTGATAATAGTATTATTAAAAAGTTAAATTATCACAATAAATATGTATTGATAACATTTTACTAAATTACGGTATATACAAAAAATTTATCTAATAAGTTATTTATTTTCAAATCATTAAATACACCACTGAAATAGAAAAATCATTTTAATAACTCTATCATTTTTTGATATAAAAAAGGACATGGCCAATTTTAAATTACGCACTATACCTTATCATTCCTGTCAACTCTTCCTTTATGCCCAACAACTTCTTGATATGTTTCATTATCAATAGTAAAAGGAAATTCATGACTATGTAATATACAGTTGTTAGTTTCCATATCACGTATATTTATTATTTCTTTCGATTTTATATAATAAGTATCATTGTTATTTGTTGAATCACTTTCTATCAAATGCTCATATATTTCGCGAGTACAACTTACTGTAATATAAAAAAATAATTAATTAACATAATAATTCTAATAAAATGACTGAATATGTTAGGTGTACTGTACCTTCCCAATTTCCAGTTGAAGGGGATTTGTAATCCCCAGATATAAATATGTTTTCGTTAACACCTTTATTTAGAAAATATACTTTGTTTTTACCATAAACAATCGGATTGCTTTCATTTTCAAAATCTGAAACGATCCATAAAGAATTAAGATTGGATAGAGTTTGGCTAGCGAAAACCTTAATCGATATAATTTTAACATTAAAAACATTAAACTAAAAAAAAAAAAATAAGTATAATAAGATTATTACGTACAATAGATCCCTTAGAGCCCGTTTTATAATGCATATTACAACTGGTTAAATATTTTCCAGTTGCGACATGTTTTAGAGAGATACATGAACCAGAACGAATCAATTTTCGTCGTTTTAAAAAGCTTTGATTAAAATATACGATTAAATCATTTAATGATTTAATTTTCTCTAATTATTATTAATAAAATAATATTCCAAAGAATCTTTAGATAATTTCTTTAGTAATAATTCTTTCTGTTTTCCACATCACTAATTTCTGCTTCATAACAATATTTTCTAAATATACTAATAAATTGAACATGATCCTTATTTTTTGGATCAAATTTTAAATTTTGTAATTTTTCTTCAACGGAATATTTAAATAAAGCAAAAAGGGCATCAGTTTTTAAAATATTTAAAATTTCGTCAAAGGTACTTGATTTAGAAACGTCAATCGAAGGATGAATCATGGATTTACAAAATTCCATAATATCTTCCTTTTTTGTAATTTGATTTTTATAACAACATGATTTAATCTTATTTAACCATACTACTGGGTGTATGGTTTCATCGTACTCTACAGGTTCCATTGATATTCAATTTTAAATGACGATATGCCGGAAATTTGTCGTCTTATTTATATCAAAAGAAGATGCCTCAATCAGATGATTGTCAATAGATCATCTTTGAAAATCTCGAATCATACATTATATTCTTATTTATTTCTTTCTCGATAACGTATAATTTTAATCATTCATTATACGAGATGAGTTTGCGCGTCTCTACTTATTGGATGATTCGTTTTACCTTTCAAAATTAATCTTATTTGCAATAACAACTATTTCATTATATGAAACGGATTCTTTAACAATTCAATAATAATATTTTTTTAAAGACTTTTAATGTTGATTATTAAATATTCAGATAATTTGAAAAATTATAATAAATATTATTCGATCATTCGATCATTCACATTTAAAAGGTTAAATTATTGTGATTTCTTACAATAAATGTGTATTGAAAATTATTTTACTAAATTATATACAAAAAATTTATCCGATAAGTTATTCATTTTCAAACAATTCAATACACCACTATAATGAAAAATTAATTATTAATTTAAAGGAATTATTTTATATATAAAAAAGAACATGGCCAATTTTTAATTACGCACTATACCTTATCATTCCCGTCAACTCTTCCTTCATGCCCAACAACTTCTTGATATGTTTCATTACCAATAGTAAAAGGAAATTCATGACTACGTAATATAAAGTTGTTATATTCCATATCACGTATATTTATTGTTTCTTTCGATTTTATATAAGTATCATTGTTATTTGTTGAATCACTTTCTATCAAATGCTCATATATTTCGCGAGTACAACTTACTGTAATATAAAAAATAATAATTAACATAATAATTCTAATAAATGACTGAATATGTTAGGTGTACTGTACCTTCCCAATTTCCAGTTGAAGGGGATTTGTAATTCCTAGATATAACTATGTTTTCGTTAACACCTTTATTTAAAAAATATACTATGCTTTTTCCATAAATAATTGGATTGCTTTCATTTTTTTGGTCATAGTCTAAAACGATCCATAAAGAATTCGGATTGGATAGAGTTTGACTAGCGAAAACCTTAATCGATATAATTTTAACATTAAAAACATTAAACTAAAAAAAAAAATAAGTATAATAAGATTATTACGTACAATAGATCTCTTAGAGCCCGTTTTATAATGCACATTACAACTGGTTAAATATTTTCCAGTTGCGACATGTTTTAGAGTAATACATGAACCAAAACGAATCAATTTTTGTTGTTCTAAAAAACTTTGATTAAAATATATGATTAAATCATTTAATGATTTAATTTTCTCTAAATTATCATTAATAAAATAATATTGAAAAGAATCTTCAGATAATTTTTCTAGTAACAATTTCTTTTGTTCTTCTACATTAATTTCCGCTTCATAACAATATTCTCTGAATATATTAATTAATTGAATATAATTCTTATTTTTTGGATCAAATTTTAACTTTTGTAATTTTTTTTTAACGGAATGCTTAAATGAGATAAAAAAGATATCATTTTTTAAAGTATTTAAAATTTCTTCAAAAGTATTTGCTTTAGATACGTTAATCGAAGGATGAATCATGGATTTACAAAATTCTATAATATCTTCTTTTTTTGTAATTTGATTTTTATAACAATATAATTTGATCGTATTTAACCATACTTCTGGATGTATGGTTTCATCGTACTTTATAAGTTCCATGTTTTCAGACCACACTCCATAAAACGGACGTTACGATTTTCAATTTTTAATGACGATATTCCATTTTCCCACCTATTTATATAAAATCATTTGTACTACACCGAGAAAATCTTCCGTATTTTGGTTAATTTATTGGTCATCTGACAAACTGACAAATCAGTTGATATATAAAATTTCAAATTTCTTTAATTTTCTCGGTTCCTTTTCTTCATTTATCAAAAAGATGCCTCACACTAGTCAAAAAAGAAATATTCGGCCTTGATAAAATTCGGCCCAAATCAATGTCAATTCGGCCTCAATTAGTACAATTAGTAATGATTTACGATTAGACAAAGATTTGACTTTGCCGAATAATGGTAATTTTTGCAAGAATCGATTATCCCATTTGAACCGGCTGATCAGCGAAAGATAGTCAAAAAAGTTAATATATAAACCTATTTTTAGACTTTCTTGGGATCTTTTTGTAATAAAAAAACCGATTCTTATTAGTTATATCATAATGAAAAAAAAAATCGGTTTTTTTTGTTAAAAATCCGATATAGTCCCATTTTTTTTATAAATCAGATTTTACGGTAAAAATTTCCGACAACCCGAAAAGTTCTCAACCAAATTTTGCTAGGTGTCCTAACGAAAAAATTGGAATACAATCCAGATCTGGTCCATTTCATTCGTATCGTATTTTTTTTTGAGATATTTTGCGGAACTCTAGTACCAATTTAAAACTAATTAATCTTACATGGTAACTCTATATAATCCTGTTGCTGAAGAGAGTTGTCCTTTTGACTTTGCTGCAAAATAGTATCTCTATTATTGGACTTTCTCTTTTTTGACGGGACCGATGATGTATTCTCTCCGCATCGTTTATTGCATACAACATTAGTCACGTCTTTTAAGGTATTTTGTTGTTTCCATAACTTACTTACCCTTTTAGTATCAGCCTTTGCAAAAAAAAGAATAGAAGTGAGAAATAGTATAGTAAAATCAAGTGAAACATCATTGATTGATTGATTTAAACTCAGATTCTATAGTGTTTACATCTGATAATAGTATATTATTAAAAAGTTAAATTATCGTGATTTTTTTACAATAAATATGTATTGATAATATTTTACTAAATTACGGTATATACAAAAATTTATCTAATAAGTTATTCATTTTCAAATCATTCAATACACCACTGAAATAAAAAAAAATCATTTTAATAACTCGAATCATTTTTTGATATAAAAAGAACATGGCCAATTTAATTACAAACTATACCTTATCATGCTCGTCAACTCTTCCTTTATGCCCAACAACGTCTTGATATGTAATTCATGACTACGTAATATATAGTTGTTATATTCCATATCACGTATATTTATTATTTCTTTCTATTTTATATAAGTATCATTATTATTTGTTAAATCACTTTCTATATCATAACTTACTGTAAAATAAAAATAATTTAACATAAAAATTCTATTAAATGATTTAAAAATATATTAGGTATACTGTACCTTCCCAATTTCCAGTTGAAGGGGATTTGTAATTATTAGATTCATCAGATATTCATAGAAACCCCCCTTTTTTCATTAAGTAAACTTCACTTTTTCCATAAATAATCGGATTCCTATTATTGTTTTGATCAAGGATCCATAAAGAATTTGAATTGGATAAAGCTTGGCTAGCGAAAACCTTTAACAAATATAATTGTATTAGTATTAAACCAAATAAAAAAACTAAGTAAAAAAGATTATTACATACAATACTTCTCTTAGAGCCCGTTTTATATTGTACATAACGTCTAAAATATTTTCCAGTTGCGACATGCTTTAGAGTAACACATGAACCAAAACGAATCGATTTTTGTTCTAAAAAGCTTTGATTGATTAAATCATTTAATGAATTGATTTTCTCTAAATTATTATTAATAAAATAATATTGAAAAGAATCTTTAGGTCATTTTTCTAGTAACAATTTCTTTTGTTCTTCTACATTGATTTCCGCTTCATAACAATATTCTCGAATATATTAATGAATTGAATATAATTCTTATTTTTTAGATCAAATTTTAACTTTTGTAATTTTTTTTTAACGGAATGTTTAAATGGGATAAAAAGGATATCATTTTTTAAAGTATTTAAAATTTCTTCAAAAGTATTCGCTTTAGATACGTTCATCGAAGGATGAATCATGGATTTAGAAAATTCTAGAATATCTCCTTTTTTGTAATTTGATTTTTTTTATAACAGTATAATTTGATCATACTTCTGGATGTTGTACTGTATTAAGTTCACGCTCCATCAAAAACGGACGTGACGATTTTCTGACGATATTCCATTTTCCCACCTATTTATATCAAATCATTTGTACTACACCGAGAAAATCTTCCGTACTGATTTTGGTTAATCTATTGAAGTCATCTGACAAACTGACAAATCAGTTGATATAAATTTTTCAAATTTTTTTTTTTTTTTAAATCTTTTCGATTTTTTATTTCTTCATTTATCAAAAGATAATGCCTCAATTACCAATAGATATTTTGGAAGAAATTTTTGAAAATCTTGAATCATTAATTCCTACATTACATTCATGTTTATTACTTTCTCGAGAATGTTGTAAAACGATAATTCCAATATTATATCGTCAACCATTTCATTATACTAGAAAAAATCCTTCACCAAAATTAATTGATACATATTTATCAAATATAAAATCAAATGATATTTCACAAATAATTAAAATTGATCTTGAATTATTAGAAAAATTTAATATTGATTTATTAAAATCATCAAAAAATGATGCTGATGATGATAATAATGATTCAAATAATGAAAATCAAAAATTTTCAATATTTAATTATCATTCCCATTTAAAAAGGTTAAATTATCGTGATTTATATGATTTTAGTTTAATTTGGTATAGGGATAAACAAAAAATGAATAATAATAATAATAATAATAATTTAAGGATTAATATTAATAATTATGAAAGATATAAATTTACCAATCCAACGGAAGATGAACCTCATAGTCAAGAACCTATGAGAACTTTATCAAGAATTTTATTAAATCTTTTTATGAGTAAAGGTGCTAAATTGGATTATTTATTTATGGATTCTGGTAAAGAATTAATTGATCAAGGATTAAATATTAACGATATTAACGGTGATAATGATGAAATTGATGATGATGATGATTTTGAAAATTTTATTGATGAAGAGGATAGATATCTTCAAACTCCGACCATATCATTTCCTGTATTTGACAATATTCAAAATTATTTTATAAGTGATTTTGGTTTATCAGAAAATTTTGAAAGAAATTATGTTTTGATTAATGATGATAACAACAACAACAACAACAACAACGACAATAACAACGACAACAACAACGACAATAATAATAATTTTAATAATTATAATAGTGATGATGATTATGATTATAATTATTATAATGAACAAATTCATGGGAAATCAACATTAAGTGTTAATCCTAATCCTATATTAAAAAATTTTTTAGAAAATTTACAAATATTTGGATTTTATGGTAGAGGTAAAAATCAAGAAAAATCTTTTAATAATATTTCATCAATTTGTAATAATATTGAAACTTTAATAATAAATTTAACTGTTAATGATGAATGGAATACTGATAGGGCAAAAAAAGAATTAAAAAGTTTAAATAATTTAATTAATAATCAAAAAAATTTAAAAGAATTTATTTTCGTTGAATATCAAGGAAAATTTTGGTGGAGTCCTTCTTCAAGATTAAAGGATATGGAAATTGATTTCTCTCATCATATACATAATTTATTGGTTGTAGAACTTTATGATGTGGATTTTCAATTATGGAAACCTTTACATGTTTTCGCTTCTTTAACAAATTTAGAAGAATTGGCTTTTATAAGTTGTAGACATCAAGAAAATGTTATGTCTCCATTAAAATATTCTTCTTATAAAAAACTTAAAAAATTATCAATTATTGGTTGGAATGGTATCACTTTAATTGATCCAAAAGTTGTTGAAATTTTAATTGAAAATTCTATTAATTCTTTAAAATCTTTATCAATTATATTAACTCATGATGTATCTACTATAGTATTAAATTTAATTAATAAATTTCAACCAAATTTAGTTGAATTATCTTTAAAATTTGATCAAACTCATTATATTACTTTACAATCTCTTCCTTTTTATGGTTTAAGTAATTTAGAAAAATTAACTTTAAGTAATTGGGGTTACGTTCCTATTGATGTTGAATTAATCTTACCTTTATTGGGAAAAAGTTTACCTTCAAATTTAAAGAAATTACAAATTTTGGCTCGTTGGACTTTTTCAATTAATGCTCTTAAAGATTTTCTTAATAATTGTGAAGCAAAATTAAAATTTATTGATATAAGACATTGTACTGGTATATCTGATGAACATGTTGATCTTATTTGGTCGGGATTAGGTGATAGTTTGGAAAGGTTAATTATTAGAGATACTGAGAATAGAAGATTAAATGATGAAGTACCTTATGGTCAAGTTATTGAAGCAAGAAATGATAATTTTCCTGATATCAATTCTACCAATCCATCATCAAGTTGTAATGTTCCTTCTTCATCAAATGATACTCGTATAACGAATGAAAATTTTAAGGAAGAGAAACCTATTTATATTAAAAGGACTGAGATCGAACCTTCCGAAGATGAGGTTTATTCTTACGTTAGGATTGATCAACTTAGATACAGATGGGAATGATAAATTGTATAAATATGTAGTGAGAAGGAGTTGGAATTATTGCTTTTTTTTTTTATTATTATTTTTTTTTTTTTTATTTGATTTGTTGAACTAATTTGATATAGAAAAAATTGAAAATTAGTTATTTATACTTTTAAAATAAAAAACAATTGTTTAAAATCTTAATAAATTACTTTTAAATTTATCCAATACATTAATGAGATCTCTCGATCAAAAAAAAAAATAAATTAAAAATTTTATTATTAATCTCGATTTAAAATGTCTAATTAAATTAATAAAGGAGAATCAATAACAGCATATCCAGTGGCAACACCACCTTCGTTTGTTTTTCTTCCTTTGGTTCTCAATAAATGTCCTCCAATCTCATTAATAATAACTTCATCTTTACCTTTACCTCCAATAAATATACCATAAATTCCTAATTCTGAAATCATTTCACCTTCGACCAATTCACCTTGTCTTAGGATAATATTTTTCATTAATGGTGGTTGTATTAAATCCATCAAAATATACGATGATCTTTCTGATACTGATAATTTCGATAGAATAGACGGAATGTCATTTGCGTATATATTATTGCCTATTTATTTATAAGAAATTTTAAAATTAAAGAATTCGTAGATCATAAATAAAGAAAAGCATATTTGTTATAATTACCTCCACCTTCACGTTGCGGCTTCATCACATAATATTCAGGATTTCCCAAGGCAAGCTTTACAGCCGCTTCACCTTCAGGTGAAGAATCTAATGGATATAGGCCTGCAAAGCTTGCTCGAAGTCTCTTTGCGTCAGTTGGATCAGTTACATACCTAAATAATATAAATATAATATGATTAAAATATTTTTTCTAAAAATATATATACATATATATACACATCTTTATACCAACTTCTCTAAAACTCCTGGTATAGCCAATACTTGTTGAACCTTTTTAGCACCAACAAGTTGATACGAAACAGATGGACATTTAATTGATTTTGATCGTTCAATCAATAATCTAGCATCCCATTCCTATATAAAATTTTATATTACAAAAAAAATAATCAAAAATAAAATAAAATAAATAAAAAATCACGCTTGAGTAAAAAAATCTACAAACTTTCTTTGTAGGATGCTGTTCAGGTGAATATCCTGAACGGAAATATGTAACCGACACCTCTTTATCATCGCTAATAAATATACAAATTCATTAAAATAATACTTTTTTTAAAAAAATATATATATATACATATACACGATATAGGAATATTTAGAATCGGACTTACATTACTAAAGCTTTGGTATTGGGATCCAACTTTCCTTGTTCATTTATTTCCTTGAGTGTTTTACGTATAATATGTATATTATTACTATAATAAATGGAAAAAAAGAAAAATAATTAATTATTTGAAATCAAGTATCCTCGCGTCTCAATTAACAAAATAAATCTTATTTACTTGTTTAATAAGTCATATTCAATCCATTTTTGATCGAAAATATTCCTTTCCTCATCGATCACAACCATCATAACCACGGCACTAAAATTATAAAATATTATTAAGAAAAAAAAAAAAAATTAAACCGAATACATATTTAAAAAAATTACTTTGGAGACCCATAAAGCTCATGAGCCTTTGCAATTCCTTTAGGTATACTCGTCATTGAATCATTTAACGGCAAGGAATCACTTTTTAATAATTCTGATGAATTATAATACTCAGTAGCTTTCAATAAATATCTAAGAAATTAAATAAAATAAGGATTAGATCACGCGATAAAATTTGTTTTAACCGATTTTGTATTAAGTTCACCTGTGTAATTCTCCAGTTAAATATGATAAACTAGAGAATGAAGAAGAAATTGTATTAAATTCAACTTGTAAAATATTAGCTTCTGTTGCATCTGGTGGAACTTGCAAAAGATAATCCGATCTATGTAATCCCAGAGAAATTGGCTATAAAAAATTTGTCAAATTAGTTTTATAAAATAAGATAAAATATTATAAATATAATTTAATTTACCTGAACAATTCCTTCCTCCTTTACTTTTAAATAGATTTTATAAAGATTATCAACAAAATCATCAACTTTAGTTATCCTAATTTTTTATAAAAATCTCCAATGAATATAAATATACGTTACAACAACAAATAAAATTAATTTTGCTCATACTCTTCAACAACTTGTGTGATGAATTCAGAATCCTGAGATAATTTATGAAATAAAAGATTAAACATAGGTTGTAATTCTATAGCTTCTTCATAAGTTTTTCTTGGAAAAGGTGAAGGAAATAAAGATACAGGTGCGTGCATAACAAAAGAATTATTGGAAACATTAGTTGGTGGACGAATTATTAAGCCATGAGAAAGTGACCAGTCTATTGCTAAATTTTTTAAAGACTGTAAATTTTCATCAGAAATGTTTGGAGGGTATTTGGGGAAGAAAGTTTCAGACATTTTCTGGAGAGAAAATTTATTTTTGAAGTCTACTAGTTAAAGTTCATATCTGATATATATTATAATCGCGTCTTTAAAATTCGGTAAAATTAAAGTCGATCATGACAAATCAAAGCTGGATTATAAATTCGGGATCGGGAGAAGGGAAAATAAACCGCTCTTAAATTTTGGTAAAATTAATTGTCGATCATGACAAATCAAAATCGAAATTTTTCGGCCGCACAACATGTTAAAAAAAAGTGAGAATCGTCACATCGTTATATTTTTAATTTCTCCCTAGAATTTTTATTGTTTTCACTATGAATCATAATAAATATGATGGAACCATTCATCCAGAAGTATGGGTTAGGCAAATTCGATTGAGTTTTTATGATCAAAATAATGAAAATACTAAAAATGAACAAGAAACTGTTGATTATTGTAAATTATTAATTCATCCTTCTATTAAAATTTCTTCCGAAACAAATTCTTTTGTTGGACTTGTTAATGATCTAAAATTGGATACTTCTTATGACGCTTTTAAAAAATCTATTAAAAAAAAAGTACAAGAATTAAAGTTTAATAATATTAATAAAGATAATGGCGATGATGAAAGTTTAAAATTCTTGAATAATTTTATACAACTTTGTTATGAAGGTGAAATAACTGAAATTGGAGAACGAAAAAGACTATTCTTGAACGCCTTATCAAAAGGTTCCCTTCAACATTCTCTTATTGATAATAAATTCGACAAAATCAACTCAATGGAAAAATTATCCAAATATTTTTATGAAAGCCTTTTAGATGAGCCTAAAACAGTTGAAAATGGTTCTTATATTACTCTGAAACATGTTGCAACCGGAAAATATTTGTCTAGTTGTACCGATAGCTATGAAAGAGGTAGTGGATATAGTGGATATTTGGTTAATACATAACAATATTTTAGACTAATTTATTTTGTTTTAGATAATATTATTAACAACGTTATACATTCTAGGTTTATGCAGGTCCAACCGTTCCAGATACAAGTTGTGTATGGAAAATTAATGAAGATCAAGAAAAAATTAGGAATAATCAATTAGGGAAATTTTTGACGATTTTTTATGGAGATTTATTTACTTTAACAAACAAAAATATTGAATATAACTTAAGTGTAAGTGGTGATGATGAATCTCCTGCAACTAAAAATTCAAAAGGTGATATTCGTTATATAAAAATTTTTTTTTGTTTTTCACGTATAAAATGATTTTTTAACTTATGAAATAATTTATATCACAGTATGTAATGCGAGATATGGCTCACTATGGCATTTTAGAAGTACTAACTCCGAAAATCCTCCTTATGTGAAGAGTAAAGATATAATTAATTTACAAAGTGATCAATTCGTATTACGTAGTAGTGAATCTACTTTTACTTGTGATAATAAAACATATCAGGAAGTTGCTTGTCATAAAGAACGAATAGGTGGAAATGACGAGGTGAAGTAAAATCTATCGATCATATTTATTAATTTATTTAATGTAAATTAATTATATAATTTTAATGTTATTTACAGTGGTGCATTGAAATTATTGAGCAATCTAATCAGGAGCGAGGATAAAATGATTATGATCGATATATTCCACATGCATGTTGAGTACCAATAGTCCCAATAAAATTATAGTTAATATTTACTTTGGTGATTAGTTTAAATCATATATTTATTTTGATATTTTAACATTTATATAGATTTTACTATTTATAACAAATTTAACAAATATTTATTGAAGAATCGTTTATCTATGAATCTTCCGTGAATCCATCTTATTTAAAAGACAATAATTTGAGGGAAAGCAAATATGTAGTATGATGCTGTGAAAGAGATATATTTTATTGTTATTAACTGAAAGGTGCCTTTATACCGATAAAAAAGAAGGTAGCGTGTCAGAAATTTGAAGAATTTATTATAGTTATAGTAGTTTTACGAATAAAAATTTATGGTGTTCAACAGTCTACGTTAGTATTCAAAATTGTAGTTAATAACAAATTAATATTTCTTAGATTTTACACTAGATACAAGATATTAATCAACGTTCTTATATGATTTTTTGAATTATTATAATATCCAAATTCATTAATTAGGGTACGGGGAGTTAGGGTACAAGAAATTTCGTTGTAGAGTTGTAGGGATCATATTAAAAAGTAACAAATAGTATAGATGATAAAGCAAATTAATTTATAATTAACGCAAAAGCTTTTCAAATCATGCGGAGTACGTATGATTTATCGATTACGTATTTATTGACCAGTAAAATAAAGGGATTAATATAAGAGAGTCCGAACCTGCCAATATTTAATATACAGCATCAGTCTCTACAGTACTTCCTTGAGTAGCATTGGAGTACTATTCAACAGCAATTTTCGACATTTTGAAATAACCAATGCCCAGTGTTAATTGTGATTTTATTTTAGCTGAATAAACATACTTTGTGAGTTCTGAAAATTAAATGAATACTCCAATTCATTTAAGAATAAGGACAGTTTGATTCCGCCTGAATGTTCTGAAGGTATACTTTACCGATTATTTGTAAATAGATATCGTTACATCCGCATGATGCATGATGTATTACACGTGATAAATATGCCTCAATGGAAAGGTGATAAATGAAAATTTATACGGTTAGTTCATTGTTTTCATTGTTAATATGGCGTATTAAACTCGTAATATAAAAAAAGACTGATTGAGTTCCATTTATTCCATTTTCAAAATTTTGTAAGTAAATTTAACTATTTTCTATCTCAACATATTTTCTATTTTTCCAGTAGCGCTCTTGATAATGGACCTACTAGTCCTACCACAATATGATGATTACCATTCAACCTAAAGAATGGATTATTCAAGTCCATTTTTTTTGTTATAATAATCAAGCTACAGATGAACAAGAAGTACTTGAATTATGTAAATTAAAGTTAAATCCCAATTTTATATTTCTTTAGGTGGTGAATATTGCTGAAAAAATATATATAACTATAACTCTACATACTTTGTGGAGTTTTGGTTATCCTCATAATCGTGGAATAGCTGTTATGGCGAAGATAATAATTTTTTTTTAATTCATGTCAGAACCAAAAGTACATTGCATTTAACTTTTAATTACATATCTATATCTAAATCGGCCGAACGTAAGTAGTTTCTCTTAACATTATTTCCAGAAAATTAAATTCTTACTAATGAATCTTTTTTTTGCAGCATATTGTCCTAATAGAATGATTATCAATTTGTAAAGCGAGGTTAAGCTAATTAATAACTTCCACGATTACGTGCAATCGGGTGATATAATGATATCACCTTTATCTGAACATGAATGTATTTTATCTACCAATGACGATGATCAAAAACTGTTTTGCCTTAAAGGAAGTAAAAGGAAGAACTAAAAGAAATTCAGAGGTATATATAATTTATTAATTATTTATTTTAAATTTAAGTATTGTAACAATTGTAATAATTTAGAATTTTGTTGATTTACACTTTGCAGTTTTGTATTGAACTTGTACTAAGTATTTTTGTTTAATGATATTCATTCAATTTATATTACACAAAAATATTATTGACGAATCATAATTCACGATATATGCGGCACAGTAAAAAACATATTTCTCAATTCAGCTAAATGATTTACCAGTTTCAGTATATATAATAAGAGACGTAACTATAAAAGTTATTGTTCTCCCTTTCTTCAAATCTTTTAATTATGGAATTACCAACATATAATGGAACTTGTCATCCGGATAAATATATTAAAAGAATGCGTGCATATTGTAAAATAAATCAAATTACAAATGAAAATGAAATACTTGAATTATGTATATTAATGTTAGATTCTATTTTAACTATTCCTAATGAAATTAATTCCCTTGATGAATTGACTACATCTCTTAAATCACATTCAACTTTTAATATATTTAAAAATACTTGTAAAGCGAAATTAAAATTTTTAAAATATGTTTCTGAAAAAGAAGGAGGAAATACGGCCATTTTCCTTGCAAATTTTCGTTCACTTTGTGATGATGCAGAAATTGATGATGTTGAAGAAATTACAAACTATCTTTTAAATACTTTATCATCAGATAAATTCCTCAAGGTTGAATTTAAAAGAAAATTAAATGGTATTAATTCAGTTGATGAAATATTAGAAATATTTAGTGATATCGTAATTGATGAATTAAATGTTATTAGATATGGTTCTTTAGTAGCATTTAAACATGTTGCGACTGGAAAATATTTATCTAGTTGTAATAAAAATTATTCAACAGGTTCAGGATTTCAAATAGTTAGTATACTATATATATTATTATTATTAACGTTTAATTCATTTATAATACTAATGTGATTTCTTGTTCTTAGGTATTTGCGAAAAATAATTTATCACCAAACTCTGTGTGGGTTATTTCAAAAAATGTCCAATTGCCAAATGAACCTTTTGATAAACCTCTTTCATATGGAAATCCCTTTTATTTGATACATAAAGTTAGTGGTAATAAATTAGATATGGATAAAAGATATAAATCTCCTACAACTAAACATGCTGAAGGTATTTATTTTGTTTATTACTTTATAAACGATTTCACATATATAATCAGTTTTTTTTTCATCTTAGTGTGTACAGCGCCTACAGTATCACAACCTCAGAGATTGCGGCTTATAGCAATTAATCCCGTAAATAATGACAATAATAACAATAATAATTGCATATTATCAAAAGAAATAATTAATATACAAAATCTTGAGACTAAATTAATTTTAAGAAGTCACGATTTCACATTTACTCTTGCTAACAAAAATTATCAAGAAGTTGTCGGCCATGATAAAAGAATGGGTGGTAATGATGAGGTATGTTACTGTTATATATAGTATATATGTATATATTAGTATTTTACTCAGTTATAATTTTTAATCTATATTTCAGTGGTGTATTGAACTTCTTGATGGTACACAACTTGAATAGATAACGATAAAATCGATATTTTGCAAATGATTTATATTGAATACAGTTATTTTCTATCTTGTTCTCTCTTATATCTCTCAACTTATTTCTCATATTTCTTCCCGTCTGATTATAGATAATTCATTCCTGGAACTTAAGAGATTGGTGCATAGGATGGTTTCTAATATCGATGCCCCAAGTCTGTAAAAAGTCGGCAGCTTAGGAGATAATTTGAGAAGAAACTTACCACTTTATATTGTATTTAATCATCTTCTACCTATTTATATATTTTGCCAGATTTGCCGAGAGGCAGCAGTGCTCATAACACTGATAAGTTATAATAGCTAATCTATTAATTCATAATTTACTATTCATTATATTAATAAACTTTCTTTTGTTTTTATGAACCCGAAATTAGTTCGTGATCTATAAATTTTTTAATCCATAATTACAACGCATATATTGATTATTAAATATCGATATCTGGTCATTAACATGATAAGTGGCAAAACATAATTCATTTATTGAGCGAAGGGAAAGTTTTTTTCCTAGAATTTTATTGTCGGGTAGTATAGTGAAATTAATTATGGAATGTTTCGTTCGTTACAAAAAATTTTCTATTTTTGTTTGATCAAAATTAATTAATCGATTAAGGCGCATCAAAAATCGGTTAATCTATTAATTTAATCGGTTAAAATTCTCGAATAAGCTTACTTTGAAGACTTTTTAATATATTAGCAAGCTTATCAACCCAATTAAATTTTTTATAAAAACTCGGTGACTAGTATCATCTCTTAAAACTACAATATGTTGAACTCTTTACTCCAATTTTCTCAAATCACTATATGTTGACGCTTGATAATAAGGCAAATATCCTAATTAAATAATTATTCCACACGCTCTATTTCATAGCTCAATGATACCTGCTAAATTTTTGTATCTCAATATTATTCCATAGTTAATTTCATTTGAACCTTTATGATGCTAACGAGATCCCAAAAACCATGGAATTCAAAAATAATGAATTGATAATTTTTATTTATTAAATTTATAAAATAAAAGCAATACACTGTCACATTATATATATAACAAATATGGTATTAGTAGATTTATTATATATTTACTGTATATTTAAATGCTATTATAAAACATAAATGTATTTATTTTTATCTCTTCACACATAAAAATTATTAAAAATTAAGAAAACGTACGTGAACTTTTTTTTATATTTTCATAATTTTTCTCCGTACTGCCTTAGATATTATTTCACGGACCTAGTATATACTGAGACATTAAAACCTTGGGTGGTGTAAAGAATCCTCGTTACATCAAGCCCTATTACTTCTACTTCATCGCCGAAGTTTAATCTTTTCGTCCACTAAGCCCTGGGCTTGGGCACCTGGTTAGTTCAAATTATAATAATATATGACAAACGAAAAAAGATTCTCGTATATTTGTTTTAGTACGTCTAACGATTTAATTGATTTAATTGAACTTTTCTTATTAAGTGTATCGATATATTATAAAAAGATACTAACGTCATTTTCATGTATTATTATAATTTTATAAAATATTTGAATTATAAAAAATGAAAACAATATGTGGTAGCCTTTTTTATACGTTCAATGTCTAATTTTTATTTTTATCTTTATAGCTGAATGAGAAATATACAATGTATCATTTAGTCAAGAAGACTCCAAACTAAGCGAAGCAATCAATTCCCAATCGACTACATAAAAAAGCATTGTAAAGCTGCTCGAAGACAACATCTTGTCGTATCCGTGAAGTGAGATAATTTAAACTTCGTCCCACTGTAATTTTTTTTAAAAAGACAAGAATATTGTTAATTTAACAATCACGTGAACAAATCCAATAAAATTCGTTAAAATATACAATTACTACTTTACTTGAACCACTCTTAAACCGCGGAAATAGGATGAACTTTATCGGAGAACATGATTCGTGAATTTCTGAATAACAATTCGGACAATATATTTAATTTTCCCTTCTTCAGTCAACAAAGTTCGGATAAATCCATAATTCAAAATGGACATGTTACATCAATTATCCTAATTTAAACAATTGCTTCGAAGTACCACTGGAAGTACAGTCAGTACAAGGCCCCTGAATATGAACATTGATCATTAGAATTTATAACCTCCGTCCTCCGCAGTGATAATAGAAAAATATCATATATTGTTAATTGTCAATAGAATATTTTAACCAGATTATCTTTTGAATAATAGAAGAGGAATGGAGATAAATCACCCTATCAACAAAAAAACCTGTTTTACCTGTTTTATTGTAAATGGATGATCCGTAAAATTTCTAATACGGGTCAGCATTACTTGATAATTTTGGCCGATATTGCGAAACCCAACATGACGGGAAGTTGATTTACCGATATACAATAAATTAATTACCTATCATACAACAATGATATCGATGCCGCCGATTTTTCTCATCATAAATAATGATCTACTTCATTAAAATATATAATTTTGTGGATTGTTTTTCAAGCTTTTTCAAGTTTTAGATTGTTCATTTTTAATACAATCGATATGACAAGTCCGATACTCCGAATATTTACGTAAATTATTTGTGTAATTTTTCTCAATGATTAAAAAATCGGTAGATTAAAAAAAGAATATTATTAATTTAGTATGAAATATATAAAACAGGAAAGTAGGTTTTTTTTCAATGATATTTAGTTGATGATTGAAAATGAAAAAAAAAAAAAACTAAACCAAAAAGCCTCTTTTACTTTTTAACAATAAATAATAAAAAATAAATTGACTCGTAAAATTTATGTCATTTAATCTTATGCTATTGGCGCAATTAAACTTGCAAGTTTAGCCTATTTTTTTTTTTTTGGTTGAATTTTATTGAAATGTTCATACAAAGAAACTTATTGAAGCTGCAATTCGTACATCATTTACTTTTCTCTCTTTATCAAGATGATCATAAAATAAATAATTTAAACAAAAATGAATTTTACCGAGAATAAACAAATAATAAATAATAACTATGTGGGAAATTGCCCAAATACAGGTTATAAAAAAAAATTTTCAGTTTGTGGCGTTTATTATAAGAGGAAAATTTTATTCAAAAAAAACAAACAAAAAGAAATTAAGTTTTCGTTTTATTTGTTTTTGGGTGACAAAGTATGAAAAAGGATCTCTTTAGATAATAAAGGTTAGATTAACTACGGCCTACAATAAAAATATTAGACTATAAAAGCATTTTTATATACCAACGAATCAAAAATACAATTAAACGGCGTGGGCGTATGCAAAGTTGATCTTTCAGCTGTTAACAGGTTAATCATAACAAATTTAATTTAAATTTGAATTTTCTTTGTCTTTTGCCTTGAAAATTTTCAATATTGTCGGAATTTATGTACCGAAAAAAAGATGAGGGTACTCACCTCACTTCTCACAAATTATGCTAAAGTAACAAATTTAAGAATTCATCAAACCAAATGTGGTAAACAATTTCTACAATTTCCGCCAAGTCATCATCATTGTAAGAAATAAACATTTAGTAATCATGTGGTGTATATGAAAGGAAAATTACGTGATTTACGTCTTTTTCAATGATTTCTTGATAATCCAACAGATATAAATACTAGGTCATTTTACCGTCCTCGGAACCTCTCAAGACCTTTGCATCTTTCGCAAAAATCTTCTTTTATCAAAATGGCTTCCCAAGTACCATTACAAATATCAAACACAACAACAACCAATTTGAGCTCGGTTGACGCTCGAGGAGGCCTACGCAAGAGTTTTCCTCATTGTATCGCTAATAACCTTCCCAAAGAAACTGTAAAATCTGTAATTGATAATATCTTTAAAAAAACTTCTGGCAAAGACGCAACATCAGTTTATACGTCTTCAGCCGAATGGATTCAATCACTTTCCACCTCAATTGCTAATGAACTCTCCGCAAACTTTAATGTTCCTGCTGAAAATTTCTCAGAATCCTCCACAAAAATTGCTAATGTTGTTTCTGGTATAGGAAATGGAACTTGGTCATCTGGTATTACACCTATTAATGCAATTAAGGATCTTGAAACAAATGTCCCGTTGTATATTTCCGATTACTTTGATCAATTGTCTGGTTGGTCAAGAGAACATGTTTTCGACGAACAAAAAGCTAGAATTGGAAGCATTATTTCCGGTTTAAATAGTTCAAGTAAACCTTACCCTGCAGCAAGCCCTCATGGTCCCGAAACCGCTTTATCCGGAAAATATGGTAGGAATTTTTTTTGTCGAAATTAAATAAAAAATCAACATAAAAAATTAATATTTTTTTTTTTCTTTTATTTTAATATAGTGAAAATTAACTGGAAGCTATCCGCTGCTAACGTTGACCGCCCATTTAACATCAGTCCAGGCACTGCTTCATTTAGTTCGGAAGCTGAACCAAGTAGCGGTGAAGTTTACAGATACTTTGCATTCATTGATTCTAGCAAGCTAGCCATTTCAATGGAAAAAGATGGTTCAATCAAGAAAAATCTTTACAATTTCACTGATCCTTCACAGCTTTGGAGAATTGGTAGATATATTAAAAATATTCATTCCATTAGTCTTTCGTTTTTTCATTTCCTAACGGTTAATCACGTGATAATACAGATAACTACGGAAACTTTTATGCGTTGTATAATAAGAAATATGGAGCATATCTAGGAAAAAGCCTTAAAGCGAATAAAGAAAAGTAAATAATTTTCTTTTCTTTTTTTTAAATAAAATAATTGACGTTTCAATTAAGCTATATTGTTTATCAATTAGACCCGACAACAACTGGCATGAATCTGCAGTTTATCTTGTTGAGAATGATGAGCACACTTATTCGATTGGATACACGCGTAATAATAAACAGCTTGACTCTGCTGATATATTGAGAAATCTTACCCTTGGTAAAATTTAATTTTAACGTTATAAAAAATGCATTTTACTCATTATATTTAAATAAAAACTTTTTTTCTTTTCCTTTTATAGTTACTATCCCGTTAGTAGCATGGCGTAATCCTTCAGGAAAATTCGTGAGCATTGAATCTAATCAAGGATCTTTGAATTTTTCAGATGGTGAAACACACGGAAGTACTACAATTCCAAAACCGGAACAACTCTTTTTATTCGTTCCTCATCCAGGTAATTATTTGTAATTCAAGGTCAATTGATCATTTTTTTTGGAACGAAAGAAATCATGAATTAAATTTTCCTGTTTTAAATTTTTATCACATTAGATTTCTCAACCAAATCAGTTATTATTGGCCAAAATGAAAAATTCCTTGAATTTAATCCATCAGATTCAAACAAATCATCATCTTTTGGCTTCGAGCTTAAAACTCCTGAAAGATTACCTTTCATATTGTTTGACTATGATCAAAATATTTACCCAAGGTAATCAATCAACCATTAAATCAAATAAATTTCTAATTTTAAAAAAATAAGTAATTTTTACTTTTATTAATCATTTTATACGTTCTTATTATATAGGGGCGCAAATTTTTTAGCTTCTCGCTTGCAACAACCTTCAATTTCAAAAGCGGCTGTTCCCCCACCTGGTAAAGGAACGCGAGTTAGAGTCTGGAAATCTGATCCATCTGTCAAGACAATCGGTATACGCGAACTTTTCTTAATAAATACTGATATAAAATCGGGACCAGTTGATACTTGGTTCGAAACAGTATCAACAGCAAAACCGATAGCTCCTGATACAAATGGAGATTTCTTATTAGATTTTGACAATACTCCTTCACAAGCTCCCAACGAATCAGATAATCACACTCGATTTGATGTTGTACATACTTTTTCAACTGTTCGATATACATATGATTTGTTATTGGGTGATTTAGAATATCTTGATGGAAATCCACCACAAATAACCAGACCTTGGGGAAATAAAAGACTTCAAATATTTCCTCATGCTGGAGAAGAAGCTAATGCTTATTATAGTCGCGAAGAAGGTGCTTTGAAATTCTTTTTCACCAAGAGAAAAGATGGTACACCAATCTTTTTGTGTAGAAGTTTAGATGTGGTGGCACATGAAGCTGGCCACTCCTTTTTGGATATTTTACAACCTCAATGGAGATCTGATGGACAAACTGGTGGTTTCCATGAAGCTTTCGGTGATTTATGCAGTTTATTTGTTCTTATCTCTATGGTAAGTATACATTGTTAATAAGTAAATCAAAATTATTTTAAAAATTTAAAATATTAAAAATTTTTTTTTTTTTTTTGTTAGGCCGATATTGCAGATTTATTTGTTACTTTAACAAAAGCAAATTTAAGAGACCCGAACAATTTCTTATCAGCTGTAGGAGAAGAATTTGGAGACGCCTTATTCAATAATAAAGGAAAAGGTTTAAGAAACTTATCTAATGATCTTATAGGTTCCAAAGCTCAACCCGAAGTACATGCTTTATCTTTGGTAAGTATAAACTTCATGTAAGACTGAAGTGTATGACGTAGCACGAAAAAATTATTAAACTGATTGTCTTTTTTTTAGGTTTTCAGCGGATTTTATTATGATGTATTAGTTGATGTATTTGCATTAGAAAGGAATCCAGCAATTAAGGGTGACACTGATACTTTATTGGATGTGAGTATAAATGGTTTTTTTATTTTTTTTAAAAAAAATTTCAATTACTTAATTTATAATAATTTTTTTTATATGCATAGGTTGCGACTGCCTTGCGCAGAGCTCTTATTATTGCAATACGAGTATCTTCCGAAAGTTCAACAAAAACAAAATTCCAAGAACTTGCAACAAATTTGGAAACTGCTTTTGAAACTTTAAGTAGAAGATTAGGAGTAAATTTATCTAGCTGGACAGAAGTTGTACGAAAGCATGCTAAAGCTAGAGAATTATCTATTGCTGGCTTGAGTTAAAGAGTTACATTCTGTAGTTTTTGTAAAAGAAAGAAATTAGTTACGTATTATATACATATATAGTTTATTATTATCTTATTATATTTATGTATATTGAATATGAGTCTTTTTTATGTATAATTTGAATATATTTGTGAATAAATATTAAATTTATTAAAAAAAAAAATACGAGTCTTTATTATGTATAATTTGAATAAATTTGTGAAATAAATATTAAATTTATTAAAAAAATTTACGTGTCATCAATTTTATTTTTACACAAATTACAAAACTACAAAATAACTATATAACTATAATTACTATGGTAGAAAAAAAAAGATTTACGTGTCAACACGAAGAATAAATCACGTGATTTGGAGTAAATGCAATGACTGTATGTATAATGTTGGTCAAATATCTCGCATTAAAAGCATTAAAACATCATTCCTTCATCAAACGTCATTATTATCAGATATTGTAGACGACTCAACTTGTATCGAGCAATTTTCAATTAAATTTTCTTCATTTTTACTATATTCTTATTCTTTGTTTTCTTCCTATATTCTTAACTTACCCTTAACATTTCTTGATGAAGGTCATCCTTATTCCGTTTTATCTCATCCAGTGAATTATAAAGTGGGCAGTCGCGCCCTAGTCTAAAAAAAATAAAAAAAAATGCGAGCTTCACGGCTTTGATTTTCAAATGGGTTTAATTTATTTTAGTATATTTTTAATTTTATATTTTTAGGTTATGATTGACTAAAATTGAACATCAAATTATCGAAATTTTCTATTTTTACTTTTAATGTATTACGGTAAATAAAATGTATAATGTTTTATTAAACTTGTTGATTTGAAGAGTTCCCCCGAAAGAATAAATATAGTGTATGTTACATACCATATAGTGCTGCATACAGTACCCGAATCATTATTCAAGAAAGGCTAGGTTAGATTGAAAAGTACCCAGGCCTGGGGGTGACTATGTAAGGAGAGGGTACTACAGTCAGACCTCGATCTGATATTCGATATACCAATATATATTAAAAATTCGATTAAAATTTTACTTTCCTACTATATGAGAGAACATATAAATTATCAGTATAATTTTGATATAACGATATTTTTTTCAAAGATTTTCATATGGATCTCATCATATCGTTATATCCTTGTATACAGGGAATAACTTTTGGCCAAATATCAAATTTTGGCCAAAATTAGCACCAGATACTTTTCAAAAATATCGAAATTTACTGTTAAAATAGTATAAATAGTCACGGTACTTCAGAGGGGAACTATTGCAGGGGAAGGGGGGTACTGTACGCAACGTTGTACGATGATGAAGTCTTCTAATTTTCCAATTCCCAATAAAAATTGTAAAAAAGCTTCTAATGCATATAATAACATAAAAAGAAGCATATAAATTTAGAATGTTGAATAGATTGAACTTTAGAAAGTTCAAATCTAATACTTTCATATTAATTAAAGTTATCATTTCCATATTAATCATTATCCTTACAGTCCTTACAGAAAGCTTAATTATTAAAATGTACACTCTATTGAAAATAGACAATAAACTCACGGTCACCCATGTGAATAATCGAATAATCTTTGAGAAATGCACGTGAAATTATGGGCTTATTTATGCAATGCAAGTTTGTTTAATGCAAGTTGAAAATTTCATGGCTTCTGTATATATGATAACATTTGATAAAATTCTTTTTCTATCATACGCCACATATCATAATTGATTTTATCTGTTTATCAACCAATTTTACTAAAAAAAAAAGAAAAATTTCGGTAAAATATAGCATTTATTCTTATATGATGATTTTCCTGCTGAAGATCAACACAAAGTAAAGTGAATTCATCTACTAGAATTTCCCGCATCAAACGCATCAAACACATCAAAACGCATCAAATTGCAGAATAATTTACAATGTGAATTGCAGGTATTGCAGGAATTGCAGTATAAAACAAATGTTTAACCAAAAATTGAATGAAGATTCTCATGATAAATAGTTTAAATAGTAGATTCTATCACGAAAATCAGTGGATTTTTAATAATCCATATTTATCATTTCAATAATAATAGAATCCCAAGTTTTATTCTTTTTTAGTTTAAGTCAATAATAGATGACACAATATTTTTTTTAATAAATTGTCGATCCTGACATTTTGTTCTTTAAGATCAAATAATATTTTATTATAATGTCTTAGAGAATAATACATATGATGGTAAGTTATATGGTTCATTGAATATAAACAAAAAAGTCACCGCTTTTCAATAAGCCACTGTAAAAGAAAAAAAATTAAAAATTAAAAAAAAAAATTAAATTTAAAAAAATTTTTTATTTTTAAAAAAAAATAAAAAAAATTAATATTCAATAAATAATGAATTACCTCATCATCTCTGCCAACTTTTTCTTTATGTCCGACAACTTCTTGAAGTATTAATGGTTTGGTATCGTTCTTGTCGTTCTTGTTTTCGTTATCATCTTCAATCTCGAAAGTGACATCTTGACTACGTAACATATAATCAGTTTCAGTCCTTAAGTAAACTCTGTCTCGTGCTTTTAAGTAAGGTGTCTTATTTTCTTGATTAGTTTGATCATTTTTAATGAATTTCAAATTAGTCCATGCAAATTGAAAACAATGTACTGTAAGAAAAAAAATTTGATATCTATTAATAAAATTATATCTTTTTTTGAATATAAAATAAAATAAATATATATGTATTTATGTATACCTTCTGCATAAGACGTTTTAGGAGACCTATAAAAGTCGCTCAGTGATAAAGTCGTTCCGGTCTTTTTATGAGTCAAATAAACAACATCATCATACAAAACTTTATTTTTTTGAAATTCGTCTTTATGGCTTTGATTTTCACAGCTTAGATACCACCAACAATTTTCATTGAGTATCTTTTCACCACAAAATACCTAATATAAAATGATAAAAAATATTAAAATTTATTAACGTGAAATAATTTAAATAAAAAGAAACATGCTTAACTCACCACTTGTCTTTTAGATCCTGTTTGATAATTTATCTCTCTACTTGATAAATATTTACCAGTTACAAGATGTTTTATAGCTATCAAAAATTCAGGACCATATTTAATTGCTTTTGAACTATCTGAAATAACTTCGCTATATAATTTATAAATTTCATCTATCGATGTGACGCCAGTTACACGTTTTGAGAATTCGTTTTTAAAAAATTCATTCGATGAATATGTTCTCAAGAGACGATTTTTAATTTCTTGTGGATTATCAATTTCCGCTTTATCACAATGTGAACGAAATTCGGCTAAAAATGCTGTAGTATCGCCACCTTCTCCACCTTCAAATTTCATTTGATCTAATTTGCGTTTGATACCATCTTTATATATAGAAAAAGTGGGGTGGGCTTTTAGAGCCTTTATAAGATCATTAAGATTATTACATTCACCGGGAACATTTATCGATGCATCAATATTTAATTTACATAATTTCAAAATATCTCTTTCTTGTCTGATATTATTTATTATACATATTGTTTGAACTTGTTTTACCCATTCATCAGGATGAACGGTTCCATTATATTGCGGTATATTCATTTTTATTTATTTATAATTTTTATATTTTTTTTCTTTTTTTTTCTGAAAAAAAAACTGAAAAAAAAAAAAAAAATTTTTTTGAAAAAAAAGGGTGGTTGTAAAAAAGTAATTATTTATATATATATATATTTGATTAAAAAAATGAATATCCAATTTTGATATTCATATAACCAAAGTGAGTTTTGCTGTGCCCATGTTAAACTTTATTTCGTGATATATTGGATAGCACAAGTTTACCAACCGGATTCGTCGATTACTGCGCCACAATACCCGGTTGCATTACTTGCATTAAACGGTCTACTGTGAGTTCTGTGATACACAAATAAATTTTAGCCCCCTCTTTCAAATTTTTCTTTTTTTTTACTTTAACGTAGTTCAATTATAATGAATTATTTATTATATATAAAAAAAAACGTGTTACTTTAATCTATCTGATAAAAAAAAAAATTTAAAAAAAATTGCAAATCAAAACAAAATAAGATCAATAAATAAAATTTATCTACAAAAAAATCGTTTAAATAAAGCTCCCTATTTTACACATTTATAAAGCCGATAATAGTATACTTGTTAGTGTATTTCTTAAATGACTAATTGTACGACAAAAATAAATTTCCCCTTTGAAAGAAAGAATGCCCTTGTATTACTTGAATTTTTTTTTTTTCATTAATCTAATTTTGCTTTACGCCTGCAACAAAGAGAATTAATATTGTTGGAAAAGGCATACACATTTTGTAATACAATTCGCTTTCTTACATCATTAGTCTTGGCTATTCTAATCTTCATTAATCTAGATTAATCTAGCCATATTAACTAAACGGTTTTTGCGGTCCCTTTCAAACAGAAACAATCCAAAAATAGAGTTTTGTTGTACTAATGTTACACAAGGACAAGGTATACAAGATATAACACAAAGATCGCATCTCTTGATTTCACGTGATTATTATAATGTTTATTTTATTCTTTAAATGGGTTTTTTTAAATTTTTTATGTTACAGGGGAATTACAGGATTAAACATAAGCGGCAATCATCATTGATTGTCGCACATTCCCATATGACGATCATTTCTGTGTGCAGTTTATCAGATAACAAAAGATAAGCTATTTCAAAGCAGATTATACGCGAAAAGGTTCATTAATAGTAATTTATTTTTATCGCAGCACATATTTGTTACGCGTGATTTATAATTTTTTATTTTATTTGGATAATATTTATATAAACAAAATATTTAAATAATATATATATAATATATATGTGAATATAATATATATATATTTATGTCCTTTTCTTTTCAATAAGCCACTAATATAAAAAAAAAAAAAAAATTTTTTAAAAAAAAATAAATACCAAATGATTCTTAAATAAAAAAATAAATACCATATCATTTTTACTAAATTCATGTTGATGACCAACAACTTCTTGAAATATCGACGGCATAATATCATTCTTATTATCGTTATCGTTCTTATCGTTATCATTCTTATCATTCTTATCGTTATTATCGTTATTATTATTGTTATTGTTGTTATTATTGGAAATCGCGAAATTAACATCATGACTACGCAATACATAATTAGTAGTCCTTAAATATACTCTATCTCTTGCCTTAAGATAAGACGTTTTATCTGAATGATCAGTCTTAACGAAATTAAAAACACTATAAGCAAATTGAGAACAATGTGCTGTAAAAAATAAAAAATTGTAAAAAAAATTTGATAATTAAAAATAATTTTATAAATTTATAAACCATTTTTTGAATATACAATAATTAAAATAACAAACCTTCTACATATTCTAAATGGCCCGTTGCAGGGGCCATATAAAAGTTACTGAATGATATTTTAGCCTTGGTTTTATTATGAGTCAAATAAATCTTATCATCATACAAAACTTTTTCTTTTTGAAAATCTTTTTTTTGAGGATCGGGAACTTCACAAGTTAAATACCACCAAGCATTTTCATCAAGTATTTTTTCATCAACAAATAACTATAACAGATAATAACAATGATTATCAGCTGTAAAAATACTAATAAATTTTAACAAAAGAAATATACTAACCACTTGTCTTTGAGAACCTGTCTCATAATTTATTTGTCTACTAGATAAATATCTTCCCGTTTCAATATGTTTTATTGATATCAAAAATTCAGGTCCATATTTAATTATTTTTGTACTATCTGCAACTACTTCACTATATATTTTATAAATTTCATCTATTGATGTGACATCAGATGTTCGTCTTGAAAATTCATTATTAAAAAATTTATTCGATAAATTTGTTTTCAAAAGTCGACTTTTAATTTCTCGTGGATTAATAATTTCTGTATTTTCACAAAGTAAACGAAAATCAGCAAGAAATTGTGCAGTATCATCATTTTTATAATCTTCGAATTTCATTTTATCCAATTTTTCTTTACTACAAATTTTAAATATATCAAAAGTAGGATGAGCCTTAAGTATCTCAATAAGGTCATCAAGAGTTTTAGGTTCAGTTTTAAGATTAATTGTAATATTTAATTTACATAATTGTAAAATTTCTTTTTCTTCCTTAATTTTATGAATTAAACATTTCGTCCAAACATATTTTACCCATTCATCGGGATGAATAGTTGCATTATATTTAATTATATCCATATTTTAAAATAAACAAAAAATTGAATGACAAAAAAAAAAAAAAAAATTGTACGTTCCATTTTGTTTATATAATTATTGAATTCAAATGAATTCCCAGTCTGGAAAATTGTATAAGCTGACAAAATATTTGGTAAATAGTAACACAGTGAACAATGCTGCGGTTACACGTAATTATAAGCATATATGAATGAGTTGGTTTTGAGAATGGCAAAATCATGTATGAAACAATCATTTTCAATATATATTAATTTGTAAATATAAGTTGATATCCGGTAATAATCGCCCATTAATTAATTATCTGACAATCCGGTACTTTTTTTTTTCTCATTATTTTTTTCATTCGAATATAAATACCGCGTAACAAAATTAAAAATATACGCTGGATAACGAAATTTATTTAAAAAGAATTTGTAAAATTATTATATCCTATGTACAGTAATCATTTCTTTCGATAATCCACTAAAAAAATAAATTATTTTTAAATATATATAGCATATACAGCAATTAAAATTAATTTAAATATAAATAGATACAACATACCCTATAAAAAAAAATTCTGGAAAAAACTCCGATAAATGATCACTTTTTTAGCTTTTATTCCGAAAGAAACTCAGACACGTGATCATTTTTCTGAAAAATTTTTTATAGGGCATATACAGAAATTGAAATAAATAAATAAATAATTATAATTAATTAAATAATAAATACCTCATCATCTTTACCCACTTTTTCATTATGTCCGACAACTTCTTGAAGTGTAACCGTTTTATTGCCTTTCTTCAATTTTAAAAATGGCATCTTGGCTTCGTAATACATAACCTGTTTCAGTCTTTACATAAACCTTATCTTGATCTTTTACGTAAGATGCCTCATCATTTTCATCTGATTCATCAAACTTAATGAAATCCAAGCAAATTGAAAACAATGTACTATAAATTAAAAAAATATATATTAGCATTTATTATTTAATGAATTTATAAATATAAATTTGTACCACCTTCTGCATAATTCGTCACAGGCGATTTATAAAAATCACTTACTGATATAGTCGCCCCTTGTTCTTTTATGCGTCAAATAAAACTTATCATCATATAAAACTTTATTTTCTTGATAAAGGTCTTTTTGAGTGTGTTTTACTAATGTTGGATTCATGTTGCATTTTTTCACCAGCATATATCTGAAACAAAATATAATTATAAATTTGCTTATTAAATATATTAATTTTTAAAAAAAAGAAAACTCACTAACCACTTGTCTTTTAGAACCGGTTTCATATTTTATTTCATAACTAGATAAGTATCTTCCGTTTTAACATTATGACAATCAGATCTATATTCAATTTTTGAACTACTATGTATATAACATCGCTGCATATTATAAAAATTTTATCTATTGATTTAACTTCGGAAACTCGGTTTGGAAATTCATTTGAAAGAATTCATTCGATTTATTTGTTCTTGAGAGACGAGTTTTAACTTCATGTAGATCGGTAATTTCTGCCACAATGCAATCGGAAGAAATTTAACAACAGTATTTACCATCAAATTTCATTAGATCAATTTTTCTTTGATACTATTTTTATATATTTCAAAAGAAGAATGGTTTTAAGAGCCTTTATAAGTTCATTAAAAATATTAATAGGTTTATTGATAACTATCCAAGAATTAATGTGTAATTTACATAAAATTAAAATATCTTTTTCATGTCTAATATTCATATTATTAACTAAAAGCTATTGTTCAAAACATTCTTTAGGATGAACGGTTGCATCATACTTTGTCATATTCATATCTTAAAAAAAAAAAATAATAGATAAAGTTTATTTTAAAAAAAAAGGCATTTATTTATTTATACAATAATTATTGAATTCAATGATATTCCCAGTCCGGTAATTTTATAAGAATGTATAATAATAACGAAAATGAAAATATTATTTGTAAATAGTGAAACGTACAATGCTGCGGACATCAAATTTTAGAAATGAGTGATGTCAATTGTTTATAGTATAGTAGTATAAACACTCCAAAGTTACACTAGTACGGAACTTTAATAATCCTGTATCTTGTATTTATTATTAATAATAAATAAAAATTCATTCGTCTTTTTATCCGGATAATTTAGCTAATATTGGCTAAATCCTGATACTAAATGCATAGTTTATTTTTTAATATAAAATGTAAAATGGATATAGCAATAATAAATAGTATGTATGATATATTATTTTAATTTACTTATTTTGGATCAAACATTTTATTTTGGAGTTGAATTTATCATGTTTTCCGTTACATTAATTAAAGGAGTAAAAAACAATAACTGCGTTTGATTGAATTTGATATAGTATTAATGTGAATTTATTATAAAATGATTTAAAATGAAACGCCAGATCTTACAGAAAAAATTATATAATACAAATAATATGTAATAATAAGAACTACTAATCCAACATTTAAGTATATATGATTATGTAAAATAGTGAACGCTACCGTTCGTACACCGACTCTGGTCATATGATAATACTTATGGATGGTTCATAGTTTGTAGATAGTTCTGGGAACGGCAAATCTGTAAAAATTCCTACAAATCAATAAGCTCGTAGAATATATTAAGTAAAAGTATTACTGATTAGTATATTAATGATTTCCGCTTTACTATAAAGCGAACGGATAATATTATCATCAATAACCTTTGAAATCTTGTTTACAACCGCATTTATTTAGATGAACTTTAAGAACCTCTAAAAATTCATTAAGGGTATTTGTTTCATTGTGAAAGATCAATACTTAATTATATTATTTGCAGAATCTCTTTTTTTCATGTTTTGATTTTTTTTTAAAAATCGAATATTTATTTGAACAATCAAGATGAGCGCTTCCATAATATTGTGGATATCACAAAAGTAAAAGTAAAAGTAAATTGTAAGAGAATTTAAATTCCGGTCTGACAACTTGTATAGTAGTAGTGTTTGTTATGTTACACATTGCTAAATATCATCATACTCTACTTATAACGCTAACACCCGACCATCCTTTCTGTAATACCAGTAATATAAATGGTGTGAACTACCAGAAAATATTACGTTAGTACACTATACACAAGTAACACGAGTATTTGTAAACCGGAGATAATCTACAATACATCATTGTAAATATAATCTAATTCCTTATATTAATTAACAAAGAAAAACGTGGGTCAATAAAGTGATTGATGTAAATATTTGTTCTTTTATTACCTAATAAACTTCCGAACATCCACGCTTTTTGGATGTAGATCTAATCTTCTATGTCATATTTCCAAACATATCACTCACACGTACTGTACTTTCTCTCAAATAAAAACAAGTATACTTGCATCAAACATTCGAATCCGCGGGCTGAATAAATTTACGAAACGCACTTTCTCCTCTGTTTAGTAGCAACTCAGTTTGCTCAACGGGTAAGTTTTAATTGGCATTGGACAAACATACCAAAAAATGAAGCTAGTAAGGCTAAATTCGTAAGAGTGTGTTCTGGACTCGTTGGATTAGCTGAGGATATTTTGTATGTTACTTGCTGATTTCATAATTTTTTTTTAGTTTGATATATAATACCTGTCTCTTATACACATCTAGATGTGTATAAGAGAGATATATAATACAATATTGCCGTTTTTAAAAAATTTCTCGTTTAATTTCGATAAACACTCTACTCTTTGACCTTGAAATTACACTTTAGATCAACGTTTCGTAGTCTAATACTTACTTGAAAGAATTTGAAAGGGTTGAAAGGTTTGCGGGTTTGATTTGATATCTTAATAATTTCCACCCAATTAGATTTAACTATGATTGATAAAAGTGCTAGATCACTTTTAATAAAAATAACCTGACATTCCGACATTCCAAACCAATAAGGCGATAAATAAGAAAGGATTTATAGAACAACATGAAAGTATCCACTATGGTGACTATGCATAATAAAGGAATTTTTTCTTTTTTTTTACCGTTAAGCCTCATTGATAAACGGTACAATTTATAAATAATTGATCCGAAATTCCGAATGATCCGCTGTAATGGAAAGTACTTGTTTGTTATCCAAGAAAGGAAAAACTGAGTATTTTACAAAATAAAATTACATAATACCGTGGTATTTAGGGGATAATAGGGGAATAGTAAACATTATTATTCCGTAAAGAGATTCCAAAATTCTTTTTTATATAAATAATATATCATACAGCCATAAATTCATTCACGATTACAACATATCGTAGTCATAAATAATAATGACGCCTAATTGATGTTTTTTTATTTATTATTAAAATAAATTTTCACACTAGAAAAATACCAAAAGATTCAAATGATATTTTTTCATTCAACCATTCGGATATAAAGAAAAAATATTAATCCGAACTTCATCTACCATCTATCCAGTAAATAAAAATCGATAAAAAATTATATACAGTATAAAAAAAATCCGATAAAATATGGATGTTCTGCGGTACCCCTATAAGGAGAAATATGTAAGTTGTTCGGTTTCAATTTACCGAAAATTCAACACGTTTGCAGTTGGCAAATTTTTTAAATAAATATAACGTCTTTTGATCACGCACCATAGGTAAAGTTATCTCCATCAACTTCAGTTGGTAGAATGTGTATTTTTTAAAAAGTTGAAAAGTCCATTAATATCGGTTGATCCGAAAACTCAAAAAGGTCAAAAGGTAAATGTACACATACAAGTATCCTAATATTTTAGGCTATGGCCAAAAAATTCGCGTCTGAAATTTGAATTTTACTATTTCTGAAGTGAAAAACATACTGATAAATTATGAAGTTATAAAATTAGGAAATTACTTTAATCATTATAAATTCTTCTAATACATACAATTTTTATCTGAGAAAAGCTTAAAAGTCTTTTCATGACCCAATTCTAATTGTGACTTTGAAGAGCTTTATTTTTACGTTACAAAACAAATAATTGAGTACTTTGAAAATACAGAAAATGTACTGCGCATTATATAGAAAAATTTCTTATCATATTAAATATGTAATAAACTTTCACTTGTCTAATATAACATTTAGGGATGTCAAATTTCATAAATTAATACGCATCATGCTCAACATCAACAATCAAAAGGTTCACAAACTCGTCGTAAGTTCCCACATAATCGTAGCAACGTCTTTAAGTATTTCTGGTGCAATATAATTATATAAGTATAAGGTATACTCCATAAACCCTATTATCTGAAAAGCGTCATTTGCAGGTTGTGTGGAAATCTTAAGTCTCTAAATTCCAATATGTTAATAATAACTTATTTCCTCTAGGAATATCTAATTATTATCACGAATATTTATTAAGAAAAATTAGTACTAGTTTAATAACTTAATATATTAAAAATATAGGTACTCGAACGAAATTCTTAGTGAAATATATAATTTTTCATCCCATGTAATAATATTCATCTTATCCTATGTAATACCGTAACAGCGTATATTTTGTTACAATAATAAAGTCAAAGTATATTAATAATATCGAGAATACAGAAAGTACCTCATTTAGAAAATATTTTAATCATGTAATTATAGCAACGCCAGACCAAGTTGCCTTATATAAAATACTAATTCCTTCTACTAGAATCCACTTTATTCCTTACTTTTTATAACTTTTTGTTGTCTCATCTGTCTTCAAATACTGTATAAAGAGAAATCAACATATTAACAAAATTGAAACTTTTCACTAACTCTAAGTTTAAAGCCAGTAGCCCAGTACGTATCATGATTACAAATTCGTTGATATTCATTTTAAATCATTAATTTCGTTATTTTCGGTTTCTCATTTAATCAAAATTTTAATTTCTTTTATTTTAAATCTTCCGATTCATACCTCCACGGCTCCGCGTGATTGGTCAATTTCAGGATTTTTGCACTTTTTTTTTTATAGAAATAATTAATTCCTTTATTATTCACAAACTGAAGGCTTTTTAGTTAAAAAGAATTCGGTATCGTATATGATTGTTAAATATTCTATTGTTAAATTTCATTATAATTTAAATTTCTTCTATTCATCTCGATTGTACCAGTATAAATTTAAATTTAAGATCATCGTATCAAAATCGATTTTGGTCAAAGATATAAAATTTTAACGCAAATCGTGTGGATGTACAGATATCATATAACTTTTCAACGAAATATAAACGTCAGAAAAAAAGCAAGAAAATAATCAATTTGTTAAGTACAATTTTGTACATGGTTAATTTAAGCTAGTTAAATTTATTTTATGTATAAAGAATATCCTTTCAAATTGTAGTTTAAGAGATATTATTATGCAACCTATTAAGATCATGGCAGACCGTTATTTTTAGGGTGGGATAAATTATTAATTATTAATTATTTAATATTAAACTTTTTTTATAAAAAATGTTAAAATTAGGCATGATCTTGAGTGGCATGCATAATAACAATGTTATTGAATAGGAGGGTAACATATCATTCACCCCTACGACCCTACGTGGTGAGTGACTGGTGACCGATATTTTTACCCCACAAATAACCATAAATTGCAATGACTATTAACGCGTTGATTAAAAATTCAGTATCAACTCCTAACTGAATCACTTTATTAAGAATATATTTTGAATTATATTATTTATATCCCACCACCACTGAATCCGCCGCCATCACCACCACTATCCACCACCACCACATCCACCACTGAATCCACCACCACCACACCCACTACCATTACCGATTCGGCGATTCCACTACTGAATCCACCACCACCACACCGGGCACACCCACCACCATTACCGAATCCATTATTGAATCTGCCACCACCATCACACCCACCATGATTACCGAATCCATTATTGAATCTGCCACCACCACCACACCCACCACCATTACCGATTCCATTATTGAATCCGCCACCACCACCACACCCACCACCGTTACCGATTCCACCATCATTACCAAATCCACTACTGAATCCGCCACCACCATCACACCCACCATCATTACCAAATCCACTATTGAATCCGCATCCTCCTCCACATGAATTCCATGCACTTCTAACTGCAGATGCTAGTATGAAAAAAGAAAATTATTTTAATTATTGTTTTAAATAATAAGTGAAAAACAAGAGTTTTTTTACATGAAATGAGATATGTGTTCCCGCTGATTCCACACGCTCCAGAGTACTTAGATGGGCTACAAATGATGAAAATTTTAGATTTAATTAAATCATAAAGCTTTACGAAATTCAAAACTTGTAACTCACCTGGTTGTGTCCTTTTCTTTTCCTTTTTTAAGGTTCCAAAACTTTTCGTTGGTCTCGTTGGAACACATCTTTGGTAGTTGCCTTTTGTACTTTTTTAATTTATAAAGAACCGAAAAACCATAAGGTGGCACGACAATGGACATGATCTTTTTTTTTTGTAGATAACCAATACTTTGACGGATTCATATGCATGCACGGTTCATGATATTTCTTATACCAAGATCGTGCCGTAGTTGCAAATCCATCTGACAACGTTCTCTTAGCTAGCGTATCGCCATGATTAATGATTCGTCCTATATGCTTTTGGGTGAACGCGCGGTAAAGTGATGCGTGAATTTGATGTGTATGCCAACCCAAGTCAATATCAAGAGTGGGCACAAGTAAAATATTTGGGTGAATTTATGATATCGTATGGTAGTAGCATTTTATTGGACCTCCATACAGTTGATCCATTCATTATTAACCATCTTTTCAGTGAAATCACGTTGTCGTTGTACAGCGCTAATTAAATCAATTGAGAATGGAAATGGAATACCGGCATAAACAAATACAGCTCGTCGGACAATGTTTTTCCACGTAATTCTAAACTGTCGTGCTCTTTTCAATTCGATTATCTGGAAATTAAGTTTTCGATAATATGTTTTCCATTTGCACTGATTCCAATTTTTCGATTCGGAATCAGTAAGATTTCGAATGTGAAAGCTGGTAGTGGTGAATAATAATAGGCAAGAATTATTAGTTGCAAGTGCTTCTGAAAATGAGTCGTCATTTAGATCAACCAAAGTACCACTAAATAAAATAAATATTAATTAAAGTAAATCGAGGACGAGGACCATAAGCTTGTATCTTATATCTGCCCGATAAAATGAGTTCCGTCTTTATTCCAAGCACTAATATCATCAATAAATCGTTTTGCACTTAAAGTTTCTATGGAATATGGTCATTACATTCCAGGCATTTTTCATCTGTATTATCATTCTTTATCAAATTTACATAATTCGACCTATATCTTAATATAGAGATATTAATTGGAAATGAACAACTATATAGAATCAGGAATCAAATATCTCCTTACCATGAAATTTGTACTTCTTTTTACACCAAGGACAATTTATTTTGAAATCAGAACTATCATTTGGATCAAGAACCCATGATTGTTTTGTCCTTTCAACCCATATGCTTTCAGATACAATTGCTGCCGCTTTTTCCCAAATATCGTGCCATATCAATAGAATAAATGATATTTCATTAAAGTGAGTATCAAATAATAAAAAGAGAAACACTTACAGGAAAATCTGGAAAATTTTGTTGTGGATCATGCATATCTTTCATAATATCGTAATGGCGATAGCAAATGTGAATGCCAGATATAACAAACGTCTAAGGTTTAAGAATTTATTATGTCAAGAACTAAGTCGACGAAAAAAATATTGATAACTACTTTTCACCTATTGGCGGAATTGGCACCGTTTCCTCATTAAACTTTAACTACCAAGCAAATTTAACCATAAAATATAACGTTCTTGCGGTAACAGATCTCATATCAATCAGTTCATCTGATTGTTGTTAAGAGTGCTAAATGCGCGTGTAACATAGCAGGATTTACAGCTCCATCAATGTTAACGGGTTGAGTGTCATCTTCACTTGTATTATGTGTAAAAAGTGGTTCTTCAGTCATTGCAAAATTTTTTACGAATATTTGAATGTGCGTGAGAGTTAGTATTTATTTTTTGCAAAATAATCTAACCCGTCTTTCGAAAGGCATATACCTACTAATAATAAACTAAGGGTGATGATAATGATGTATTCCTCGTGACCTCTTCTCGTTTGAACGATGATTGCTTAAAATGGTGAAATATTAAAGTATTGTTAGTTATATATATGATATATTGCTTTTTATACAAACATTTTAGAGAAAAATCACTAGTTTCATTCATAATTGTGTATAATATTTATATTTTAGTGTTTTTAATTAGAAATCACATTTTTATCATTCTAACCTGCTTAACCTATATAATGTCAATATGATGATTTATAAGTTGCAACTGACGTCGTCATGCATTTGGCGTAACAACTAATGGCGAATTAAATTTATTTTTATTATCAGTACCGAGATGATAAGGACATTTATAATCATGTGACAATTGTGATTAAAGATTAGGTTGTAATCTTCCGGTCATATCAGATTAAAAGATCATTTAGATCAGTCCAATGATCATCAATTGGATTTTTTTTATTAAAGTATAATCAGTCTATAAAGTATAATCAATCTATTAGCAAAATTTTGGGATGTATGAAAAATTTGCAACTTGCGCTAACTTATAAATTTTATTCATTTAATCAAAGGACGTTACTAAAAAATATCTAAAAAATTTACTTATTCTTTATGATCATCAAAGAAGCAATCGCTCTAATCTAATATGCCATAAGCCCATAACATTAAACGGTGCCATTTAGAAAAACTAATATATATAAAAACAATAAGATTTATGAACTAGATCACCAGGTTCAATTTGTGGATCTAATTCTAATTCCCAACATAGTAGTTTAAGAGATTTAACGTCCTCAAACTGTCGAGCATTTTGTTTAGGTGCATTGGCAGGGATGGAAATTCCGTTTTTTTCACTATACTCATCGCAATTGATTCTGGGAGTAGGAGGCGGGCTTTCCTTCCCGGTCTTTACTTTATTGCTGGATAACCCTTAAACATATTTCCAACATTTCGTTTATTTTTATTGGCAGAGGGTCGTCCTCCGGTTCCTTAAAAATTTAAGTCATAAGAGTTTGATTTTATTGATCAAGTAGAAAATTAATAGGTTTACCAATTGATCTTTGTCTAGTAACCACCAACTTTTAGATCGGTTATCTCATATTAATATGTATTAGCATAATAATAAAATATTGGATAGTAACGGGAGTTTATTATAAAAATTGCATGAACGGTCCCGTAAAACCGATAATATTATTATTGGATGATTTAACCTATATAATAGTCTAATGCGGCACGTAAACTGATCTTATACTTGTAGTATGCTAGAAGTTTAATGGATAAAATTCAAAATTTAAATACCTAAAATTTCGTCCTCTTCAAATGGTTCTCCGGCTTCTTCCCACTCTTTTAATGCAGTTAAATTAAAAGGTTTCTTGAAAGATTCCTTCATTTCAGGTTTTTGTAATAATTCTAAAGCTCTTTGGTTTCAGTTCGTAAAGCTTGTAGTTCATTCATATTAATAAGATTTTTTTTTTCGCGTTAGAAATTCTCCGTATATGAGTTTATCATGTGACGTACTCCCAACTCAAAAAAATTTTTTTTTTCAACCGTATAACACAAAAAAAATTTTTTAATTTATTAAAGTGATTTTTCAAATTTAATTAATTTTGTAGAATTCATATTTAAGTTTATGAGATTTTAAAAAATTTACCAATTTTAAATTAAATAATGATTTCAATAGCATATCAAAGAAATTCTAATTTTCTTTTTTACCACTTTAATAAAAAAAAATATATTTAAATTCAATAAACATCATTATTCTACTGTTTTATTATTAATTTTGTACTGAGTGTTCATGGTATTTGCTTTGAGTTTTATAGTAGTGCCGCAACATTTTTTGTATATTATTATAAAAAAATGTAGCGAAAACGTTCTTTCATAATAAAATATCAAAAAAAATGTTGTGAAACGTTTTTTTTAATATATTATTATGAAAAAACGTTACAACCAGACCCCGACCAGAGGTAGGTCATGAATTTGATAACCAGACCTGAAAGTTATAAAGAAAATGTTTTGGCATTTTTTCTTGAAAATTTATATATAAAAATGCCGAAACTTTTTATATTCAAATTATTAATGGATTCTTAGTGGTTGTGAAATTTCTTGTAATTATTGTCATCACAAAATAAATACAGTACTAAATCCTCACTTAAATACGTCCTATTTCTGAAAAAAAGCTAGTTAAGGTGTGATTCTTGTGTGATTTGCAAATTTATAAGTGTTCATAAAATGATAACTGCAAATAACGAGTTTTTTTGGTTTCACAAAAACATAAAACGTTAGGTGACGAATAAAGAATTGTGGCACAGCTATTTTGTGCGTTCAATTTCATTTTTCTTAAAGTATCAAAATATTTCGCGAAAAAGCGTGTATTGTGGCCAACAAAACGTTTTTGTTATGAACATACTAAGTATTATCGTAAAAATTCATGAATAAATTATAATTTTATACAATTTAACGTAATTCTAATTTAAAGAAAAAATTATTATTACTTTACATATATAATATTATTAAAAAAAAACTTCCCCTATAATTATTTAAAAAACTTTGCTTAATTAACTTCAAATAAAAAATTCTTAATCATCATTGTTTCTTTTCCCTGTAAATAAATAATAAGAAAACTATGAATATGCAAAAATATCATCAGTTATGATAATATCATTAAAAAAAACTCACTGGCGACTAATTAGTAAACCAAAGCGGCTTCTGCGTCCGCGTCACGTTTCAATGTCGGTGCTGCATCTGCGAATTTAAAATTATCATTAAAAGAACTCTAAAAGAAAATTTTTTTTTTTTTATTCATTTAAATATTAAAAGTGATGATTTATTTACCCGTTAAAATAATAGTAAAAGCGAAAATTAGCAATAAGCATTTGAATTTCATTATTGATTTTGTGATTGTGTTATGTATAATTTTTAATTCGTTGTTTATTAATTTATTTAAAGAAATTTCTCACCTCTTTCTCAAATTGTTTATATAAGACAATTTTTTATAATAACACTATTTCAAATTATTCATGAATCAATGAAGGTGAATTAAAGGTGGTGTACTAGAGTATTCTTTCCACGTTTTTCAATATTGCGCCATAGCTATGTTAAAATTTACAATCGAAGAGCAGAGCAACATGAGGAAATGTGAAATTTAGCCGCGATCATTGGGCGAAGTAAAGACGTACAAGAGTATTTTTTGACACGTTTTCTGCATTGTGCCATGTTAAAATTTACAATTGGAGAGCAGCCACTTTAAGTTAATAATGAAAAAATTCGAGACTTTGATGTTAATAATTATTTTCAGCCGCAATTATCTGTAAAATTATTTTTTTTTTGTTGATTGTGTGAAGCAAAAGAGAGTATTTTGACACGTTTTTTTACATTGAGCCACAATTGGAACGAACAGTGCAAAAGATAAGACTATCTTTTTTTTTTTAAAAAAAAAAAAAAGAATAAATAAATAAATAAAAATATATAATATATATTGTTCAAAATGGTCACTAATATCAGGAAAGTATAACTCATTTCTTTTATCTGATTATTCACTTCACAGCCTCATCAACAGAAAATGGCTCTATAATTACTAAAAAATGGGACCCGGTCACATTACCGACAGTCAAATGACCGACAGCTGACAATCAAATGACCGACACATGATTGACGCAGCAAAATTAAATTAAACACACTTCATACCTTTACACATTTATTAATTTATTCTGTTTAATAATTATAAATTAACTATTAATGCTTTATAATTATATAGATCAAAGTTTATTCTTTTATTCAATATAAATTTGTAATCATAATACAAGTATAGTTTGTGTTAAAACTACATAAGGACTGACCCTTTGAATTCAAGATACACACGCTCACGATCTTTTTTTTTTAGGTAAATTTCGTGGAAAATTGATTCCATTTCTAATTGAACCCCATTTTGCTCTTTCTTATTATTTTAAATATGTCTACATGTGCATGACCTACTAATGTTTCCCATCTTCTATGCCAGGCCTCAACATTATTTTGAGTTCGATGAAAAGCAAGTCCAATATTATCAACAATAGACCACAGTGAAATGACATTTCCACTAATTAAGATACTAAAAAATTTGCATAATTAACTCAATTATGGTTAAAAAATATTTATTATAAATTCGAATGTCATGTTTTATTAGAAATGAACAAGTTCAAAATAAATCACTTTTCATATATTTTACATTTTATAATCCTAACTCCCTTTAAACATGAACTCTTGTTATATATGTAATTTGAACGATTTGCTTCACGTGATTTATGTTCACATGATTTATATCGCATGAATTTTAACCCATTTACCCATTTTTGAAAAAATTATGTTCTTTCTTATTATGGTGGAAGTACTACGGTTCTATCACAAGAAACTTCTTAAGAAATGCACTCGTGAAATCTAACTTGTGTATAAAACTATATCACCCTTCCACGACTTCACCACATACCACTGCCACAGCACTCATGCGGAAAAGAAAGGAGTTTAGAGCAATGGTAATGGAAGGAATGGAGTTGAATGAGAGATAGTAGGGGTTATGTAACTGTTATTTATCACCTGGCTACTAATTGGTATTTAGGATTTTTTCCGCCAGTTATAAACTGGCGGACCAATTAGTATATCTAGGATGATAAAAAAGTTATTTACTGATCTAGTTTAGTATATAAATCATCCTTCGGATGATAACCCATTTATATACTACTAGATTAGTAAATAACTAATACATATAAGACAAAGGATTAGGTGAATAGGTAAATAAAAAAAAATGAAACAATAAAAATAATTCGCAAATGTTTTTTTTTGTCGTACAAATTTTCATAATATAAAGTATAAATCATAGTAATCATAGTTGCATATCTGCTGAACAATATCAGTCAATAGATATTTGGAATCACTTGTAAAGCAACACAAATTTTTTCTATGCATTTATCACTTTGATATATAGAAAATGACACTATGAACTACAGTAAAAATAAGTTGAAGAACTAGCTAAATCTGATTTATTTGTTATTTTTCGGACGGGACCGGGTTGTTTATTTTCATGAAAGATGAATAATCATATTTATTTTTCTTAATAAACAATAAGTGAGCTATTATTAAAATCAAATAAAGGAGAATAGTTATCTTTGTGTAACCTTAGAATCGAGCATCGTGACATTGTGTAAATATTTACAAAATAATTTCATTCTTATTTCCAGAACAAGAATATCATTTGAAATCCATCAAATTTGTTAATTTGAATAATTATAAATAATTTAAGGAACACTTTTATCAATATAAAAATTATTATCGACTTCACATTTTCTTAAATATGAATATTACAAGATATTATGCGACCGTTCATCCTGAAGAATGGGTAAACCAAGTTCAGACAATATGTTTATTTAATAATATCAAACAACAAGAAAAAGATATTTTGAAAATATGTAAATTAAATATTGATCTTCAGATATCTATCCCCAATGAAATAAATACACTTAAAGAACTTGTAAAGGCTCTTAAAACTCATTCAACTTTTGAAATATACAAAAGTGGTTGCAAGTATATATTAGACCAAATGATATTCCAAGGAGATGATGCTACAAAATTTCTTGCCGACTTCCGTTCGCTTTGTTTTAAAGCGGAAATTACTAATCCACAAGAGATTAAAAATCGTCTTTTGGAAATATATTCATCGAATGAATTCTTTAAACGTGAATTTCCAAAGAAAATATCCAGCGTCACACCGATAGATGAAATTTACGTATTATGCAGCAAGGTCATTTCAGAAAGTTCAAGAGTAGTCATAGACGACACGTAAAACTTAAACTTATTTGTAGATATAAAGTGAATTTCAATTAACCTTGTAAACCAAAATTGTTAGTTAACTTTTAATTTAAAGAATTTAAGAGTAGGACATTAATATAATTTATATCTTTTTATCAAATAATTTTATTCATTAATTAATTTTATTCATATACATACAAAAATTTTATACATACAAAAAATTTATTATTATTATAAAATAAAATTACTATAAATTGTATTTATTTAATGATAAGTGCATTTTAATAACATAGAAATAATTGAGTTAATCTTTAACTACCAAAAAGTATTTCGTATTTACTAAGGTACGTAAATAACGTAATGTAAACATTTGATGTTAAAATATGAATGATGACTGCGAGCATCTAACTGTCGATCTTGATATAACGAATACCGCAGAAAATATTCAAAAGTATCTGAAATACTTTATTACCTTTGCATTACATTTAATTGACCAATATAATAAGTTAAATCATTTATCTCTCCTTTAACCATTTGTTACAAAGAATTAGAAAATTTTACAATTCCAATTACAAGGTATATAAGAATTTCTACAACTTTTTTTATTTACGATGACATTATATATCACGTCAGATAATTTTGAATTATGAATAACCTGGTTACTTCATTCTTCTTTACCTCACCATGCTCCCAAACCTCTTTATTATTCCGAATGAACAATATTCTATAAATATAATTCCTTATTTACCAGGAATCAGAATTCTGCTTTATACTCTATACATGATACACTTAAATCAAATTAAACGAAATAATGAGACGCGTTGCAATTGTTAATGCAACAAAAGTAAGTTATGTAAGTTATGAAGAAGTTTAATCCTGGAGATCACGAAATATTATATGGTTATATGGAATCGCAAAAGTAGAAACTGCAATAATGTAACGTGTTGTCGAATTCAGAACCACATGATGAATATATAATTTTGAATTAAGCTACATAAGCTACACGTTGAAACTTCATTTATTTACCTTTTGATAGCGTAGGTTTTTTTTTTTGAATTGTCTTATTCTAACGCATCCATATACTGTATTTCATAAAACCCGAAGATATCATGGTATACCAACTGGCCATTAATTAATAATAAGTCTCAAGATCGATACTAATCAGTATGACGCTCTCACAAATTCTCTTATTACGTTTGCAAAGATGACATGATAAAACAGGGAGCTGCGAAACTTCTAACAAACAAGGCAAGTATATTGTTATGGGAAGTCGGTGGTCTTGTTTTGTACTTTTGTGAGAGTTAGTAAAATTATGAACTGTTGTCTATCAACTTTTTGCTGATCCTCTGAATGCCTTCTGGGATGTGTAGCAATAGTTGTCCATGCTAGAAGGAATCAACTTTTTGCTGATCCCCTATGTCTGTTTGGATGCATGGTTTATCACAATGCTGATATGTGTGCATGGGATTAGAGTTAGGAAGGATTAGAATTAATCATTAATTTGTACATTATGTACAATATGTACAATATATTACATAGTTTCTCAACTCCATTTTTCCTTATAAAGAGCAAACGCGATTATGGAAGTTAACTTGATGATGCATTGTAGACTCCTAAAAAATACAAATTGACGCTTTCAAAAATTGTAAATAGATTAGTTAGTCCATAAATTTTCCATTTTCAACCGTATCAAGGCGATATTAATGTTTATACTATAGCTCCAGGATTTCAATTTGATCATGAATTTTATGTAAAAATAAATATAATTTGAAATTAAATGTTTCAGCAGATGAAGTATCAAAATATCATCAAATATACATAGTAATATTGGTAAATTACTCCTTATGGTAGTACACGATTGACAGCAACTTATTTAGAATTAATAGACGTCAAAATTAGATGTAAAAAAATACCATTTACAATTTTTTTGGAAATGTAATTAACATTGATACAGTACTCCTCACAGATGGATAGACTAAAAATCTATATTAATGATAACTATGCCAAACGTGCAGAAATTATTATTAATCAGTCAACATTTGGGGTCAAATGACAAATGACATCAATGACATGATCATCTGTCTGAACCAATCATTTTTCAAGATCATGTAGCCTGTCAAAGACACTTTGAATTTATGGTCAAATTAATTAATTGATTATATTTTAAAAAAATCAAATTAAAGCAATTACTATTATAAATTTTTTTTTTTCTGATATTATAAACATTATGCAAAATAAAAAAAAAAAAAGTAGACATTTGAATCATAATCTTCTTGCTAAATTTAGTATCTGGTATATAATTATGATTATTAGGTTGCCATTGTAATTATTATTTCATGAAATAACTTTAACGCGATTTGTAATGTAGTTATATACATTTTTATTACGCATAAAGTATAAGATCGGCAATAGATAAAGAGAATGTTAACATAAAAGGAAAGACAAATAATGATAAAAAGATAATCACGTGGTACAAATTATGGAATGATCCTTAAATAACATCAAATGATATTAAAATGACAAGGTTACATGAGATCATGTGTCATTTGTGAATGAAATTGCTTTGAATGACTCAAGCGATATAGTTATCATTGTTTGCAAAGAATTTTTTTAGTACAGATTTTCCATTTTTTATTTATAATATTTCTACGCTGTGCAGATTTGCTTCAGAAAAGGTAATGTGTGCGGATAATTCATCGGACATGTGCATACGCACATGACTGCACCTCGGTAAGATGTTAGTGTCACAATTTACAAAACATTCATTTTTGTTATGATCACGCAACTTGTACATTCAAATTACTGGATCGGGAGTATCATTGAATTCAACAATTATATAGATAATGAACGCGTTTTTTTACCAACTTATACTTTTTTTTTAAACATGAATATACCAATATTTGATGGAACCATTCATCCTGATGAATGGGTGAATCAAGTTCAAACAATATGTATGTATAATTAATAATATCAGACAAGAAAGAGATATTTTGAAATTATGTAAATTAAATATTAATTCATCGATAACTGTTCCCGGTAAATGTAATAATCTTAATGATCTTATAAAAGCTCACCCCATTTTTTCTATATATAAAGATGGTATCAAACGCAAATTAGATCAAATGAAATTTGAAGGTGGGGAAGGTGGCGATACTACAGCATTTTTAGCCGAATTTCGTTCACATTGTGATAAAGCGGAAATTGATAATCCACAAGAAATTAAATATCGTCTCTTGAGAACATATTCATCGAATGAATTTTTTAAAACCGAATTCTCAAAACGTGTAACTGGCGTCACATCGATAGATGAAATTTATAAATTATACAGCGAAGTTATTTCAGATAGTTCAAAAGCAATTAAATATGGTCCTGAATTTTTGATAGCCATAAAACATCTTGCAACTGGTAAATATTTATCAAGTAGTGAGATAAATTATAAAACAGGATCTAAAAGACAAGTGGTGAGTTAAGCGTGTTTCTTTTATTTAAAGTATTTCACGTTAATAATTTAATATTTATTATTTTATATTAGGTATTTTGTGGTGAAAAAATGCTCAATGAAAATTGTTGGTGGTATCTAAACTGTGAAAATCAAAGCCATAAAGATGAATTTCAAAAAAATAAAGTTTTGTATGATGATGATGTTTATTTGACTCATAAAAAAACCGGAACGACTTTATCAATGAGCGACTTTTATAGGTCTCCTAGAACGTCTTATGCAGAAGGTATATATAAACACATATATATTTATTTTATTTTATATTCAAAAAAAGATATAATTTTATTAATAGATATCAATTTTTTTTTTTACAGTACATTGTTTTCAATTTGCATTGACTAATTTGAAATTCATTAAAAATGATCAAACTAATCAAGAAAATAAGACACCTTACTTAAAAGCACGAGATAGAGTTTACTTAAGGACTGAAACTGATTATATGTTACGTAGTCAAGATGTCACTTTCGAGATTGAAAGATGATAACGAAAACAAGAACGACAAGAACGATACCAAACCATTAATATTTCAAGAAGTCGTCGGACATAAAGAAAAAATTGGTAGAGATGATGAGGTAATTCATTATTTATTTAATAATTATTTAATGTAAATTTTTTTTAAACAAGTTTTTTTTTATCCCCCTTTAGTGGCTTATCGAAAAGAGATGAAAGGAATTTGCGTCACCGCATGCGTTTTTACATAACGACAAATATAATTTTTTATATATAATTAAATATGTTTATATTTTATAATTTATTAAATAAAATCATATTCAGTTTACAAATAAATAAAGTTGTAGTACACAAATAAGTTACGTGTAAAATCTTTGCCGCAGTAAAATTAATTTTTCAAGAATTTAATCTCACAAAATAAAATAGTAATAAATCGTTGGTACCATAATTATATTATCATTAAAAATTAAAAAATTTAATCATTTCTTTGTTTTTTCCCATCACCACTAATTTTCCATTTAATAATGCCAATATTCTCTCTCTTTCTTTTCCTTCCGCTATTATTATCATTATTTTGTACCCAGTTTTCAATCATATTAAGAAATGCCCATCCTTCTCTCATTTTCTTATTGGCGAATATTTTTATATCTTTAGGGTAAAGCATTTTATCAGTTGTAATAATAATTAATTTAGATCTTGCTCTACTTGTTGCTACATTCAATCTATTTATATCAAACACAAATTCTTTTGTGAATGTTTCATCTAAATTATAAAATCCAAAACATGCTATAACAATATCTGCTTCTTTTCCTTGCATTTTTTCTGTTGTATCAATTATTTGTAATTCATTTGTATATCTTTTAAGTTGTGATTGAATTGCATTTCGTTGTCGATGATATGGTGTTACTATAAGTAATGATGGCTTCTTGGTTTCTTCCATTTTATTTATAGAAAGATAAATTTGTTCTACAACTTCGACTTCAGTTTGTAGAAATTTATCTTCTAATGTTCTTGGATCATTTCTTAATCTTTTGTTTTTAATCATTGGAAGTTTTACTAGTACAATTGCTGAGCCTGGTGATAAAATTCTTTGAATTGGTGTATCCTCAAATTGTGAATCTTCAAATAATAATGATGATTTTTTTAGTGGTGAAATATTATAATCATCACCGTACATCTTTTGAAAAAACCCATTCAATTCTTGATTCTAAAATAGGAATGAAAATTGAGAATGTTATTAATTCGAATAAAATTACAATAAAAAAAAATGTTATTATGACGAAACAGACCATTCTCCAATTTTCTTTAAGTTGTGCCGTAAGAGGTCCAAAATTATGTTTTTGCCCTTTTTTTAAGATAAAATCTTTCTCATGAATAACATTACCATTCTCTTTACGCATTAAACATTGCAAGATTGACCCAAATATGAGAGGATGATCGAGTGGAAATGTAGGATAAGTGGCTCGAAGAATTGGTCCCATTTGCTATTTAAATAAAAAAAAAAACAGGTAAATACTAAATTAGATTTGATATGTTTAAAATTTTATATAATTACCATATGATCTCCAGCAACAATTAACTTTCCTGATTTTGGATTCAAACATTCAATTGCAATGCTAGCATCTGATACCAATAACTTTTTAAAAAAAACGTAGAAATTTAAATTATGAATATAATATTTTTAAATTTTAAATATCTAAATGTACCTGAGAACCTTCGTCAATTATCATTATATCACATCCGACCCAATCAAAATTCCATGTTTCTCTTACTTTAAACCAATCCCAAACTGTACCCCCAATCACAATTGGTTTACCGTTCACGATCGGTTTACCATTAATTTCGATTTTACTCTTTAAGTCCCGTGCTTTACACTTTTCTATTCCATTAAGGTGATTCTTTTTTAAATTGTCGGTTAAATAAATGATATCAAAATTACTCGTCTTATGGTGTTGTTTTTGTACAGTTGAAATTCTATCCAATAAATTTTCAATAGCAGCCCTAGTAAAAGCTGTTAGACCGACTATATAATTCTTTGTCAACTTACACTTATATTCACTTAAATACCATGTGGTAAATAGCGAAAGGAAATGTGTTTTACCAGAACCCTATTAAATGGAAAGTGATGTTAATAAAATAATAAAATAATGTAAAACATAATGAATGTATGAATATAATTACAGGTGGTCCCCAAACAATTTGAAGTCTTCTTTTCAATATTTTTTTTGAAATTTCTTCTTGTGACGGAGACATTTGTAATTTGATCTTTTTAAATTGTTCTACTTCCCCAGTTAATTTCTGTGCCCATTCATTTGGATTTTTTAAAAGATTCTAAATTAATGAATGTAATTTAATTAGATTGAATTTTTTATTTTCTGAAAAAATATTTAGAGCAGGAAAGAAAAAAGAAATTAACCATAAATACTGATTCATGATCGTCCCTTTTGTCCATTTTAGTAAGCGTTTTTAAAACTCTATCTAGATTATGATCATAATATCGTTTGTAAAGACGATATTTTATCTCTTTACTAAAATTTGTTGAGGAGAATCCTTTGGTTCTTTTCAAATAGAATAATGGCGCTTTTTTTTCCGGATCACTATAATCAACTTTATAAATATCCACAAGCAATAAGGAGGATTTACTATGATTTGTTCGATACTCCATATCCGAAAATCGAATTGCTTTTAAGACACCCTATTTTTTTAGATAAAAGATAAAAAAATTTAATTATAAAATGTTCCCTATTTTATAAAGTCAAATTTTTAAAGAATTATTTATTACTTCAGGATTATCTTCAACGAGAATAAAACTATGGTAAAAGCTGCATTCCAACTCTTTTTTATTAGTACTTAAAAGAGTGAATCGTGCAATTTTTGAATCACTATTAAGTTCTTCAAATTGAAGTTCGCTTCCGTATACAGCTTCGCCATACATAAAATCTTTTATCCTATCAGATCTATGTCGGTTACATTTTTTTATAGCTTCATATTGTTTAAAAAAATATAATTTACCCAAATAATTATTTTTAAAATTTTCAACTTCAGTTAAAGTAAATTTTGGTGGAATAAATATTAATATAGAAGAAATATCATTTGTTGATTTTTTAAGAAGTTCATAGTAAGCTCTTATTATAGCATTGGCAAAATCGTTTCTTAATAAATGAAGGTCATTAATAATTTTTAATGAATTTAAATATCCGGGAGCCCATAACTTAAAAATATTTTCTAACTCAGCATACTCAATATCTTTAAAATCATCATTTTTCTTAATAATTATAAAGTTATATTTACTATCTTTTAATGTTGGCTTCACTAGTTGGTCCCGTATATCAATAAATCGATAAAATCCAGGTACATGGAACGCAATATTTTCGCTTATTGCACGTTCTAAAACAATCAATCTTGGAAAATCTCTCCATTCTTTTGATATATTTGGAAACTTAAAAGACTCTGTGGTGTTATTTTGGGATGCTAATAACAATGAATCTTCAAATAAATTAAATAAACACTTTGTAGCACTTTGTTGAATATTTCTTGAGACATTACTCTCATCCATAGAAATGATTTCCAACAAAACATTTTGAATAACTTTTTTTTCTTGATCAGAATAGACAAAGGCACAAGCTTTTGATTCATATTTTTGTAGATATTTAAAAATGTCTTCCAATACAATCACAAAGCAACTTATCAGATGGATAAATGATTTTAATGAAACATCATTCTTTGAAATTGATTCAGAGTATTTATGATTCTCTATTTCATGCCCACTATTATGATAGAGGCATATTCCCCATGCAAAAGGACGTGATAAATAATGATCCAAAGACATTGAAATTATCAAATTATGAACTGTCTTCTGGGGAAAATTTGCTGTTGGAGTTTCAATAAACTTTATTATATTTAATAAAGAAAGAAAAATTGTTTTTATGTTATTAATAAAAAAATCTATTTTGAAAAGTGAATTAAAAGTAGAGAAATCTATTATACCTGTGCTTGGTTAGTTTCTTTAGCCTTAAGATATGGTGACCTTTTTTCTAATCTTTTATCATATTTCACAATATGTTTAATTCTTCTATTTATATCTTTTTCACTGGAACTGAAATTCTCACTTCCAATTTCCAATTTCTTTATCACTTTAGCTATATCTTCAATATCATCATCTGATTTTCCATCACTTATGAAAGTTTTCAAATTCTCAGCTTCCGCAAGTGATAAATAAGGAATCATTGAGATAGTACCTTTAGCATCTTTTCTACAAACATTTACAAAATCACAAGTTCTACACCTTGAATTATAATGCCAAGGTGGTGATTCAGCGTTTATAATTTTTGGTAATTTTTTTCTAAAAAATTCATTTACTTCTGGAAGAAAAAAATCCAAACGAAAATTTTCTAATTGAAAAGTAGTTTTCGATTTCGATGATGGTAGATAAATTCCTCCCGTATTTGAAATGAAAAGTCCATTAATTTTTTTAACAATAAATTCGAGAAGAAACGCATACGAAGCTACTTGAAACTAATAATAATAAAAAGAAAAAGATATATAATTTATTTTATTTATTCTGCATTTAATAAGTTATTTGCATATTTTATCTTACCTGATGAGAAATATGTGTACTTTTTGAAGCCTTAGCATCATAAATCATTATTTCCTTTTTACTATTTCTCTCTTTAACTTCAATAAAATCTGGTACAAAAGCTCCTAATTTAATATTATCTATTTGCATTTCATCATAAAATTTATCTGGTACGTTAAACTTCATTTGATAGAATATTTGACCATTCTTAGCATTTTTTAAACAATTCATTGTATAATCAACATTTTTCTCACAATCAATCACGTTCTTTAATTTATTTTTAACTTTTAATTCAAAATCGATTCCACGATTTTTCATTGCTTCATTTATAGTTTTGTGATTTTTTTTTGTTCCTCCGTTATTATTATTCTGTATTTCATTACCGTTATCTTTGTCTGATATAAGTCGTACAAATTTATCACAATTATAAAAATAATATTGTGATAATTCAGATATAACCAGCGGTTTCTTTTTCTGCATCATAATATAAATATATTATATCGGTAATGGATAAAACTTTATTATGTGTGTACGCTTTATAAATACGATATATTACTATTACGAAAAGAGATATATTTTACTGACCTGTGACATTTTTTAAATTTTTAATAATTTTAAGGCCAAAAAAACCAAGAACTAAAAACCCGAGTTTTAATAATTTTACGAACATATGATCGGCAAACAATCGACGATCATAAACTCAAATGATTTTACACATGGTCCTTTTGTAAGAAAAAATGGAAATTGGTTGATCAACAATCGTCTCATAATTGCCTTTTTTTAATACAGTCATTAATAAACTTTGCCTTGCGTCACGTATTCGGAATATGAAGACCGATCACAAGAACCGGACTATCATTTTGTTTTTGTGTGCTTTTGTTGCTTTTGTGTTTTATATATATGTTTAGTGTCTTTTGTGTATATTTGTGTTATTGTTGCTTTTGTGTTTTTTTTTGTGATAGTTTTTTTTGGAAATTAAACTGAATTTGTCCATCAGAGAATGTCCAGAAAAATACCTTTCTTCTGTTTTCAAAAATGTTTTAGCAGAGGACAGCCATATTTTATTGCCGCTTTCAAAATTAATAAAAAAAGGTAATGCGCGTCATGTAACATGAAATCATAAAAATTTTATTGCAAGGACTCAACAAAATTTTGCACTCACGTGATACATATTGTGACTTAATGGCTGATACTAACTTTACTTTTTAAAATTTAAAGAAAATAGACTATGTTCGATTCACAACAATTGAAAAAAAGACCACATTTATCTTCCTAAAATAGATTGTTATAAATTATATCCGAGTGATATTTTTTATTTAAATATATTAATTTTATATTCTTTGTTCTACCATCATTTATATGTAGGTAAATGCATAACAATGGTTCTAACTGAATTTTTTTTTTAACGTCAGTTTCTATAGGACTCTTCTTAAGTTCTAAATAATCGTCCCTTTTTCCCGGTATCTATGCATACTTTCCATAGTCTCAGATCAATTTGGTGTTTTCGATTCTCTTTGATTGCATCCCTGAAGTGCGAAAAGTCACATCTCTGTTTTTTTTACCGTATAAAACGATTATTATGTAAATAATAATAACCCTGATAATCATTTTTTCAATTTTTTTTTTCTTTTTTTAAGTACGTATATCGGTCTTCTTATACAATTTTACATTATCGCTGATTGGAAGACATTTATATAGATTACTACCGGAAAATGAAATCGATGTTATTCTTGTGTTAGTTTTATTATTTTCCCGTAAAAAGACAGAGAAAGAACGCGAGATTTAAAAAATAAGCAACTTTTCAGGGCCGGAATTACGATAATGTCTGTAAACTCTGGCCGGCACTATCAAAAAAGGAATAATCTATAAACTCATGACCTTTTTACATTTTTTTGGAGTTTGTATTCAAGATTTGAAAAACAATGATTTAAGATCAATTGTAATTTCCGATATTTTTATAACATATTTTCTTAATATTACGTAAAAAATTGAATGCTGGTAATGAAAATCAGAATAATATCAAGCTTAATAGGTTAATTAGGTAATTTGAGACTTCATATATCATTAATATAATGATATTTCATTTCTTATTAATAATTTTAAATTTATAGGATAGGTCGCTTTCAATTATTCATTGATGAATTAATTGGCAGATTTTGTTAAAATGATTTTTACTGGGTTGCCTTGGGTTGCTTATTGTAAACTCTACAAAAATTACAAAAATATAATATTTTTTGATTAACGTAAAGCACGTTCATTTTGTATAAAGCGAAAAATTATCATGTTACAAATCTCGATGTATGTAAGCACTTTATACCACTTGTTAATTTTAAATTTAATATTTTATGATAATTCATAATTTATAAATATTTACGCTGCATACTCGAGAGTCATCAAATAATTCAGCGTGATTATTCCATTTAGGATGATATTTAACAATATCTATGTTTTCTCGATTTAATTTTAAAAAAATATTTTCGTTCATAATATCGATGAATTGATCTATATACAGTAATCGTTGTACAGATCGTTCAAATGTTCTTAACTTTGACGAAATTCAAAGTTAACCATTTAAGGACATTGTACCCTTGATCCTATTATCTGATATCAAATAACTAATTAATAACTATTGAGGTTACGTTGTTGCGCGATCAGATGTAATGACCATATAAGAAGCTCGACATACGTACTTTAAGAAAATTTATGTATAAACTGAATTAATTATCAGGTTAGATTTTTGTCTTCAGGTTTAAGTGATTATACTATTAACATAATATATTCTCCAAACATGCTTAAAGTTGGTTTATTGTAATGCTTGCGTATATGTCATTCCTCATCTTCTTTATCCATTTCATCATACAAAAATACGTCGAAATTCAAATTCGCATACGAAGCAAAAAGGTAATCGTTAAGTTTTATTGTATTTTTAATTAAAATTATTGTATATTAAAAAATTTTTTATCAGAAAAATCCTGTTCCACCAGTAATTGAACCAATATTTATGGGAGAAAATGAAAGCAGTAATAGAGAAATTGGAAATGATAATGATATTATTATAGCTTCTACCTATAATATACTGTAAATTGAGTAAAACAGTGTATATTTTAACTTGAATAAAACCATTTTTATACTGCTTTATCAACATGGAAAATAATATTTGACAAGTCTACGATGACATTTTGATGTAATGTAATATAAAACCTTTTAATTTTAACTGAAAATTATTCGATAAGTTCAATACACCACTGTAATAAAAGAAAATCATACAATGTTTATTAGTTATTATTTAATTAAAATAAAATTCATAATTAACATACCTCATCATTTGCACCAATTCTATCTTCATGACCAACGACTTCTTGAAATGTTTCATCGTTAATTGTAAAAGTAAAATCATGACTTCGTAAATAAAGATCCTGTCCATCTCCAATGATTTTCAATTTAATTATATCTTTTGAATTTACATATAAAGTATTATTATCATTATGTGTTCTGTTTTTAGATTCTAAATTTATGATTTGCCAACAAGCATTATAAGTTTCATAATTACAAAATGCTATATTATAAATATAGAAGTATTATTAATATTTATAATAAATTATAAAAAAAAATAATAATAAATAATACTCTCATATTGTACCTTCTGATTGTCCAGTTGTTGGAGACTTGTAATTGTAACTTAACCAAAATAGATTGTTGGTTTCCTTATGTCTAAAATGAAATCCATCATTATAAAAAACCATATTCTGTTGATTCAGTTTATGACTTTTAATTTTTGATAAGAGCCAAATAGAATGTGAGTTAGAAAATTTTTCGCCAGCAAACACCTAAAAAAAGAAACACAAGTTTTTCATCAAAATTTTGATGAATCAGATTTTAAATTAATAAAAATAAAAAATTACTAACTATATTCCTTCGAGAACCTGTTTGATATTTTATATCACAACTTGATAAATATCTACCAGTTGTCACATGTTTCAAAGCAATTAAAGAATCGGATTTAATTATTTTTAATTCATCAAGTACAACTTCGTTAAATAATTTAACTATTTCATCAATATAATAAGGTGATTCTTTTGGATCGATATTATCTACTCTTTTTGCAAATTCAATTTTAAAGAAATCATTCGAATAAGAATTAACAAGTAGAGTTTTGAGTTCGTCAGGATCATTAATTTCCGCATAATTACAAAGTGAACGAAAATTTGCAAGGAATGAAGCAGTGTAATTCTCCTCTTTTCCGGGATTATATTTCATTAATTGTAATTTTCTTTTACAAGAATTTTTGAAAATAGTAAAGGTTGTGTGTGACTTAAGAGATTTAATAAGTTCATCAAAAGAGTTAATTTCTTTAGGAATTATTATGGTGGAATCTATCATAAGTTTACAAATTTTAAGAATTTGTATTTCATTTTCAACTCCTTTTAAGTAACAATGAGTTTGTACTTGTTTTAACCATTCTTCAGGATGAATATTTCCATTATATTTTGGTAGTTCCATGATTAAAGATAATTTTAGGATAAAAAGTATCTTTTCCGATTTTAAATAAAATTATTTGTGTCACGTAAATCACGTGACTATTTGTCATGACCTACATAGCTAATTTTCTTGATGCTGGCAACGACTCACCGCGATGGCGCGATATTGCCAATCAAGTAGTTCCACGTATAAACCGTATAAACGCAATGCATTGAATTTAAGTATTGCTCATGTTACACTTTTAATTTCTCCATATTCATCCTTGATAAACTTGAAAATTCACAATCATGTCTTATCAAATGTGCCCAAATCTCATCAATACTTCTTTTAGTAATATTCTTCTTGATAAATGTTATCCTAAAATTTTTTAAAAAAATAAATATACAATTATATAAACCTTCCATTAATTGTATTTATTATATTTCCAAAAATTTCAGAAATTGTAAGTATAATTTATACTCAAAATATTAATAAAAATCTTCTTGATGTTTTACTAATTATTTTTTATTATTCTTTTTTTTTAGTTTGAAATTAATTTTTTTCAATCTCTCGACTTGAAAAATGAAAAAAATCTAAAAAATCTGCATAATATTTCATTTTTCATACACATTTTATAGAATTCGAAAATTGTTTTTTGAATATGTATATAATATTTTGTTATATACAAAATTATGAAACTCAAATTACTTTTTCAAAAGATTCACCTTATTTCTAATAGAAAATAGTAACCTTTAAATTTTGTTATGGTAGAAACCAAATTTCAAGTCGAATTCTTGGCAACATCACTAGTCGAAAGACTAAATAGGAAAAATATTTTCCCCATTATATAATAATTTGGAAATATATTTCCACCATTATATATTAATTTTCACCCTGATCTATTTTCTTCATTATAACAATTCAGAAATATGTTTTCTCCATTATATAACAATTCAGAACCCTTTATATTTTTCTATTTCTTGCATTTCTATTGGAAAATTTGAATACAATTATATAAACCTTCCATTAATTATATTTCCATAATTTCAGAAATTGTAATTTGAGTATATATTTTATATTTTATCCGGCTCATATTTTAATAAAAATTAAATTAACAGTTTTTTTATTTTTTATTTTTTATTTTAATAAAAGACATCTATCTATTAAAATTCATGGTAATCAGATAAAATTTATTACATACAATATATTAGAGTCAAATTAAACAAAAGATACCAAGTTCTATAAGCGCTAGGCACGGTATTAATAATGGATCCAGGACGCAGTGCAGGATGTAGTATTAGGCTACTTTAGAATTGAATTGATTGGGGTTAGCCGATCAATCAATGGACCAACAGTTTTGCTGGTACACGTCTGATCGGGTTACACCAACCAATAAAACATGTGATCAAAAATGCCGATCAATCAATTATGAAGTAGCCAATTGTATAATAATAGTAATCGTTTAGCAGTAATCAACTTATCTACTTAATGTTCTTTTTCTTCAAAAGTTTTTGAAAATACTCCATAACCATCTCAATAGCAAAACTCTGACAATCTTCTAAATTTACTCATGCGGTTGAAGCAACAAATAGTTAATCGTACGTATAAAATGCTTAAGAAATTAGTCAGTTTTTATCTTATAAATGATTAAAAAGTTAACCAGTCTATATACCTTATTCTTCAAAGAAGAGCAACATACTCGGGCACATATTATAAACCCAACAAGTCGTCATGATATTGCTACTATTGAACCATTATTTAGGAATTGTTGCCACCTAATTTCCACAAAGTTATATCTGATTATACCCTATTCGAGTATCCCGATTGAATCCTTAGTGTACTCCTTTTGCGTCATTTTATCAGGTTCCTTGATTGGTGAACGATAAAAATAATAATAGGGGACCAACAAGATGGAATGAGATTCAATCTGTTTCCACCAAAGTTATTGCGAATTAATCACCACATGCAAGCAACCGATAGACGGAAATCTTAATATACTTAGAAGACGTCTTGCAAAATATTTAGGATTGATCGTTTTATAAATTTGTTGTGGCAAAATTTACTTTTTTTATCTTATTTCAATTTATTTCATACATGTCATCCATTATTTCTCTCAAATCCAAATAATAATGTTTAGTAATAAACATGATGTTTTGTAATTCCTAATAAATAAATAAAGATTATAACGCATTACATTTAATTTATTGTTTTTTTTTTTTAATTTTGCTTATTAAATTTATACTTTTAAATTCATCTATGGTTACATCACTATTGGTCAAAATTTTCAACTTTTATCAATTATAGTAACTTTAACATTATCAAAAGAAATTATCCAGAATATACAATAATATTAATATCCACAGTCTAATTGGTCGACCGGTCAAATTTCTGGCAAGATCATACACGAAATACATTAGACAATAATGACATTAAAAATTCATTGTAAAAAGCATATGCTTTTAATATTTTCTTCTACCAATTCCATCTTTTGATATCCTCAACAATATCCTCAACAAGAATGATTGCACTACAATTATGGCAATAAGGCACGCTTGATCTTTGCAAATGAAAAATGAAAGTCAAGCCAAAGTATTCGATTGACTACACGGAAGCAATTTCGACTTTGACCAAGGAGAAGCTCGTATTGTTAGTTAGCATTATAGTATGAAGTGTGCATTATTATAAATGATTATTAAAAGAAATGTGCTTATTAAACCATAAACCATATAATATTTTACCAATTATAACATTGATTTGCTCATTTTCAATAATTTTAATACACCACTAAAAATAGTAAATTAATATAAAATAGATATTAAATACCTCATCAAATTTCCATTATTTGATGACAAATGACTTCTTGAAAGTTTTATCTCAAACCATAAATGTGAAATCGTAAAACATAGCCACTACATTCTATCTTTCGTTTACATAAGGAGTATTTAATTTGTTGGATCTGGATTAATACAATTGAAATAGGCACCTCTTCCTACACTCAAGAAAATTTTTTGAATTTATCACTAAATCACAAAAAAAATATGATTAAGTATAAAATATATGTATACCTTCTGAATGCCTAGTTGTAGGATATTCAAATTAAGTCCGGTTGCTTTACGAATCAAATAAAAGTTTCAATCATAAAATATTTTTCGGATAGTATTTGTATAACATGATTTCATCGTTAAATAAAGTCACACGTACATTAAAAATAAGTAAATTAATAAAATAATCTATTATGTTTAATATCAATACAAATATATTTCTATAAAGCATTTACACTTCATTTCACCAGTAAATACCTTAAAATAAATATTATTTAAATAGTAATGCATACACTTTGTTTCCAAACCTATTTGGCAACATGGTTTAAAATATTAAATTCATTTGCAAAATCATCTAATAACTTCACTAAAATCATTTAAATATTTCGTCTACTAAATAAGTATCTACTCTTTTCATAAATCACTCCTAAATATTCACTTGAATGAGCAAGTAGTTAAATTTCTTAATTTCAGCATTATTATAAAATGAATCTAAAATTGTCAAATATAAAAGTAAAATTTTCATAATATTTCATTGATTAAAATATAGAATCTTTAAAAAAATGGTATGTAATTTAAAAAGATTTAATAAATTCATCTAAGGAATTCATTTTATTAAAAGAAGTGATTATGGTGGAATTTATCATGAGTTTACAATTTTTAAAATTTTTTTGTTTATTTTCAATTTCTTTTAAATAGCAAGTTTGTAATCATTCTTCAGGATGAACGATACAAGTATATTTTAGTAGTTCCATATTTAAAAAGTTTGAGAAAAAAAAAGGTAAAAAATAATTTAAAAAATTGCTAATTTTATTCTAATGATATGATTTGTAATGCATATGTAAGTAAAATAATTAAATAAATATATTAAATATATGATTAAGCTAATAAATTCATTTGTTTTGAATGAAAATAGTTTTGAATGAAAATATTTCTAAATATTATAATTATGATCAATAAGTTCAATTTGCCACTGTATAAAATAAATATTAAAATCAGATATTTAATAAATTAAAAAATATATATAAATAATAATTATAAAATACCTCATCACTTCCATTGAATCTTCCCCTATGCCCAACGACTTCTTGAAAAGTTCTATTCCCAATTCCAAATCTGTAATTATGACTAGATAAAATATAATTATCTGGATTATCGAAGTTCTCAGCTTCATCGGAATAATCCGAAGAAAAATCAGAACTTCTTAAAGTAATTATATCACCAGTCTTCACGTAGGGTGTATTATTATGTTTTGTTGTATTGCAACGTAAAGTAGAATAATAATAATCACTTCTACAATGTACTATAAAAATAATTAGTTAATAATTAATAATTAATATACTAAATAATATTTATGTAATAATACCTTCTGCAAATCCAGTTGTAGGAGATTTATAACATCTTTCTATATATAGCTCATGTCCAGTTGCTTTATGAGTTAAATATACGTCATCGCCATAAAATATTTTATCAGTTTGATAGGAATTACAAGAATTTAATAACCATGAAAAATTTGATTTTTCATTGGATCTTTCACCAGCAAATACCTAAAATAAAAAATGGAAAATTGAATAATGTAAAATAAATTAAATAATGAATTAAATAATAAAAAATTTTATACTTACTAATTGCTGTTTAGAACCTGTTTGATATTTCATTTTACAACTAGATAAATATTTTCCTGTTAAAACATGTTTTAAAGTAATTAAAGAACCATATTTAATTACTTTTAATTCGTCAAAGACAACATCGCTAAACGCTTTAAATATTTTATCTGTCGAATTAACACCATCCACACTTTTCAAGAATTCATTTCTTGAGAATTCATTTGATGAATATGTACTAAAAAGTAAATTTTTAATTTCTTTATGATCATAAATTTCCGCATCATTACAAAGTGAACGAAAATCGGCAAGGAATGTTGCAGTATAATTTCCTTCTTCCTCGGGAATATATTTCATTACTTGTAATTTTCTTTTACAGGAATCTTTAAAAATGCTAAAGGTTGGATGTGAACTAAGTGCTCTAACAAGTTTATCCAAATTATCAATTCCTTCCGGAATATAAATACTTGAATTTATCATTAAAATGCATAATTCAAGTATATCAGGTTCACTCGTAATTCGATTTATTTTACAATAGGCACGCATTTGTTTAACATATTCATTAGGATGGCAAGTTCCGTTATATTTTGGTATTTCCATTGTCGAAAACCAACTGTTAAAAAAAAAATAAAAAAAAAATTTATGAAGTTGCGAAATGGTTGGCTTTTATAATTAATGAAATGATCATCAATGATATTGTGTTATTGTTAGTCGATTAATGTTTTTATAGTTTTTAATAGACTGATATCGGATACGGATATCTTAACCCCATTAGGTCCTAATGACCGATTGATTTGATCATGTGATCTATTGATTCCAAATTAAGGTTGCAGTTTAATAAAACTCCGTTTAATTTGCTTTTGTCCTTTTGATTCATATTTAAACGTATATTAAAAAAACTCATTCAACATGCCCAAATGTAATTATTAATTAGATTTATTTACAAAATAGTGTGTTATGTCACAAAAACTCTATAAACTAATTAATTTGTAATTCGTAATTGTAATTTTGCAATTTCTTCAATTAATAATTGCTGAGCATGTCTTTGATCCTCTTCATTAAAATCTTGAGAATCATCAATAAAGAAAGACGAAACCCTCTGAATATCAATAATATTATTTCGATATCTTAATTTACATAAATATTTTAAATATTTTATATTAGGAGTTAGTAAAAAAAACAACAACATAATGTGGCAAAGAAAAAATATAATAAAAATATTTAAAACATACTCTTTAGTAACATTGACCAGTACATCATCTTCATAGTTAATATGTTCTGGTAGTTTAGTCTTCATATTAGGATCGGGTGTGATAAACATTCTCGCGTTAAGATCTTCTCGCGTGAATTTCCTCTCTGGATTTTTCTGATCTACCACTCGACTATATAACAAAATAAATTAAATTTGAGAATTAATTGCTTAAAAAAAGGATAGAATCAGTATATAAACTTACATTGATAAGCTCATTTTATGCACTGAATTGTTGAATAATTTATCTTCAAATGTTCCAGCCGTTATCAATCGATAAACGAATACAGGTTTCGTTTGACCATATCGGTATGCCTAAGTTAAGAAAAAATAAATAACCACGAAACCAAACTTTCAATATTTACAAGTAACTATATTTTGTTTACCCTGCCAATGGCTTGTTCCGCATGGCTAATAAATAATATTAAAAAATTAAAATGAATGTTTGCGTAGATCTCGGAATGGATATTATTAAATAGCACCTACCTTGGGTTCCATTCACCATCAACCAAAATAACCCTATTAGCTCCCACTAAATTGACACCTAAAGCGGCAGTCTATAATAAAATTAATAAGGTTTTACGAATCAAACTTAAATAAAAAGATAATAAAATAAAATAATACTTACCCTGACCGAAATTAATGCGACTCGCCATAATTTAGTACGGTTAAAATCTTTTATTAACATTTGCCGGTTCTATAAGAGAAACGATAAAACAATTGCGAGTTAAATTTAAGACCAAAATTACAAATTAATCTAATCCTATTCGAACTCACAGAAGAAGCCGTGCTCCCATCTATTCGCATAAAGTGAGAATCACTGTCGGGTTTCCATTTTCGTATTATTTTTTCAATGAAATCTATAATATACAAATTTAAAAATTTTTTTTTTTTTTTTCAAAAATAAAGAAAAATTTAATTAAATAATAAAATTACCTAAAGTTGGAATACTTTTAGAGAAAACTAGTACTTTGTCTTTTTTTAATTCACATTTCTCCAAAATCCTCATCAACACTTCCATTTTACAGCTCTCAGAAATAACATCCAAATCTTTAAAAAATTTATAACGTAAAGTTAGTTAAGGTTTCATGTTTAATATATAATATAATATAATATATCAAACCTTTCATGTTGCTCACGATATTATAAATATTTTCTCGAACGGTACTTGGCATCCTTTAAAAATTAAAAAATAAATTATTGAAAAATTTTTTTTTTTCCTTTAACGAATAAAATAATCATAAAATACATTTTTGATTCTTCCATTGCGGTCACTTCACCATCTTCGCCTGTCAAATCTATAACTTTTAATATTATAGTTCGGTTACTAATAGAAACATAATCAAGCAACTTAACTATGTATTTACGATATAATTACCAATTTTTTCTTTTGTTTTGCTCTCCTTAACCTTGTAACTTCCGTATCTATTTGGATCAAGGCTTGGCTAAATAAATTAACAAATTAATAAAAATGAAAAAGATAGCATATTAAAGAATTTAAATGTATTCTGCACATACCAAGACTATTCCAGGATGATTGCATATAACACCTAAAAGATGTGAATATTGTATATTCGGCCCCCCCTCACTTTTTAATGCATCAATTAAAGCCTTGTAAATGTCAAGAACGTTTAAGCATGATAACTCAAATGTAATAAATTAAAATACATCGTATAAAGTATTATAAGACACCTTATATATCTCTAATTGACGTCCATGCATTCTGCAAGAAATAAGATATTCTACTTTTGTAGGCAGATCCTGTTCTAAAATACTGACATTTTTCCTATAATAAAGACCGAAAACGTTAATTTAAAAAATTTTTCTTTATATTAAAAGAATTCAAACTGATAATTAAACAGCTAGCTACCTATGAACAATATCTTCAATAATATTGCCAAGAACGTAAAGCATCTTTCTTGAAAGCTATAGCGCATTAATACAATATTCGTAATATTTAATTATATTATATATTGAAAAATAAAGAAAGGGCAAAAATAAATAAATGGAACAACCTTTTGATCCGCAGGATCGGCTTGTTTATACAAACCATTTTGAATAGGTAACATATACACTTTTCTAAAATCTTCAAGCTCACCCAAATAATTGGGACATACAAATTGTATCTGCAATCAAAATTAAAATCAAAAAAAAAAGGAATCCTATGTAACCCCATATATTATATATTTTTATGTTCATTAAAAAATGTTCAACAATACGTACCATGCACCAATACTCAACCTAAAAAAGTAAATGAGAATATAAGTGTCAAATTATCATACACAAAAAAAATTATTATAATTTAAAATAAGAATGGATTATTATGCCTTACCAAATTGTTTTGTAAAGGTGATCCAGTCAAAATTATTCGACTTGGAGTTTTTAGACCCCTAAGAACATCATTAAGTTTTGTCTAAAAAAAGTTTCATTATAATTATAATTTGTTTCTACTTTTATATATAAAATGACCCAACTTACATCCTTCGTTTTAAGTATATGGCCTTCGTCTGCAACTACTAACGATGGACCGGGATCCAAGAAGAATTTATTGTATTCATCTCTGTGTGGTGAATTTTGTGTTACGAGATGCCTATACATTTCGTACCCAATTAAAAGCACGCCACCTTCTTGAAACCATAAAGAAATAGTAGAATGACGCTGATTAAGGCTGTTTTCTAAACAATTAAATTAGATAACTTAAATTAAAATATTCCGAGTTAAGGTTAATGATATAACAAATAACTTACCACTATTAAATTTATGTATCTTAAATATTTTATTCACGTCCTTTAACCAGTAATTAAATTCATTTTCCCAATTATCAACAACAATTTTTGGACAGAGAATTAAAATCCTGAATACCTAATATGAGAATAATGTTATATAAATGAAACGTAATAAAACTTTTACGAACAAAAATATTTTACCTTAAGATGATCAGGTATTACTGTATTATTTTTATATCCTCGAATATGATAAGCCAATGTGAATAAAAATGTTATAATTTGAAACGTTTTTCCTAACATTTAATAAAATATAAATTCACATTAACCAAATTTTATACCAATAAAAATATTTTAAGATTCTTTTACTTACCTAATCCCATCGAATGCGCAAGAACACAGCCTTTATTGAACATTATTATATTCTTCCATAAGAATCGAACACCTTCAATCTAAATTAGTATTATAAGTAATTCCTTGGTTTAACAAATAAAATTGAATAAAATTGAATCTAACTACGAACCTGATGTGATTTCAATTTGCTGCCCAAAACATCGGGAATGTAAATATGATCTTCGCTTTCATGATGTCCAAGATTAATAACTACCTACAATGGGATGTTAAACATATTACTTAACAAATTGAATATCAAGTCTAACAAATAAGATATAATGCGAATAATTATACCCCTTCAGAAGGAGTTACAAGTTTTGATTGCCTATTTATTTAATATAAACATCAGTATCAATAATTAACGATATTCCTATATATTCCTATATATAAATAAATATCACTTACATCATAAATCTGTCTCTATAATCCTGCTCAAGCATACTTCTCGCCTTACGCTGTTCAATAACGGTTTCTGATTCTTTAGCTCTCTTTCTTCGTTTAGATTTTTTTTTGATTTCGTAAGAACTGTCAGAGTCGGAATCCTCATCTTCACTATCTCCAACATAATTTTTTGCAATCTGGGATTCACTCTTCATTTCAATTTCTGTGCGTCTTTAAAACGCAAACATTAAATTAAAGCTGTTAAACAGATAAACAATCGATTATAACGCAAATAATTGCATTCAAACCTTTTGCTCGTAACATAATCTTTCCTCCAAATATAATACTTTTCGAAAGCCTCTTTACTATTTGGTTTTAGTTTACAATTCTTATCACTTCTACATAATATATACAAATACATTCTGAATTCATTAAATATACGCATCAAAACTGGCTGATCTGAAAACTCCTGATCACAATCAAAAGCCAGTTTTACTGAAAGTTCAACTATTTGATCATACAATTCTAGATAAAAAAAGGGATAAAAATAGAACGTTAAAATTATTATATATATTTAGCAGTTTTGAATTATGCATACCTTGGATGTTATATTTGAGGAAGGCAGCATCAACTTGATGATGTAATTGTTCTATTTTTTCTTCATATATATCATCATCATCAGTGTAATTAAAGTCTTTTGGTGGAGCGTAAGGAACGACAGCCTTGGGCATATCAGACTTAGAACTATTGTTGACCTTAAGTTCATCATCATCTATTTCCATATCACTTGCAATTTCTGTATCACTTTCTACAATGATAATATCGGGTGGCTTACTAACAGCTGAAACATCTTTAGGCTCTTTAGGTGGCTTTTCAACTTTAGGAACAACCAAATTTGTTTCTTCCGAAGATGAATTTACTTTAATAGCAACGTCTACAGCAGATTGCATATTTTTAACTTCGGGTGATGAAGCTAATATGTCATTTTCAAGCACATTTGATTCGCTCGATTTATCAGAAGTATGAGACTTTTCGGAATTGACATTTGCAACAGTTTCGTCTGTTAATTTTGCATTATCCTTTGTTACTTGTTCATTTGACTTTTTAGTAACCTTAGGCAAATCCGGTAATTTCATCGTTTCAATGGTGACTTAAAAATCGTGAAATAAAATTTATAATTAGATCATAAAATTCATAATTATTTGTATATTTACATAAAGGAGGCTTACGTGCAGGAATCCCATATAATTCTGCCCATTCCGAATTATAAGTATCCATGTCAACTGGCTCAGAGTCATCAATGAAATCTGAATCATATTCTTCATCTTCATGATCATCAGTAACCTCATCTGAATTCACCTACAACAATTTAATTATATTGTATATTAAATAAACAAAAAAAATAAATAAATAAAGTTAAAAAATACTTCAACATTATCTACGTTTTTAATTTCTTTCTTTTTTTGAGGAATCTTTGCAGGCTTCTGTGGAACTTCTGGTCTAATCAAGAGCTCCAATATCCAATCGATTTTGAATACCTGATGCAAAGTCATATCTAACGCTCCACACGCACGTCTTACTGAAGGTTTTTCTAGCGTTAATTTTTTAACTGTATTAAGATTTGATTTAACTTGTTCAATTAATTGAGGAAGGCGCTAAATTGACAAAATTTAGTATACGCAATTACCGCATTAAAGCTCAATAGTCAATACAACATAATATTATAAATTGTCATAATACCTCATTTCTTAAATGTTTTAAATCTTGTTGTAAGGTAGACATTCGAGTTATATTTTCAGTTTTTTTTTTCCTCGGATAGTATCTTGACCAATAATAATAAGCTCTATTTTCAAGTTGTGGTTTTCTATAAAAGAATAAACTTGTTTTAATATTTTTTTTCTCTCTTTTTTTTTTTACAATAAACTCTAATAATTTGATATCTACTTTGTAGCGTCCCATTTTTCTCTCTCTTTTGTCATGTATAAATTAATTAAATGATCGATTTGTGATTCCTCATCTTCACTTGTTTCTGAAGTAATGCTATCATCACTAGAAGAATAGTCTTTGTTTTCTGAATCTGCATAAATGAAAGGAGGTGACCATTTTCCTGTCTTTTTGGCCAATATTCTTTCTTCTTCCATAATTTCTTCTTCAAAATCACTTGTTAAATAACATTTTTCTTCATCATCACTATTACCATAAACCTATAAACATTGAAAAATGTGCTTAAGTATGAATTTGTAAAGACTAATCCCAAAATAATTAATAATTTTAAAATATAATATGCACCGGGAGCAATTCATCATCTTCTGCATACATCCACTTTGTTGCATAACCAAACTCTTTTCGTAGTGATAAGATTCTCTCCTCCTCTTCCTTTGAAATCATATCTTTTCCAGCTCTGATAACATGAAACTTGGAAAGGAAAACTTCATTTGATTCATAAGTGTCTTTTTTATTATTTAATTCAATGTCATTGTCCCTATCATCTTCTTCCATTATTGTATCTCCCTCATCATCCTTAGACAATGCATCATTGTCCTCATAAAGATCACTCCTATCTTCATCACTATCATATTCTTCCTCACTGGAAATAACATCAGAAGTTTCACCATCATCAATTGTTAGATTTGTAATATTATTTTCTACTGATTTATTAGGATCTCGATCATTAACTTCATTTGGCGACTCAAATATAAATGATGTTGATGCAGGTAAAACTAAAGGAACAATTTGAAGTTCTCCTTCTATAATAATAAACATAAAAAATATTATTATTTGTAATTCATAAACACAAATTGTTTTGAAATTTTGAACATTACCATTTTCCAATTGTAAAGCTTGTATCCCATTTAATATTTTAAATCTAGAATTATATGATATGACACCCAAGCGGTTTAACAGAATATTGTCCGTTATATGATTTAATAATATCTCACCATTGATTTCATTTTCTAAACATTCGGAAAAATATATATATAATAAGGAGCAATTCAGAAAAATATGTATACAAAATTATATATACATAATGTATATGCCACGTATACATTTTTTTTTTATCTTTTTACCTTCAAATATCTTTACAACTTGTTCATCAAGTTGTAAAGTATTAGCAAGCCAAGACTTTACTTCTTCTATACTCCAATTCATAGAACCCATCTCGATTAAAAAATATATATAAAAATTAAGAAAAAAAAAATTTTTAAGAGAGAGTTGTGGAATGAAACATATAAAAATTTGGCTTGATTGTTTACTAGCCAAATAAATATTTACTCAAGTTAACAAAAAAAGGAAAGATCATCACGTACCATCACAAATTGCATTATGCTCGTTTTGCCGTTTTTATCGGTGATTAAACTACGTGATCGTAAAAACCATAATGATCGGCATTTATACCTTATAAAGTCTTGCTATTCATCCTGTGTATTATTTATTCCAAATAAATTTATTCTTAATTTTAGACTTTGTATACTTTGTATTATAATTTTTGCGAAAAAAAAGGAATACCCCTTTTAATAGAAATGATCTTGTTCTAGTTGAAAAAACAAAGGTGAAATCGAACGATCGTTGTGTTATTTAGCTACTTAGTTGTTTAGCACACGTTAAGTCAACCTCTTATTTTTAAATTAAATAAGTAACTATTTTAAATTACCGGTAAATAGGTTTAATATCTGTCTCAAGATATTGGATAAATTATTCAGAATTCTAATATTTTACCTTTCCCTTTGTTTTCGCTCATACAGAGGTACAATAGATTTCATGATATTACAATCTCAAGATCGTGTAAATTGATTTTTTAGCAGTTCAGGATCAATGAATTCTTTTATAGGATTAGTTCAAAGCAAAGAATATTAACGTTGATTATGATTATTTTATCACCATCATTTAAAATATTTCAGTGAAGACGCTAAATAAGTTAGTAATTTTCTCAGGAACAAATTTAGGGTTGACCATGACTGCTCATATATTAATGTTCAAGTTTCTAGTTCTAATTTGACTATTATCACTCTATTTACTTAAGAAATTTTTTATTCACAAATAAAATTTATAATGAAGTTAATAAAAGAATTTTATTAATAATATATATATAAATAAATATTTCCTTATCTTTTTCTCTTTGTACCTCTGTTATTATTTTTATTCCCATTATTAATCCCTTTCTCTTTCTTAATTTCCTTATCTTTTCCTTTGGTTACCTTCTCAAAAACGGTATTACTTTTATCATTATTTTTCTTACCGCTATTATTCTCATCTCTAATCGTTCCTTTACTTTCTTCGATAACTTGCTTACTTTCTTTCTTGTTTTCATTCGATTCTAATTTGATTCCTTCCTTTTCTAATTCTTTTAATATTAAATTTGCACCAGATTTTTTATCTTTTTCAGCTGCCCTTCGGATTTGCTTTAAACCTTTCAATAATGCTTCCTTAACATCCTTATTGGTCTCTTTATCTTCTAATAAAGCTAATATTACAAATGAAGCTGAAAGATGACACGCGTAAAATAAAACATATTCTTTAATACTATCAAATAAAATTGGAGCGAAATGTAATTCAACCTTTTCATCATAATTAATTTGTGGTGATTCATCTTTCTTTGATGAAATATCTTCATCTTTTTGTAGATTTTTTTGTGGCCTAGGTTGTTTCCAATACCTTCCATGAACTAATGTTTTAAGAGTACGATTAATGTAAGATAACATAATATGATCATCTTTTGCTTCTTCATTATTTGGATCTTTATTAGCTAATTTTGCAATATTTTCTAAGATGGGTTTCTTTTGATCTAAAGTTCCATCAGCATGTAACAATATTTCGCAAAGAACTTGAGTCGAATAAGTAAACGAGAACATTGTGGAAGTATTATTCTGTGCATAATCTATTAGTGCTGGTGAAATTGCTTTACAAAGTTCATTTACACGTACAGCAGGATCCTTTTTACTATTGATTTAGTTTACAAAAAGATTTTTTAATATAAAAATATTATTATTAAATAAAAATAAATATAAATAACGTGCCTTGTCTTCGTACGAATATCATCACCTTGAGCAAGTAAACGTAATGTTTCATTGCTAAAGTATAATTTGGTCCTATGAGCTAATAAATATAAAATTACACGATGTCCCCATTTATTTTGAATAATATTCCCTAATTTATTCAATTTAGTCATTTGCTATTTAAAAATTATAAATCCAAAGTAAATATTAAAAAATTTAAATAATATCATAAAGCGATATGATAATATATCAACAGAATCTAAAATTAATTACCTCAATAATATATTTAGATACGGCAACGGTATCATCAACAACATCAAATGCTCTTAATAACACCAAATGTCCATATTCTTCAATACATATCTTTTCTATATAATCTTTCATGGCTTTTAACATAATTTTCCTATCCTATAAATAGAATAACAAAATTTAATTATTAATAATAACAAATAAAGATGATTTTTTTTATAGCATACCTTTGCAGTTCCATAAGAAAAACACATCATCGCTATACGAGAACCTTCACGTGTATGTAAGAATTCGTGTATATGTTCTCCGATTAAAGCAACTTTTTCACGTATCTTATTCTCATTGGCATAATTAAAATAATCCAATATAATATGATGCGGTATAATATATCCAATTAAATCAGGTTTTTTCATTATTGCTTCTATCTCTCTTGAAAGATTTTCAAGAAGTCTCTCTTTATTCGAAGGATTCTCTTTTATAAGTTCTTCAATACTTAATCCTTGTGTTTCCTATATTAAACAAAAAAAAAAATCACCAAACCATACTCTAATTGCGAAAGATAATTAAATGGATCAAATTAATACCTTGAACAAAGAAAATTCTTTTCCATAAAATTCTTGAATTAAAGCGGATCTTTGTCTTGCATTAAGTAATTCATAAGCTTCTAGAATTACACTACGAGCTTCTGTATGTTGAATCAGTTTTGCTATATTTCCCTTAAATTCTGATATAATTTTATTTCTATGTTCTGAACTGAAAAATATTTTTTTAGAATAAATAAATATAATAAATTTTTTTTTTTTAAAAACAAAAAAAAAATTTACACTCACCAATACATTAAAACTTTACAAATAACAAATTTAGAATGAGTATGCTTTGAAGCTTCTAACCATTTTCCTTCCAATTCATCAACAATGATTTTTTTTTGTTCTTTTGTACCATATTTAAGTACTGTTTGTATAATACGTGAAGTATCATTTTTAAATAATATTTCGGGTATTTTACCCTTCATTAATTCAAATAATTCACCCATATATTTATTTCTTTTTTCTTTAGAAATATTTTTTATTCGTACTTGATTCCATAATTCTTTTAGTCCTAAATGATAAGCCGGATCAAGTTTTTTCGTGACTGTTGGTTTACGTTGAAAAGCTAACTTAATTACATTATAATCTATCATGTTAAATAGAAAATGGGTCTGATTAGAGTTTGAAAATTTTTTTTTTTAAAAAAAAGTAATGAGAGTTAAAGCATGTTGCGAGAATCATTACCAATTTCCTGAATTCTTTGTCGTTTCGATTTCTTTTCTTCTTTCTCATCATCATCTTCCTCATCGCTATCCTTATCCTCATCCCTATTCCCATCCTTATCTCTGTTCTTGTCCTTGTTCTCATCCTCATCATCATCATCATCCGATAATTCTTCATACCCAATATTAATATCATCTCCTAAACTCACATATTCATCATTATCACCAATATGATCATCGATATCACTATCATCTTCAATATCAAGTTCCACATATTCTGAAGAATCTTCTTTCAAATTAAATAGTTCTTCTTCTAAATCATCTTCATTAATATCGATCATTTCAAAATTAATCGAATCATCCGATAAATTGCCGTTATCGATATCCATTTCGTCCAATGACTCTTTCAACTTTAATTTTTTATTATTAGATTCGTTAGAATACTTTTTATTTTTCTTACTAATCTTATTATTCATAGCATCTTTTTTTGGAGCTGATTTAATTGAGATTGATTTTTGAGTTGACTTTTGTGGTGATACTTTCTTCGGCATTGTTTTAGTTACTGATGAAGATTTAGCAATCTTTTTTGATTTTGTCGGTGTAGGCATCTATTAAAGTATCCTGTAAAAAAAAAGTAAATTAAAGAATATTGACTCAATTAATGAAATTTACATCGACATCCGACATCTATTCTAAAAAGGGAAACAACGAATAAATTTAAGAAAAAAAATCAAAAAAAAACTAAGTAAAATAAGAAATAACAGATAAAATAAAACAAATTTTAAAATTACTAAAATTACTTCAATTACTTCAAATCTTTAAATGACAAAAAAAATTGAAAAGAGCAAGATTTTATTTGATAAAAAATTTTTTTTTTTTCGTCTCATATTTTTTGCATACGTTACACAGATCTTGATTTACAATGTCCTATAAGCTAATAGGCTATAAGTTGTAGGCGATATTTTTGATGCTTTTAGGTTCATGATAAATATTCATAATTTTAAGGCGCCGAAACTAACAAAACCTAAATTGCAACCCCTAATTACACTTTTATTAATCTTTACTTTAGAAATTATTTTTCACAATGTAACAATTTTAACCCAATTTATTAGATATTTTAATCCAATAAATTGAGATTTTATTAACCCAAAACTCGTGTCTTATGATTTTTATGTAATAATAAACCAAGTAATGTATTTTATTTAATAAAAGTTCATATTTTATTTAATTCACTATTACAGTTAGTTGAAAGATGATGTACCTAATTTACAACTATTATAATTTTAAATGATTTTGAGCCAGAGCTTGCAACCTTCCGCCTATTTCGGCAGGCAACACTAAACTTCATCTATATCTGGAATGGTAATTTCATCAGTTCCTCTATTAATATTTTCATTTCCTCCTACAATTTTGTCTTCTACTGGTGGAACAGGGTTTTTTGAATTATCATTTTTTCCTAATGCTCCACACCTGGGTAGTACTAATGTTTCACTAATAATACAAATAAAACACAACAAATCACATGAAGTTATGAATACTTTAAAAATATCATTAACTTGACAAAGTCCTTTAGGTTGACATCCAATTCCATAGGATAAGACTAATAATTTTAAGGTTTCATTAGTGAGGGACTGAGGGTTCCCAATAATAATTCAAACTTAACTTGTGAAACTCGCCTAAAACTACCACTTCCCATAGGTTCAGGATTAATTTCGTCAGAACTATCGGTTGAGCAGCCCATCCAAAATAACTAGATGAAAATTTTAATTAGAGAGTATCAGATAGGAATATTAAATACACGAAAATAATTACTCACGGACTCCAACACACTGCAATGTCAGAAAATACCAAGAGAACTAAAAATAAAAGATTTTGAAATCAACTGGGCACATATTATAAATAACTGCGGTTTTATATAATTAAAAAAAAAAGAACATACACATTATTACAGCCCAACTTTAAGTAATTATTATTTAGGAAATAATTATATTAGTTATAATCAAAGTATTTAAAACCGAATTAACAAAAGTGCAATGATTATTATATACTAACATAATATTGTAAATATCATTCTTTATTCTCAAGATTCTCGAGAATGCAATACTTGCTAAATAATTAATATAAATTATTATTTTAGATATTATTCTTCAAATTTAAGAAATTAATATAAATAATAATAATCACCTAGTAATAAAGATACAATCCTGATGATACATATTCCGATTAAACAGCAACAAAGAATTAACGCTGTTTTAGCGGAATTCATTTCTAATCAAATGTTTAGTTTAATTTTGACTTATAAATTTAATTTGTTTGTATGTATTACACGTGTTATTTGGTTATGGATGTATTTGTGTGCTTTATTGCCGCTTTCTCCATTTGCCGAAAGTAATACCTATAATGGTTTTTCTTTCTTAATTTAATTTTTAAAACTTACCATTAAAAAGTTAAATTTTTTTTTTATAAAATTAGTTCATTTTGTCTGTTGTATTGTGTAATTCCTTATTTCGGCACGATTGGCATCGTACCATCGTACCTGTGCATAATTAACAATATTATTTCATACTACATCATTACAATGAATTTAGGTTATTACAAATTCACAAATAACAAACTTGGCTTGAAAAAGTGATAAGAAAAAACATATTAATTTTCATAATTATGGAGATTTTGAAAATATTGAAATTATTGGTAGGGGAGTTTTAAAGGCTGGATGGGTCAATCGTGATATGTGTATTGCTATAAAAGGCATTAAATTGTTTCCAATGCTGATGAAAAAATTTTATAAAAGAAGTGATTTTTGTTTCCAATTCAACTTTAGTTTTCTTAAATTTTTTAATTTGATATTTAAAGTTATGTTTGTATACATTTATAAAATATTTTTTAATTTAGTTAAAAAATCATCGAAAGGTTGATCTCCATAAAAATATAATTAGGTTTTATGAAATTAGTAAAGGTAATTATTATCTAAAAGGATTAAATTATTCGTTAACGATGAAAATTGATAATACTTCATCAAAAATAGATCCAACACTCGGCAAGTATTTAATGATTCTCAAGTATGCGAATCAAGGTACTTTGCGCAATTATTTACAAACCCAGATAGAATAAAGAACTGGAACATTAAATCTAAATTTGCGAAATAACTAACAAGCGGTGTGAATGTTTACACGAAGAAGGAATAATTCATCGAGATTTAGTAATACGTTATTTTTATGTTTGTGATTTTTTATTTATTTTTTTTTTTTTTGCTAATTTTTCTTCCTTCTAATTTAGCACTCGAACAACGTTTTAGTTCATGATCATACATACCATCAAAATAGCTGATTTAGGTTTGTCAAAACAACTCGCTGAAATGTCACATGGAATAAACGAGATTAAAGGAGTACCTTACATTGATCCACAAGCATTCAAAAATAACGAATACAAACTAGACAAAAAATCAGATGTGTATAGCGTAGGAGTTTTGCTTTGGGAGATATCAAGTGAACGTCCTCCTTTTGAAAAGTCAACAAATAAAGTATTTACAATGTTATCAATTGTGACTGGGAATAGAGAACAGCCAGTGACTAATACTCCCTTAGAATATCGATCTTTATACATAAAATGTTGGGACGATGATCCAAAAAAAAAGACCATCAATGAAAGATGTTTCTGAGAAATTAAAGAAAATGAACCTTAATTATAAATCACAGCCACAACCACCACAACCAATTTCCCCAACACCAAGTGATAAAATAACGAGTTCATCATCTAGTTATATTAATGATTTTAGTGTATCTATTTCAGATGAATTAGAAGAAATTAAAAAAATGGCGGATGATAAAATCAATAATAAAGAAAATAATAATACACAAGGTTCTAAGGAAGATAATGAAAAAATTATTATATCGGAAGAAGATGAAAAATTTTTAAATATTTTAGTCACAATTTTTGTGAATAGTATAAATAATGGTGATGAATATTATCAAACAGCAATAAGTCTTTTTTGTTTTATTGAAGAAAATAATAAAGATCCTACTGATATCTAAAACTACTAAATTTAGCTCAAGCAATTGAACATCATTCATGTATTATTGGACTATGTTACCTATGTGGTTATGGAACTGTCCTGGATAAAACTCATGCGTTTAACTTTTTCAAATATCTGCTGAAAATGGCAATTCAATGGGTTATTATTTTCTTGGACAATGTTACTTATTAGGAATGGGAACAAATGTGAATTTAAAAATGGCATACTCATAATTTTTGAAATCAGTTGAAAGTGAAAACAGTGCAGGAAAATGACTATTTGGTTATTGTTATCAAATGGGATTGGTACTGAAAAAGATGATGAAAAAGCTGTAGAATGGTATCAAAAATCAGTCCAAGAAGATAATTCTATGGCGATGTGTAATCTTGCTACTTAATCCTTCTATATTAAAACAAAAAAAAATCAAAAAACCATACTCTAATCGCGAAAGATAATTAAATGGATCAAGTTAATGCCTTGAACAAGGAAAATTCTTTTCCATAAAATTCTTGAATTAAAGCGGATTTTTGTCTTGCATTAAGTAGTAGTTCATACTAAGCTTCTAGAATTACACTACGAGCTTTTCTATGTTGAATCAGTTTTGATATATTTCCCTTAAATTCTGATATAATTTTATTTCTATGTTCTGGACTGAAAAACAAATTTAGAATGAGTATGCTTTGAAGCTTCTAACCATTGTCCTTCCAATTCATCAACAATGATTTTTCGTTGTTCTTTATACCATATTTAAGTACTGTTTGTATAAAACGTGTAGTATCATTTTTAAATAATATTTCGGGTATTTTACCCTTCATTAATTCAAATAATTCACCCATATAAATTTCTTTTTTCTTTAGAAATATTTTTTATTCGTACTTGATTCCATAATTCTTTTAGTCCTAAATGATAAGTTTTTTCGTGACTGTTGGTTTACGTTGAAAAGCTAGCTTAATTACATTATGATCTATCATGTTAAATAGAAAATGGGTCTGATTAGAGTTTGAAAATTTTTTTTTAAAAAAAAGTAATGAGAGTTAAAAGCATGTTGCGAGAATCATTACCAATTTCCTGAATTCTTTGTCGTTTCGATTTCTTTTCTTCTTTCTCATAATCATCTTCCTCATCGCTATCCTTATCCTCATCCCTATTTCCATCCTTATCTCTGTCCTTGTCCTTGTTCTCATCCTCATTAATCATACCCAATATTAATATCATCTTTTAAACTCACATATTCATCATTATCACCAATAGCACATCGATATCACTATCATCTTCAATATCAAGTTCCACATATTCTGAAGAATTTTCTTTCAAATTAAAATAGTTCTTCTAAATCATCTTCATTAACATCGATCATTTCAAAATTAATCGAATCATCCGATAAATTACTTATCGATATCCATTTCGTCCAATGACTCTTTCAACTTTGGTTTTTTATTATTAGATTCGTTAGAATATTTTTTATTTTTCTTACTAATCTTATTATTCATAGCATCTTTTTTGGGAGCTGATTTAATTGAGATTGATTTTTGAGTTGACTTTTGTGGTGATTGTTCCATCGGCATTGTTTTAGTTACCGTTGAAGATTTAGCAATCTTTTTTGATTTTGTCGGTGTAGGCATCTATTAAAGTATTCTGTAAAAAAAAAAGTAAATTAAAGAATATTGATTCAATTAATAAAATTTACATTGACCTCCGACATCTATTCTAAAAGGGGAGACAACGAATAAATTTAAGGAAAAAAAATCAAAAAAAAGAAAATATTAAGAAATAAAATAAGAAATAACAGATAAAATAAAATAAATTTTAAAATTGCTTTAACCTTTGAATGACAAAGAGCAAGATTTTATTTGATAAAAAAAAATTTTTTTCGTGCAATATTTGCATACGTTACACAGATCTTGTTTTTCAGTGTCCTACAAGACTACAAGTTAATAAGCTATAAGTTGTAAGCAATGACTGTGCGCGCTTTTAAGCATGATAAATATCATTCATAATTTTAAGGCGCCGAAACTAATAAAATTTCGAAAATATTATTTTACATTAATTTATTTGTAATATTAAGGACGTAAAAATTACATAAATTTTATTAGGATTAGATAATTTTAATTTAGTATTGGCCGTAAGTAATAATTAAGACATAACCTCCTCAATTTCAACTTCGTCTACTGCTGGTGGAACAGGGTTTTTTGGATATTCATTTTCTCCTAAAACATCAAGTAAGTTTGCTTCTAATGCTCTACGCCTGGCTAGTACTGATAGTTTACGATGAAGATAGATAATATAAATTAAACTCAACAAATCACATGAAGTTATGAACCCTTTAAAAATATCATTAACTTGACAAAGGCTTTTAGGTTGACATTCAATTCCATAGGAAAAGACTAATAATTTTTAAAGTTTCATTAGTAAGGGGTTCCAATTATAATTCGAACTGAACTTGTGAAACTCGCCTAATAATACCACTTCACATAGGCTCAGGATTAATTTCGTCAGAATTAACGTCAGTAGAGCTCGATTTTCTCTATCAAATCCATGTAGATGAAAATTTTAGTATCGGATAGGAAATATTAAATACACAAAAATAATTAATTACTCACTTACATTATGTAACTCGTAATCTCAAAAACTACCAAGAGACCTAAAAATAAAAGATTTTAAAGTCAACACTCAACTGGGCACATATTATAAATAATTGCGGTTTTATAGAATAAAAGAAAGAAACATACCCACTATTACAGCCCAACTTTAAGTAATTATTATTTAAGAAATAAATTATATTAGTTATAATTAAATTATTTAAAAACGAATTAACAAAAGTGCATTGTTATTATATACTAACATAATATTGTAATTTTCATTATTTCCTTCCTCGTTTCTCGAATATACAACACTTGCTAAATAATTAATATAATTTATTATTTTAGATATTATTCTTCAAATTTATTAAAGAAAATTAATATAAATAATAATAATCACCTAATACTAAAGATACAATCTTGATGATACATGTTCCGATTAAAAGAATTTGTATTAATTTTTTTGTTTCAGCATTCATTTCTAATCAAATGTTTAGTTTAAATTTGACTTATAAATTTAATTTGTTTGTATGTATTACAACATTGCATTCGTTGGACAATGAAACCATTGACTTTTCCTTTTTTTAGGTTCATAATGATTATACAAATTAATATAACAACACAAATTGTCTCCTTAAAAATAATGGAACAAACTTGGCTTGAAAAAGCGATAAGAAAAAAACACATTAATTTCCATAAATATGGAGATTTTGAAAATATTGAAATTATTGGTAGTGGAGCATATGGAAGAGTTTCAAAGGCTGAATGGGTCAATCGTGATATGTGTATTGCTATAAAAAGCATTAAAGTGTTTTCCAATGCTGATGAAGATATTTGGAAAAATTTTATAAAAGAAGTGATTTTTGTTTCCAATTCAACTTCAGTTTTCTTAATTTTTTTAATTTGATATTTTAAAGTTAGATATGTTTGTATACATTTATAAAATATTTTTTAATTTAGTTAAAAAATCAGCGAAAGGTTGATTACCATAAAAATATAATTAGGTTTTATGGAATTAGTAAAGGTAATTATTATCTAAAAGGATTAAGTTATTCGTTAACGATGAAAATTGATAATATTTTATCAAAAATAGATCCAACGCTCGGCGAGTATTTAATGATTCTCGAGTATGCGAATCAAGGTACTTTGCGCAATTATTTACAAACCCCAGATAGAATAAAGAACTGGAGCATTAAATCTAAATTTGCGAAAGAACTAACAAGCGGAATGAAATGTTTACATGAAGAGGGAATAATTCATCGAGATTTAGTAATACGTTAATTTTGTTTGTGATTTTTTTTTTTATTTTTTTTTTTTGCTAATTTTTTTTTCCTTCTAATTTAGCACTCGGACAACGTTTTAGTTCATGATCATACTATCAAAATAGCTGATTTAGGTTTGTCAAAACAACTCGCTGAAATGTCACATGGAATAAACGAGATTAAAGGAGTCGTACCTTACATTGATCCACAAGCATTAAAAAATAACGAATACAAACTAGACAAAAAATCAGATGTGTATAGCGTAGGAGTTTTGCTTTGGGAGATATCAAGTGAACGTCCTCCTTTTGAAAAGTCAACAAATAAAGTATCTACAATGTTATCAATTGTGACTGGGAATAGAGAACAGCCAGTGACTAATACTCCCTTAGAATATCAATCTTTATACATAAAATGTTGGGACGATGATCCAAAAAAAAGACCATCAATGAAAGATGTTTCTGAGAAATTAAAGAAAATGAACCTTAATCATAAATCACAACTACCATCACAATCATTTTGCTTGACACCAAGTATATCAAGTGATAAAATAACGAGTTCATCATCTAGTTATATTAATGATTTTAGTGTATCTATTTCAGATGAATTAGAAGAAATTAAAAAAATGGCGGATGATAAAATCAATAATAAAGAAAATAATAATACACAAGGTTCTAAGGAAGATAATGAAAAAATTATTATATCGGAAGAAGATGAAAAATTTTTAAATATTTTAGTCACAATTTTTGTGAATAGTATAAATAATGGTGATGAATATTATCAAACAGCAATAAGTCTTTTTTGTTTTATTGAAGAAAATAATAAAGATCCTACTGATATCCTAAAACTATTAAATTTAACTCAAGCAATCGAACATCATTCATGTATTATTGGACTATGTTACCTATGTGGTTATGGAACTGTCCTGGATAAAACTCATGCGTTTAACTTTTTCAAAACATCTGTTGAAAATGGTAATTCAATGGGTTATTATTTTCTTGGACAATGTTATTTATTAGGAATGGGAACAAACGTGAATTTAAAAATGGCATACTCATCATTTTTGAAATCAGTTGAAAGTGAAAACATTGCAGGAAAATGTTTACTTGGTTATTGTTATCAAATGGGATTTGGTACTGAAAAAGATGATGAAAAAGCTGTAGAATGGTATCAAAAATCAGTCCAAGAAGATAATTCTATGGCGATGTGTAATCTTGCATATTGTTATCAATATGGAATTTATCTAGAACAAAATTATGATTTGGCTTTTGATTTATATCAAATGTCAGCCAATGCTGAAAATTCTATGGGCCAATATTATCTTGGGTGTTGTTATCAAGAGGGAATTGCAATAACTAAAGATGTACTTAAAGCATTTGAATTATTTGACAAATCAGCTAGGGCAGATAATAAATTGGCACAATGTAAAATTGGTTTATGTTATCAATATGGTAAAGGAACTCCAAAAGATGAAGAAAAAGCCTTTATTTGGTATCGGAAATCGGCAGAAGCTGGTAATATTATAGCTAAAAATCAATTAGCGTATTGTTATAGTACAGGATTAGGTGTTAAAAAGGATGAAACAAAAGCTTTTAAATGGTTCAAAGAATCTGCTGGGGGAGGACATGTATCAGCACAATACAATCTTGGAGTGTATTATAATTTTGGTATTGGAACCAAAACTGATAAAGTGCAGGCAAAATTGTGGTATGAGATTGCTATTGAAGGTGGACACGATGGTGCAAAAGATAGATTAAAAAAATTATTATCGGTTAAGTAAGATAATCCATTTGAATTATTCTATTTGAAAATTAAAAAAAAAAAATATCGAAAAAATTTATTTTTAGTCGTTTCCAAGACTATAATTTAGTCTGTAGATTAATTGATTTATTAATATTTTACTTTTCAGATACTACTTTTGTTATTTATCAATATCATAATGCCATTTATAGGAAAAAAAATTTTATCATAATTCTCATCTATTAAAGGCAGAAATCGGTCTAACTATAATCCATGTTTCATGGATAAAGCACCTGGAATGAAATTTCTTTTTACAAACTGCAACTCTCTACAATTGTAAACCATGCATATGCCCGTTTATAGAGAGTAAATAATTAATCATGTAAATTTGGGACTGATCAAAGAGTGCACTTAAAAAGGGAATACACTAATAGAGGTTGCATTTATAGAGAATTGAATGTACCAGGATTTTTAATACAATGTTTCTTTAATGACAAAAAAGTCAATGTTTTGATTTAGGATAGCAGCTAAGAATTGCTTTTATCAATAATTAGGAGCTGATGATAATTGTATTTACCCGTAACACGTGCTACTATTTTCCATATTACTTACTATCAGAATTTTGCAAAATCTCAGGTTTCCGAAACGATTACCATTCAAAAAAAAAACTTTATGGTAATGATTATTTGAACAGTGAATTTTAATTTTTTGCGTCATACAAGTCGTAAGCGATTCATACGTTAATGAAGATTAAGTCGTAAGAGACTATTTCTGCCGAAATGTAAGAAAATTAACTAGAAAATAATTATTTAAAAGAACATTTTAAGGATGATATTTCATATTCTTTGATGATCTTTGGGTTATTCTCTTTTAAATTTATTACATAAAATATATAAAATATATAAATAATAGTCAATTATTTAGCCATTAACAGTCCGTCAAATTTAGTCAAAATCAGCATGATCCTATTAGACAGTTAAGCTTTATTATTTTAATTCTAAAAATTTACTATTTATTATAAATATATATCATCTAATGTAATTCTATCTCATTTTAGCAATATAAAATGAGGGAATATCGATTACCTCATTCTTAATAAATGTTAAATCTATTCTAATTCTTCTATTAATGGTAACCATCTGCTAACGTGCTTATTTTTTAACTAGATATATAAAAAAATTATTATCTAGCTCAATTGGTAATTCTGATTGAAATCATAATAAATAATTGAAGTTCAAAAATTTTATATTAATTATTTAATAATGTATTAATGTATTATCATAATCTCTAGATTAAATATTTCAACGACAACGTTAACTATTTTCAATTTTCAACGACAATATTAACTAAATTCTTATTTTCTTCAACAAAGTCTCCGACATTATAAAATATTTTTTCAACTTTTCCCGTTGTTGGTGATTTGATCAAATGCTTTATTATTATAATATTAAGTTAAAATGAGCATAATTTCAAGTTATATAAAACATAAACTAATTAATATCATCTTACCTCCATTTTCATAGCCTCTAGTACTACCAATGGCGCTCCCTTTTCGACAATTTGTCCTGGTTTTACAAAGACCTACAAAAAAATTTTATATTAGATGAATATTTAACAAAAGGTTATATATAAAATTAAGTAATGGTAGTACGGCGTGACTACCAACATTTCTATACTAGATGATAATAAACAGGAGCTAACATTCATAATTGCTCGGGTTCTAATACTTTTAATCCAGGTGACAATAGATGGAAACTCCATCTTACAAATAAAAAAAATATAGAAATAAACTGTACCTGAGATATCTTGCATGGCATTGGAGTTTTTATAGAGCCAGCCACATCAGCTAATTTAGATTGAAGGTAAGAAGGTTCTGGAATTTTTAATACTCTTTTACCTTCCTATATATATTAAAATTATATTAATGTACATATATTTAAAATCAATTGATTTAAATGATGCGTATTACTTACGTTATCAAAAATGACAACTTTAGAATTCTTTTCTAAGATAACATGACTCTTCACTCGATGATTTTCAATTTCAGCGATTATTTGTTGTTCCGCTTCATTCCAACTACCAAGTACACTCTTAAATACAATCGGATTTAAACCACCCCTAACAATAGTAATATCGAAGGAATTATCATTATTGAATCTCATTTTAACATTAATGTCACCCTCCTTATCGTCATAAAATCTAATAGTCTGAACATGGTTGGTATTTAAACGAGAGAAAGGTAATGAAGTCCAAGGTGAAAATGGATCTAAGCAGGTTAAAACAATTATAAGTTTCAGAGAATTAAATAATTAAACTAATAATTGTAAGGTTTTACCAAAAGGACTAATATTTTCATTCGTAATATTTTGAAGTTCACTTAATATAAGTGATAACGAAGCTTGAATAATAACATGCGGGGGTGTTTCCTTTGATCTAAATAGCTCTTCATTATGTTTCTAAAATAACAGAAGCATAAGTATCTTCACAACTAATTTATACATTAAATATCACATACATAACATGATTTATTACCGCTATAAAGCCCGTTTCAACCTCTCCAGCAATAAAGGCATCGTGTGAAACAACACTTTTCAAAAATTCGATATTAGTATTTAAGCCAACAACCTAATATTAATTTTTAAATAAATAAAATGGTATTAAAAGAAAAAATAAAATAAAAATTTCATAAGTGTGAATATACCTCATATCCATTTAAAGCTCTTTTTAAAATCCCCAAAGCTTCCGTACGATTTTGACCTTTTACAACTAATTTTGCAATCATAGGATCATAGTGAACATTAATCTCATCACCCTGTTCAAAACCAGTTTCAATTCGAACATTTGGCGATGGAGATGGTGTACGAAGATGAAGTAAAGGGCCAGTATCAGGAAGAAAATTATTTGCGGGATTTTCTGCATAAATACGCGCTTCAAAAGCATGCCCTTCAAGTCTTAAATCTTTTTGTGTAGCAGGTAAGGGATTACCCGAAGCAACCTAGAAAGAGATTAGAATATATTTTAAATTATCAAAGCAATATTATATTAATTCATGATACTTACTTCTAATTGCCATTGAACCAAGTCTGTAGAAGTGACCATTTCCGTGACAGGATGTTCAACTTGTAATCTCGTATTCATCTCCATGAAATAAAATTTCTTATCTACATTGTCCATAATAAATTCTACAGTACCAGCACCAACATAATTTACAGCTTTAGCTGCTGCAACAGCTTTTGCACCAAGTTCCATTCTTATTTCATCGCTTAACCCTGGTGCCGGTGCTTCTTCAAGAATTTTTTGATGCCTTCTTTGAACAGAACAGTCTCTCTCAAAAAGATGAACTACGTTTCCTTGCATATCAGCAAAGACTTGTACTTCAACGTGACGAGGAGTTAAAAGATATTTTTCTATAAGTACTTGATCATCTCCAAAAGACTTCATTGCTTCTCTTTTAGATGATTCAAGTTGAATATCAAACTCTGATGGATCATTTACGATACGCATTCCTTTACCGCCACCTCCCTTAATTGCTTTGATTAATACTGGATATCCAATTTCCGAAGCCTTTTGTTTTAGAAATTGAGGATCCTGATTTATACCATGATATCCTGGAACAACAGGAACATCTGCAGCAATCATAATATCTTTTGATTCACTATATTAAATAAATAATTACTTTTAATCAATTAATTATTAATCAGCATTTTTCATTACAAATTATGAAAATACCTTTTAGAGCCCATTGACATAATTGCAGATGCTGGTGGACCAATAAATGTTATATTCTCTTTTGTTAAGAGTTCAGCGAAATTTGGATTTTCAGATAAAAATCCGTATCCCGGATGAATAGCCTAAAAAAATAAAAATTAAATTTATTATTATAAAAAGTATAATCAATAATCAACAGCGCAATGATTTTAATTGAACTTGAATGAAGATACCTGAGAATTGCTCATCTTTGCAGCAGATATGATTTTGTTGATATTTAAATAACTTTCTGCTGATGGTGCGGGTCCTATTAAATATGCTTCATCTGCCTTAAGATGAAAGTGAATGAATACAAGATTTAAGTCATTAAAATTATTCGAGTATTCGAGACATTTTTAAGTTCTAATCCGGAATAATTGGTATACATGCCATTTTTACATGTAAAGCATTTCTATCTGCTTCGCTATAAACAGCTACTGTTTTTACACCTAATTTCTTAGCTGTTCGCATTACGCGACAAGCAATTTCACCCCTAAAAAAAAAGCGCGAACCCAACAGTTAAATATTATAAATCTTGACAAGAAAATATGAATATATATTATATTAAAATACCGATTTGCGATCAAAATCTTGTCGAATAAAGGTTTACGTTCTATGAATTTTCAAGAATTAGAATAAAGTTGAGTTTAAACCAAATTAATAAACGAAATACCTATGCTTGAGAAGAAACGACGATTATAAACAGTGAATGGAACATTGTGGACATTATATATTATATTATTACGAATAAAAGAAGTAAAGTTATTAGCTTTTGTATGTGTATATAATAAATAACGAGTCGACATGTTATAATAATGATAATGAAATAAAGTAAAATAATTTATTGAATTTTTTTGATTTTAGATCTTATTCGCCACGTGATACATAATGAAATCTGCGGATCGCGGTTAAAATTTAATTAATATTAACAAATAAATAGATAAATATAAATCTAAGGTCTAGGAGTAAAAAATCCTGTATAAACTATTTTAGGTTCAAGAGCCGTAGTAGAATCAATAAATTCATAAGTAAATTTATCTTCTGTTAAAATAGTATGTAAAAATCCCAATGTACCAACTGGTGCACCCCAATCACTTCCATCACAACCTATTCTTGTTTTACTACCAGCACCTGATAAGAAATACGTAACAGGCTGACCGTCTTTTGCTGTTTCTATTGCTAAATTATGTTCATGTCCCGAGAAATAAGCAGCTACACGGTATTTCTCGAAAAGCGGTCTCAAGCTCCCCATATAATATTGGTTTGCGCATGTAGCAACAAGAGGATGATGACCTAATAAAAGAATTTTTTTTTTTTTAATATTTGCAAGAAATTATTCGCGAACAATATTATGTTATAGCATATTTACCAACAACGAAAATCCATGTTGAATTTTGTTGTTCAATTAATCTATCTTCAATCCACTTTAATTTATCTTCAATTGTTTGTACAGTATCCCATCCAACTTGTTTAAGTTGTGTCATCATGTCTAGTTTTTCAGGGTTTGATGGTTCATAGTAGAAAATATTTGTATCGATATGAATCCATACGACTTTCGTGTTTTTTGGACCAAAGTACAATTCACGAACATAAAATGTTGATGGTAAGAAGAAGCGCTTATCGTAATTTAAACTATAATCAACTTGAGCAGTAATATTCCCATACCTAAATAAATTTATACTAGACTGAGATTTTTATTTAGAATTAAAATTAAATTCATATTAAACGATATTTACCAATCATGGTTTCCAGCTACGGAGTACCAAACAATTTCAGCTAATCTGCCTTTATATGCATCTTTCCAGACTTTATTCCATTTCGGATCATACACACTATTAACTCCTTCATGGTCTCCATCATAATTAATATAAAAGCTGTCTTAAATATAAAAGAATCGAATGTTAAATATTTTTTGCATAATAACAAAACACCTAATTAATTAAATAATATTTACCACCAGTATTAATTATAAAATCACTACTATAATATTCAGCCCAATCCTTCATAGCCATAGATACGATACTTTGATTTCCATATATTTGACCTGGTTCAATCCCATCGTAACCCCAATCACCAACGGTTAGAAAATCCAATTTTTCGGATTGATATTGTTCAATATAAGATTTATTATGGGGTTCAACCAAGTCACCCGGAAAAGCATTCGTGTTGGTCGTTAATATAACGACGCATAATATAGAAAAAGTAACATATAAGTATCGGTTCATTTTAACTCTGAGTGAAATAAGTTAATTCATAATTGAAGCGTCTTTTATACTCCTTAAAAGTAATTTTTACATATTTAGATATTGTAATAGTAGAATTATTAATTTGAATTAAAAATGGAATAATCATACTAACGTTTCTGCAATTGATAAGTTGCAAATCTCAAATCGGAAAATTTCAATAGACCATGTGTATCATCGTATTATCATGATTCACTTAAAATTTTAAAGAGTACCATTTATTTTTTTTTTTTGGGAATAAAAATTGCGCGTCAACCCTTAATTCTTGGAATATCTAATTGATTTCTAAATTCGATTAGACATTTTATAAATTTTGTAATTAAAAGTTTTCGGTATTTCAGGCATATTAATCAAGGATAATATCAGATATTTATTGTACATGGCTAGATAACAACGTATCCGTTATCGTTACGTTCAAAGGGAATAAGGGAATAAGGGATAGAGAAAAGTTTGAGCTACAGTACATACGTGTGAGGCATGTGAGGCACTGGATAATGTAAACAAAATCACGATAATCATTTCCGTATTAGTCCACAAGTCCTTAAAGATAATCCCTAAATCGTTCATCATACCTGATACACTGATACAAAAAAAATAGCAAGTAAAGAATTTCAAACGAAATGACAAAATTACGAAATTTAATTCTGAATTTTTGAAGCAATTAAATTTATTTTTTGCACTTTTTATTAAAAGGCATATACTTTTGCTCACTCGGATTTCAAGAGAATTAAAAAATTCATGGATTCATAATATTCAAAACACATACAAGTTGTTGTTTGACAAAGAAGAGATAATCTACACAAATTTCTCGTCTCAAATGGAATTAATTCCGTGTCAATTACAATATAGATCTCGTGCAAATAAAAAATATTTATCTTAAATGTATCTGTTAAGATTCTATGATGGAAATGTGTTTATTAGATGGTCAATTATTGATTGGAATAAAAATTATTTAGCGTAGAATCTGAAGTCATTAATACACGAGCTTCTTTATCAAAGTCGATGGAAATACACGGTATTGGTCTAACTTTATAAGAAATGATGCCGAATTTATACCGATTTTCGATCAAAATCTTGTCGAATAAAAGTTTACGTTCTACGAACTTCAATAATTAGAATAAATTAGAGTTTAACCAAATTATAAGCAAAATACCTATCTTGAGAAGAAACGACGATTATAGATAGTAAATTAAACAATATACATTATATATTTTATATATTATATTAACCAATAGTTATTATAATGGAGTAGGAACAGAAAAGAATTTGTAAAAAGCCTACATACTAATACAATGTTTAATTTAGCTAATAGTTATTAATAGTTATTATATAATAGAGAAGGAACAGAAAAGAATTTAGAAAAAGCCTTTCATTGGTATTAACAAATGGTTTGTGGATCCACAATGAAATATGTTATATTTAATTGCGATTAATAAATAAATAGTCAATCTAAGGTCTAGGTGTAAGAGATCCTGTATAAACTATTTTAGGATCAAGAGCCGTAGTAGAATCAATAAATTCATAAGTGAATTTATCTTCTGTTAAAATAGTGTGTAAAAATCCCAATGTACCAACTGGTGTACCCCAATCACTTTCATTACATCCTACAAATGTTTTACTACCAGCACCTGATAAGAAATACGTAACAGGTTGACCGTCTTTTGCTGTTTCTATTGCTAAATTATGTTCATGTCCCGCGAAATAAGCATCTACACGGTATTTCTCGAAAAGCAGTCTCAATCTTCCCATATAATATTTCTTTGCACATGCAGCAACAAGAGGATGATGACCTAAACATAAAGAAGTTTTTTAATAATTATATACTGTACCTGCAAGAAATTATTCACGAATAATATTATGTTATAGCATATTTACCAACAACGAAAATCCATGTTGAATTTTGTTGTTCAATTAATCTATCTTCGATCCATTTTAATTTATCTTCAATTGCTTTTATAGTATTCCATCCAAATCTTTTAAGTTGTGGTAACATGTTTACTTTATCAGGATCTAATGGTTCATAATAGAAGATATTTGTATCGATATGAATCCATGCTACTTTTGTTATTTTTGATCCAAAGTACGATTCACGAACATAATATGTTGATGGTAAGAAGAAGCGTTCATCGTAATTCAAACTATAATCAACTTGGGCTGTAACATTTCCATACCTAAATAAATTTATATTAAAGTGAGATTTTTAATTAAAATTAAAATTGAACTCATATTAAACGATATTTTACCAGTCATGATTTCCGACTACGGAGTACCAAACAATTTCAGCTAATCTACCTTTATATATACCATTCCAGATTCTATTCCATTTTGGATCATTCACACTTTTAACTCCTTCGTGATCTTCATCATAACTAATATAAAAGTTGTCTAAATATAAAAGAATTGAATATAAAAGAATTGAATGTTAAAAATATTTTCACGCAATAACAAAATTACATCTGTAATTTCAAATTAATTAAATAATATTTACCACCAGTATTAATTATAAAATCACTATCATAGCTTTCAGCCCAATCCCTCATAGCCATAGCTACCTTACTTTGATTTTTATATATTTGACCTGGTTCAATCCCTTCCCAACCCCAATCACCAAAGGTTAGAAAATCCAATTTTTCGGATTGATATTGTTCAATATAAGGTTTGTCATGAGGTTCAACCAAGTCACCCGGAAGAGCATTCGTGTTGGTCGTTAATAAATCTACACATAATATAACAAGAGCAATATATAAGTATTGGTTCATTTTAACTCCAAGTGAAATAAATTATTTCATAATTGAAGCGTTTTTTATATTCATTGTAACTTGAAAGTAATTTTTACATATATAGTTATTATAATAGTAGAATTACTAATTTTAATTTTGGAAATAGAATAGTCATATTAATATTTTTTGCGATTGATAAATGAGTTGAATTCATCAAATCGGAAATTTTTAACAGACCATAGTTGTATTACCAAGATTTACATAAAATTAAAGAGTGACAATTAAATAGCGCGTTAGAGCCGTTAGACCCTTAATTCCTGGAATCTGAAATTGATTTATAAGTTCAGTTAGATACTTAAAAATTTTCGGTATTTCGGGCATCATTGGCAGATATTTATTGTTCATGGGAAAACCTGATAACAATTTGTTCGTTTATCGTTGTTAATCAAAATCAACGATAATCATTTCCGTATTAGCCATAGCTCACTCTATTTTATTGATAAACATGACTTAGATTATTCAAAGACATACTTTTGTTCGCTTGGACCAAGAGATTTGAAAAATTCATGGCTTCATAATATTTAAAAACTCACACAAGTTGTTGATAAAGGAAATTATTATTGGGATTTACCTACACAAATTTCTCGTCTCAAATGGAATTCCGTATTAATATTCATTATTAAAGTGAAATGTATCCGTAAAGATTCCATGATGAAAATGTATTATTAGATGGTAGTTGATGAATAAAAATTATCAATATCTGATATTTAGCGTGGAATATGAACTCTGAAGTCATTATTAGAAGAACTTAATACACGAGCTACTGGTGTTATCAAAGTCGATAGAAAAACACGATATTAGTTTATAAGAAATGATACCGAATTTATACTGATTTGCGATCAAAAAACTTGTTTTATGTTCTATGATTTTCAGTAATTAGAAGAAACTTTTTAAACTAAATTAATAAGCAAAATATCCTAATACTTGAGAAGAAATGACGATTATAAAAATAGTATTATTTATTATATTATTACGTTATTAGTTTTGTATAATTTTAGATCTTATTGACATTGTGATACATAATGAAATCTAAGGATCGCGGTTAAATTTAATTATGATTAATAAATAGAAGTAATTATAACATAGGCTTAAGGTCTAGGAGTAAGAGATCCTGTATAAATTACTTTAGGATCATTAGCCGTAGTAGCATCAACAAATTCATAAGTGAATTTATCTTCTGTTAGAGTAGTGTGTAAAAATCCCAATGTACCATCTGGTGCACCCCAATCATTTCCTTCACATGGTGGATCTGTTTTACTACCAGCACCCGTTAAGAAATACGTAACAGGTTGACCGTCTTTTGCTGATTCTACTGCTAAACTATGTGTATGACCCGAGAAATAAGCAGTTACACGGTATTTCTCGAAAAGCGGTCTCAAGCTCCCCATATAATATTTATCTGCACATTTACCAATAAGAGGATGATGACCTAAGACATAAAAGAAATTTTTTAATAATTATTCATATGACAAAGTAGAAAATTCATTCACCGTCAAGGCAGAACCTCATTCTCCAAATAGACAAAAGGAAAAATTCACTCTCCGAATAGACAAAAGGAGAAATTCACTCTCCGAATAGACAAAAGGAGAAATTCACTCTCGAATAGACAAAAGGAGAAATTCACTCTCCGAACTGCAAGAAACTATTTACGAACAATATTAAGCTATAGCATACTTACCAACAACAAAAATCCATTTCGTATCTTGTTGTTCAATCAATCTATCTTCAATCCATTTTAATTTATCATTAATTGTTTGTACAGTATCCCATCCAACTTCTATAAGTTGATTTATCAATTTTGGTCTATCTTCGGTATCTTCAGGTTCATAGAAGAAAATATTTGTATCGATATGAATCCATGTGACTTTTGTTTTTTTTGGTCCAAAGTACGATTCACGAACATAATACGCTGATGGTAAGAAGAAACGATCATCTTCATTCAAACTATAATCGACTTGAGCTGTGATATTTCCATACCTAAATAAATTTATATCAAAGGTGAGATTTTTAATTAAAATTAAAATTAAATTCATATTTAAACGATACTTTACCAATCATGATTTCCGGCTACGGAGTACCAAACAATTTCAGCTAATCTACCTTTATATGCACCTTTCCAGATTCTATTCCATTTTGGATCATTCACACTTGTAACTCCTTCGTGATCTCCATCAAAACTAATATAAAAATTGTCTAAAATTACAAAAGAATTGAATGTTAAACTATTTTCATATAATAATAAAATCACATATATCTGTAATAATAATAATATTTACCACCAGTATTAATTATAAAATTACTAGTATAATTTTTAGCCCAATCATCCATAGCAATAGATACTTTACTTTGATTTCCATATATTTGACCTGGTTCAACCCCTTCGTAACCCCAATCACCAAAGGTTAAAAAATCCAATTTATCGGACTTATATTTTTCAACATAAGGTTTATCATGGGGTTCAACCAAATCACCTTTAAAAGCATTTGTGTTGGTCGTTAATAAAGCAACGCATAATATAGCAAGGGTAACATATAAGTATGAGCGCATTTTAATTCAATATGAAATAGGCTAATTAACATTGAATCAAAATCGAGTATCTTTTTATACTTTTACATTTGTAGATATTAAAATAGGTAGAATTACTAATTTAAAGTTGAAAATGGAAAATTTATGTTAATGTTTTTGCGATTGATAAACCATTTTGTAATCTTTTTTTGTACCATCAAATCGGAAACTATCCAGCAGAATTTAATTACTAAGTTTCAAATTAAAATTAATGAAAGAGCTAGATTGAATTTTTTTAAGGTAATATAAATAACGCGTTGGACCCTTTAGAATGTAAATTGATTCCTATATTCGGTTATAATTAAAAATTTTCGGGTATATCGGGCATTACCAGCAAATGGACAATATCAGGTATTTATTGTTCATGGAATTATTAGATAACAATGTAACCGTTATCGTTACGTTCAAAAATTTTGTAATCCGAGTTAGGGTTAGAGAAAAGTTTAAGCTCATGTTGTTACATAAGTTTGAGCAACCATGCCATGTAATTAAATCACGGTAATCATTTCCGTATAAGACTATATTAATCTTTTTTCCGGTAAATCGTTATATTTCATTTTCAAGTACAAAAAAAATAATAAAGAACTTTAAAATGAAATAACGAAACAACGAAGTTTAATTCTGAATTTTTTTTTTAGGTAATTAAATTTAATTTTTTTACAAAGACATATATATACTTTTGTTCACTCTTGAGAAGAGATTTAGAAATTTTGTGGATTCATAATATTCAAAATACCAACATTAGTTGTTGACAAAAGAAAATTACTATTTGAGAGATAATCTACATGAATTTCTCGTCTCAAATGGGAATTAATCCCGTATCAAATATTAACTTACCTTTTAAAGTGATTGTATCCGTAAAGGTTTCGTGATGGAAATGCGTTATTTGAGTTATTAGATGATCAATTATTAATTTGAATTAATAATTATTATTATTTAGCGTGAAATCCGAACTCATTGTTCGAAGGATTTGATACGCGAGCTTCTGGTGTCGATGAAAATACACGAATAATGGTCTAGCTTTTATAAGAAACGATTACTGAATTTTTTATAAGCATTACCAAATGAATATAGTGGATTAACCGAAGATAATCCATGATTAGATCATCCTTTAACCGAATTATAGATCACAAGGGACAATAACATAAAGCTTTTGAAATGTTGGTAACCGAAAATAGAAATCATTATACAAGGAAATCATTATACAAAGAAATGATAAAGGTGTTGTAATAGGTAAATAATTTATTGTTATACGTGAAGATATGATTGCTTTATTATTTTACATCCTCCATTATCTAATTGATCTATCTTTTCCTTGAATTAGAGAAAATATTAGAAAAATGAAAAAAAAATATTCTAATAATAATATTTAAATGGAAATAAAAAATTAAAAAAAAGGAATGTTTATTATATATTACAATTACGAAATTATATTTTTTTTATATTTTTTTTTTTTTTTTTGCCACCTCCCATGTAAATTATTACCTTATTATCACGAATATCTCATTACCAATTTCCCAAATCATATTTCGGAATAATAAAGACATTATAAATTTCTTTTAATTCTTTGAACTTAAGACGATGATTATTTTTCAAACAATTTAATCCCAAAAATCTTAAAGAATTCGTTTTCTTTGTATAATCGATAATATAATCGAAATCTGAATCGTTATATTCTACTGGTTGATTAATAATTATAGTTTCCAGTGAAGCTTTACAATTTTTAAATAAATGTTGAAATTTATCAGTACTAAAAGATCTTTTTGGCTTAAATAATTGACCGATATTAATATATTTTAAAGAAAGAGGTAAATGTGAACCTAATGAATTATAAAATTGATCGATTTCACTATCTTTTAAAACCATATCCGTTAAAGTTAACTTTTCTAAAAAGTTTAAATGATCTAATAGATTAAATAAATTATTTGATTCATTATATTCTAATTCACTAAAATGAAATTCTACAATATTTGAACATCCTATTGAGATTGATCGAGGTGCAGCATTTTTTAACACATTAAGATAAAGATATTGTAAAGTGTTGTTATTTCCAAGTGTTTGAACAAGCGTTACTATATTTGAAGAAGATCTTGATGTTTCTAAATGTAATTTTTTTAAACGGAATTTTGATTTTAAAGAACTTCCAAAAGTGGAACATCTGCAATCTAAAAATTTGAGACTTTCTAAATTAACACATTCTGATAAAATATCAAAAATATGATCATTAATAAAGACTCTACAAAGGAAAAGAGAGGTTAAACTATTTATTTGTGATTTCAAAGCTGGTAAAATAATTTCTTCCCTATAAATCATATCATTAGGTCCATAATATTTGAAATCTTGAAGATTTGGTATAGCGAAAATTATATCTTTCATCGCTTTATTAACAGCCGTTGAATCACATTGTCTAAAATCTAAAGATTTAATATCTTTACAAACTGCAGGAAGGAATTTTAAAAGATCCAAAGTATTATTATTACTTTCTTTGATTCGATAAGAACATTCGTCAAAGAATAAACATGAAAATTTGATAATTCTTGATAAATGAGGAGATTGAGAAAAAATTGTATAATCTGGCATATTTTTTGAAATAATAGAAAGAGCTTCTAATCTTGAACATTTTCTCATTAAAAGATTACACAAGGCCTTTGTTATCCCATACACTTTCGGATTATTAGGTGAAGAAGTAGATAACTGATCTTTAATTTTAATCCATAATTCTACAGCTGACTTTAATCGATTATATTTAAATTCTGTTAAATAACTAGCATAATCGAAAAAAGGTTTTGGTAAATCAGGAAGAATAATATCTTCTTCTATTAAAGACTTGTCTTCATCCTCTAAACATGAAATATAAGTTTTAATAAGTTTTGCTTCTTTGGATGCCGTGCTAAAAGGTCGAGCCCATAAATAAGGTATAGCATTTCTGCACCAAGAACGACTCACAAGAATACAAGAATGCAAACACTGTATATCATTTGCTATATTTTGAAATATCATGAGAAGACATTCAGTCGGTATGAGAACTGGTGGCATTTTTTTTTGGAAAAAAAAAATTTTTTTTTTTTTGTACGGAGACAAGGGGTATATATACATATATTTTGGTCCAAATATGGAAATTATATACAGTAAGTATTTTTGGATTCCGCGATTCCGGGAGTAAATAAGCCACGCCTAACCTAAAAAATTTTTTTTTCCCGAACGTATTGTCTGCGTTTGTTGTTTTTTTTTATTGCATTATTTGCATTTTGTATTTGTTCATTTTTTTGTTACATCGATAGCAGTTTAAATTCCGAACTTTTTTTGGGCTGAAAATAATTAGACCCATCGGACGCAGTAAATTTATACTAAAACGTCATCAAGTTGCCAAATCTGTGGGCTCTGTGTACTTATTATTATTATTTAATATTATTTAATTTTTTTTAAGAATTATCATTATTATTAAACAATGTAGTGTAATTAAATAAATTCAATTCATTATTCAAAAAATTTCATGATATTTTTATCGATGAAAACAATCCTTATTTATTTTATAATATTAAAATTCTGAATAATAATAATTTGGTAGAAGAAATCATCCTAGGAATTCCGGAATTAGACCCGGATTAATCCGATTTGGAAAAAAAAATCGGATTTAATTCCGAATTTATTAAACAATTTCAAATTTCAGATCAGGTTTAGAGAAATTCTGGAAGAATCCGGATTCATGCCTTACTAAAACGATAAAAACAAGAACAGATAACATAATAGTTTTTTTTTAACGGTAAATCTGTAATAGTAAGCAATTAATGAAATTTGTAAATCATCATATATATATCGTATGATTTTTCTCGTAATACACGAGCCAAAAACTTCACGTATCTTTGGTGAGCTCTAGCCTTAAATGGAGTTGAAATTTTACAATCGTATTACTCTTCCATTGGTAATAATTTTCTCTCATAATAATCTATTAATAAATTTTGATGTCACTTTTTGACTTTTTGACTTTTTGTGGTGTGAAAATATAAGTTTCCGCAATGACCATTTAGAATAAATCTTTTTATAATTTTTTGGATATTTTTATAATGATATATTTTCAATCATTATTAAATCACGAAATATGTATTTTTAAAGGTATACCATTTGATAAATATAAACGAATCCAAGTTTCTTAATTTATACTACTCAATGAAAATAATTGGTTGGAATTTTACTTTAGCTTGTGATAAAATGCATAAGATGTTTAACTTTATTTTTTTTATGATGTATACTGTATATAGTTAATTACGTATTGAATTACCTAATCACCAAGAATTTTGAGTTGACTTGCAGTATTGTCTATTACATATAGCGTAGTTTATTTATTTATTTATTTTATTTTTATTTATTTATTTTTCATTATTTACTTATTGTTTGATACTAATCATACTATATTATATACATATTGCAGCACTTTTCTCAATATATATATATAACTTTTAAAAAGTCAAGTCACGTGATTTTTGGATCCGTCATGTCCCTATAAATCTGTAAAAGCGTAACATTATTTAAACTTTTCGTAGATTTTCAGTAGGTTGGGTTTTAGTTTTAGATAATAATAAAGATATTTCTCGTCTTGGGGAAGCCGTTTGACTTAGGGAAGCCATTTGACTTTAGGGAAGCCGTTCGAATAAATAAAAATAAAATGTCGCATCTTGACTACGTTGGTTATGTAAAGTTTGAAGTGAAGGGGTATCATATTTAATGGATAAGTTGGATATACAGTACGTACTTTTAACCAGATCGAGTTCTACACTTTTATGGTGAATAAGAAAACTAGCTATATTATTATATATACCGGCACCTTGTATGAATCCTCGCCGATTCATGAAGACAAATAATTTTTTAATTTGGAAACTTATTGATTGAACACTTCGCTTCATAAAATAATATCACATTCGAACGACGTCAATAATGAACAAAGCCGAAAAAAAAATTTATTAAGAAAAATTTTAGGTAACTAGAGTATCTATTATTTTTTGAAAAGGGATGAATATTATTAATTATTTGAAATATTTATAGCTCATAAGTCGTTTGATTTACTCTTCTTAAACAGCTTGATATTACACCTGTTAAATTATCATTTGAAAATTTGAGCGAAAATTGTTTAATGCATTGTGTTCGTGGGCTTCAATCATAATTTATTATCGGCAAGTATAGTCATTGATATTTATGTGATCGAAAAATTAGTCGAAAAATTAGTCAAAAATATTTTTTAGTATTAGTTGTGAGTGCGATCTACGAATAATGCTTAAATCATTACTAATTAAAATTTGGTTTAGACAAGGATGAGGCATGATACAATCTTAACAGTTTAAGGAAAAGAAATGATTCGAGATGTTCTCACTCCAAAGGGCACAATAAAATTATATTACGTAAGAGGATGTGACATCACTATTTTAAAAGGTGGAGTTATGACACTGACATGACGAATTTTTTCAAATCATTACGAACCTTTGATACTAAGATTATTAAGAATTTGTAATAAAGAATGTAAAAAATTTTGTTCTGGTCTGGGAATGTTTATAATTATAGAAATTAGAAATGCAAAAAGTCGTATCGTCATCTCATGTAGATGTATCATTTGCTATTTATGTTGAATAATTATTGTACTCTCTTATATTAAATAATCCCGTGAACTAAATAATCCGTTAACGTCTTTGAGTAACCATATATTACGCAAAAACTTGGACATTACCTAAAAAATATGATGAAAATGACATTTCTTTGATCTTCTGAAGATTAGGTGTTCAAATTACATCATGATTATGATATGATTATGATATATATGTATGCAAGTGTACGAAATTTGGCTGCACGACTTTAATATTTTACTATCTAGATCTCTATGCTTTCGCATACTTTAACAATATACCAGGTAATCGCATGTGCGTGTCTCCGAACCGCATTATGAATGATGTATAATTGAAATTTTAATTATAATTTGTTTGTATTGTTCTTCTTTGGACTCCTTGAAGTGTTTTAATAGTAGTATAATACTCACTATATATAACAAAACGTAATAACCGAGAATTTTTATGGAAATAATTATAATAATTACCAATCGCTATTATTAGATAGCGATATTCCTATGGTGTGTTTCAACTTTCGGTCATTAGGAATACTGCGGTGACCAATAAGAATTAATGTTTACTAATTATTACAATATTAAAACATTATTGTTTCACCTCCTGACCTCCTGAACGAATAATATTAAAACATTACTGCGTAGCGGCCGAGGATAATAAGCAGGCGTAAATCCTCTTTCAACCGAAAGGATTATTATTAGGATAATTACATTAGTAAACATTATTTATTTTGTTAATAATTGGTAGAATGATTGTTTTAATTTTTTTACAATATTAAAATATATATTAATAAATAAATAAATTATATGATAATAATAATAATAATAATAGTATTACTTTTACTGCGTGGTTACACACTAAGTACTTATTGAGTACTATTGAAGTTTTACCACGATTAGCATTTACCGCGTTTTTTTTTTTGACTTACTTTGTATAGGTATATTTATTAACTTTTGGTGGATTGCAGATCAAAAATTAAAAATAAATACAAACTCTTCTTTTGATTACTTAAAATTGAATAAAACCTGAGACTTGGCGTTTTTTGATTGTGGCTTTGCCCCGAGGCTTTAACATTTGGTATATAAAAATATAAAAATCAATAATTAAAAAAAAATGAAAATTTTACCTTTAACGTAAATTAAAGATTCCCGACCGAAAATATTAATATTGATCAAAAACTTAATTTCTTAATAAGTAAAGTACATTCAGGATAAACGTTGTACAAATCAATTTGAATGAAACCAAGATTATATTTTCCAAACAAGTTTAAAATGAAATTTTGAATGAAAATATTGTAAAGGCAAAGTTAGGAACAAATGAAACGCCATACATTTTTAAAAATCGTGTAACCATTGTAACATCCCTTTTTACATTGTTTCTTTTCTTTTCCTTAAAGATTCATTTTGATTTACCATCATTTAACAAGAAACATTACCTGAAAACGGAAAGTTATAATTGAAATAATTTTTTTTTTTTTTTTCAAATATGTTGTGTACAATATATTAAATTTGATATATTATTTTAACATAACACATGGATATTTAACTATCCAATCCTTATAATTCTCTTTTCATAATAAAAAAATATATTCAATTATGTGTTACTATAAAATGTTTCTAAGAATTTTTTTACTGGTACACTTTTGTTTTTGTACGATTAGATTACGTGATAAAAATATATATATAATGAATAAAAATAAATTTTTTTTTTTCAGCTGACCTTTATAAAATTATAAACTTTTTAGTTAAATCCAAAAGAAATTTCTTTCTTTCTTTCTTTTTTTTAAAATAAAAAAAAAAAAGATAGAAAAAAAATCTGAATTTATTTAATCGAATATTTCAAAAAGAAAATATATATATGTAATAAAAATATATATATATATATTTTATTTATACACATTCTCTTATATTATTTCTTCGAACAACTCACAGCTAATGGTTGCTTTATAAAAAAAACGTTGATGGAACTATATACTCGTCCATTAATCTTTCGCTCTTTAAAGGGTTTACAACTTTTATTCGCTCTTGTATGTCTATCTCTAGGTAATTTACATTTTTCAAATCTTTTCAATCATTTTAAAAGTTTTTAAAATTTTAAAAATTTTAATTTTATTTCAATAATAAAAAAAAATATGTAGAAATAACACAAATTGTTGAATCTTCGAAATATACATCGATTCCATTTAAATACTTTGGAGATTTTAAGTAAGTTGATAAAAAAAAATCTTTGGCTTCATAATTATAAAAAAATCAATTCATTAAATATGTCATTTTTTTTAAATTTATTAGTAATCTCGGGATGAAGGTATTCTTTTATGTTATAATTCCGATAACAATACTTACTGTTGGTAACTATTGTTTTTTTTTTCAAAGAATTTGACATTTTTTTTCTATTTGATTCATATTTAATTATTCAAATTTTAAATGATAGGATGGTATTTAATAAATTTTGATTCTTATTGGAGAAATCCGTCAGCTTATAGAAATGTAGGAATTGATAGGTAACGATAAATGATAACCATTAAAAAATTTCTTTCTTTTTTTTTATTAAAAAAAAAAATTATTGCTAAAATTTTTTTTAATTTTTTTTTTAAATAAAATTCATTTAGCTTTTTAACAATATTATGGGTAGTTTCAGGTATATAAAAAATATAATTCAACAAATATATATATATATCATTAACTAAAATTAAACGTTCTTCCTTTTTTTTTTAGGATTAACAAATATAATTCCAATATATTACGGAATTATGTTAATATGTCCAACGACAATGGCATCACTTGATCATATTTATGAAAGACAATTAGTATGTCAAACATATATAGCGAGTATGTCAATTGGATGGGCTAATGCAGTATTATTTATGGTATCGACATTATTTTCATGGAGATTATCAAAAGAATTAGAATGGAGAGGTGCAATAACTTCATTTAATAGACAATCTTCTATTAGTCAATTTAGTAGGAGAAACAGTAATCGAACATCATCAATTCCATAATATTAATTGCATAAATTCTTTTTGATCTAGAAAAATGAACAATTTATAAACGTTTAATTATTATAAATCCGGCATAATATAAAATATATATTTACATATACAGTATATATATACACATATAATATTAGTCGTTACTATTTTTTTTTTTATAATTGTAAATAATAAATCCTTAAATGTATTTCTTGCTTATATTACGTAATTTGTAATATTAAAAAAAAAAAAATCATTTTTTTTTTAAATAAGTTTTTTCCATATGTAAGAAATTAGAAGGGAAGGATGTAATACCATTCTTCATACATATTGCATTATACGTCCTACAAATAAAATCATTTTTTTTTTGTTGTTATCTAATCTACGAGGTAATAACTGAATATATTCTTTGTTTAAAAAAGATGAGAAATTTGAACGCCCCTGTGTTACATACATATTATTTATATATATATATATAAAACATTACACTAAAATAACGTATGATATTTAATTTTTGTGTTAGATGATAAAAAAAAAAAAGAAGAGTTTTGAATTGAATAAGATAGATAATAAAAAAGGGGTTTATCCAGCGGTTATACTCTTTTATATAAATATCGTTATTTTCTTGAATGTATATATTTTTATTTTTATAATAAAGTTTTATTCTAATAATCTTTCTAAAATTCCAAATGCATCATAGAAAACTTACATTACATACTGTGTTATAATCGTTAAGAAATGCATAAAATGCATAATGGCGCATATACATTTATGACTCACGTGATAACCCATTTTTGTTTTTTTTAAAAAGAAAAATTTAATTTTTTAATAATTTTTTAATTACGTTCAATATAGTCATAATAGCATAAGTGCATAAACACCTTCTAATATATATGCACTCTTCCCCCCTTTTAGAATGCACGCCATGTACAATATAGTACCCGAGTTTCTTTTTACTCCCGAAATTTTTATTGTATGTACATAAATAGTATTTGATACTATATAGAACGTTTTTTACGGTTCTGTAAAAATTTTACGTTCATTTTCCTGCCCATTGTTTTCACCTTTTTCATCTATTATGACACTTTTTAAAATTTGTCGTACGAAACAACAAGCGCAAATCATAGTTAATAATGAACAAATACCTAAAATCCATAAACTAATTAAATTTATAGTATTAATTTTACAAATATGAAGAAGTACTGGATATTTATAAGGAAAATTTGATGGGCACATGAATGGTATTCCAATCAATTCTTTATATGAAATGATCGTATAAATTCCTACAATAAATAAAATAAAAAAATTACTTGTTATAAACAGTACGGTATATATATATAAAATAAATAATAAATGTCATTTTTATTATTATTACCTGCGAATATTATCCAGCATAAAGAAAAACAACTATAAAAGAAAAGAAATGAATTACTTAATTAATATATATATATATATGTAAAATATACGTATACGAATATTTATTATATATACGTATACAAATAATTATTATATTATACGAATATTTATTATATCCGTATACAAATATTTATTATATACATATACAAATATTTATTTTTTACCTTATTCCCAGAATATACGATTGTAATGATCTTTTCTTTACCATAGAATAACATACACGTCCAGAAAATACTATAAGATAAGATTCATTTAAAAAAAACTCGGATAGTCGTATCAATATTCATTTGTTATTTATCGAAAAATAAAATTTTAAATATTTACCGATATTTAAAAATCCAAGAAGAAAATAACTGTTTTACGAAAAAAAATCGTTATTAACTAATGAGAAGAATAACGAGAAATAACGAGAATAACTTTTTTTAACATGCGATAACTCACGCGAACTCCAAATTAAGATTCTTTAATTGGATATTATACATATTAAATTCAATTAATTTCCATAATCCTAAAAAAAAACGGAAATTTATCGTAAAAATGAACTCGTAAACAGAATATCATCATAGATTAGGTATTTACCAATAATAAAACATATAATTGTTACAGGGAATTGGATCAAAATCATTAAATTTAATAAGAAAGAAAATTTTGAATCCATCGTAATAATAATGTAATAATTTTACAGAATATTGGATGAGAGAAAAAAAAGAAAAAATCTGTAAACAGTAGAAGAAATTTTAAACGATTCCATTTATACCATTCTCAATCAAATGTTTCAAGTTCTTTTTTAGAGTTTGAAGACTTGTTGACTTTTTTTAATATAATAAGTAAAATACAATATCCATAGTTGAACACAAACCGATAATAATGCTTATCTAGGTACGACAAGCGTTGTACAAGTGAAAAACATTCAGATACGCGTATCGTAAGTTTCGGTAATTTAGTGTTTAAGGCTTTGAAATTATATAATATTATATAATTCAGATATGTTAAATATGTGATAATATGGGATATGGGATCTCCAAGTGATCTCCACAACCGAACTGATCGCTGCCTTCTAAAATTGTCAATTATTAATTTATTATTATCTAATATATACAATATATGTTACATATTATGAAAAATTAATCTATTGTTCGCAAAATAATATGATTTGTTACTTTTTTATATTTTTCGATTCTTTATCCACCTTTTCACTTTTTTCTGAATCGTTATCTTCAATACCAAACCCAAACCATTCGTTATATTTAGATTCAGGAATATGCATTGCAAAAGTTGCAAGTATAGTACTAATAAACATTAACCACATACAAATTATATTTGATATTCGTATTTGACATATGAATTGAAGTCTTGGAAATGAATATTTATAATTAGATGGACAAAAAATGGGTACATCTCCTAATTCACCAATTGTTTTATATGTATAAACAACTTTTTTTTAATAAATGGTGAGTAAATTAATTAATAATTTCAATTTTTTTTTTTTTTTTTTNAATTCTATTATCAAAAATAACTCTTGTCTTTTTTTTTAAACAAATTCCAATAGTGATTTTTCATACAATAGATTTTATCGTTTTTTTTCTTGAATTTTTTTTTTTTTTTTTTTTTGATATAATAAAATATAAAATTTATAATCCTTACTTGGAACAATTATCCATAATGATGTTGCTACACTATGAAAAGAGATAATTAAATTAGAAATAATGAAAGTAATTAAAAATAAAATAAAATAAAATAAATCAAGTAATATTACCTAAATTTCCAATTTAATTGTTTTACATTATTGTAACAACAACAAAAACATAAAGTTATCGTCAAAGCTAGATTTTATTGAATTTATTAAATTAATTGAAAATTACAATTATATAATATGCTTTGTTAATAATTATACTTACATATTTGAAAGAGTAAAAGGATAAAATACCTTGTTTTAAATAAATAAAAAAAAATCAGATGAATTAATTTAATAATAATAAAAATAATAATAATTTCAAATATCTGATTCTACTTACGAATATTCTACATTTTCATTAATTGGTAAATTATATTCTTTAAATAATATGATTTTCTTGTATTCTATAATAATATCGCGTAATTTCAATTAGATTTAATTATTTGGTTAAAATAAAAAAAATGTTATTCATATATTCATACCAAGAATTGGAGTAATAAAAATTAATGGAAATTGAATCAGAATGATAAAACACACGAAACATATTGTAAAGGTCATTGCTAAATAATTTGGTTGTTTACGTGCGGTTGTATGAGTGGCCATAATGATTGTTTTCTTGTTGTAATTCTTCAATTATCTTGTTGTTTAATCAGATCGTTATTAAAATTAAAAAGAATATCTTCTTTTCACATATTATATTTTTTTTTTGATTTCTCTTTTTTTTTATCGTAAAAGAAGCCACTTTCTTGTATGTAGCCCTTTATATCAAGCCACATATCTAATTTATAATTTAAAGGCTTTTTTTTTTTGATAATCAGTGATGAAAGTTTCTTAACCAATTATTGCGTTTTTTAAATTACATATTTACTGTATATTGTTATAATTATTATTTTCTTTCTTTATGCGTAAAAAAATTGAATTTACTTAAGATGTCGTGTCAGAAAATCAGAATAATCGGATGTCGTGCATCAATTAACTTGGGGATCTTCGTCACTTTCAGGTTTGGACTTTCAACTGTTGAAAAAGTCAAGAAAAAAGTGATATTATTAAGAGACAATAAACTATTTGTAATATATATTTTAAACAAATCTAACTAATTTTAACTATTTTATCATATATATATATATATATATATATACGCCCGATTTCATGCTATTTCATAATTTAGTTAGTATATATGCATATTCGATGTTCTTATTTACCATATAAATCTAGATAGTATCATAGAATAAGGCGTTTTACAGTAGAATTTGCCGGACCTATAAGTGATACGAAATAATATGAATACACTTTCTACTGAATCGACACAAAGCGCAGCATACAAATTAGCATAAATTTATTAAAGTCTTTGAAGTTCAAAAAAAGTATTTCGATTTTTCTTTTCTTTTTTTAGTTACAAAGAAAAAAATTTGTGACAAGATTCGTGGCAAAAAAAATATATAAATAAATATATTATATATGTTTTTCCTAATAATTATAATAACTTTACCTACGTGTCATTTGACAAGCCTTATTTATAGATTATCTCTAAATTGGTTATGTGTTTCCACATAATTGAGGAATATGTCCTAGTTTTTATAGAATGTTCGTTCCAAGGACGGTATTAAAAATTATATATATATATCTAAACCAAATCAATTTTTAAATTTTCAAACCTTTTTTTTTTTTTTTCTTTTTTTTTTTTCTCAAAAAAGAAAATTCATTCTATAACTTCTATTACTTTTCGGTTTCTTGATAATCTTTTAGCATTTAATCGATCACCTACACTTCTATTCCTTTATAAATTTTGTCAGGAATATACATTGTAATTGTTACGAGTGAATTGGATAAAAACATTAACCACATACAAATTAAATTTGCTGCTCTAACTTGACATACAAAGCGTGCTGCTTTAGATGAATAACCATAATCAGACGAACATAAAAATGGAGTTTCCCCTAATTCTTTTCCGGTAAAGTAAGTGTATACGGCTTGATTATCGTGAATGTTAACCGTTAAATGAGATTATTTTTTTTACAACGATAAAGAAAAAAGAGTTTGATTTGAAAAATGTATTCATTTATCTTCTTACTTGCGCTGATGAGCCATGAAATTGTCGCAAAACTTTAACGAAAAAAACAAATCACTTTCCGTTATTAATATTATTAATACGAGTCAATAAAGGAAATGTCATAAAATAACATCCATACATGAATTCCTTAATCAACCGTTTATTTTTAGTAAAACAGTAACCACAAAGAAGATTGTACGAGACTAAAATAAAATAATAAAAAAATTATTAAATGTCTAAAAAAAAACTCGATAATTCCATTTACTTACCTAAATTAATCAAATTAATGCCTAAATACCTGTTATAATTAAGTAAAAAATTACCGATTAATTGAAATCAAAAAAAGAAATCAAATTTAGCAACATAAAATAATACTTTACGTGTATTCTACAGGTTTATTTAAATAAAGATCACGTCTTTTAAAGAGTTGAATTTTCCAATATTCTTTTATATTATACAATCCAAGCATAAAAATATTATTAAATTTATAATTAAAAGTACCGAATCGATATCTCAAAACAAATTATATATTTATATACTAACCGAGTAAACCGAGTAAAGGACAAATGATTACTAAAGGGATAGTAATAAGACACACACAAAATATGAAACAACCATACAAAAAGTTTTTTATGGGCATTTTTATATTTAAACCTTGATGATTTTAAATTTTACGCGGAAAAGATAAACGCGATAAATTCGATAAACTATATAAATTTGATAAACTATAAATTTTACAAGCTTTACATACTGTTAAATGACGTTCGATAAGATACATAAGATACACAAATTGCACTTTGAATACTTTGGATAAATTGTCAAAATACGCGCCACTTTTTGTGAAAATTGATTTATATTAAGCCTTAAAATGTTGCACGATATTAATCTTGAGATATAAATGTTTGTGGCGCTAATAAAATTTATTACAGACCACTGAAGTAAAGTCATTGAAAAAAATATATAATGAACGTTTCGAAGGATTTATATATATAAAACGATTTCGATAAAGACAAGCCATCGTTATTGTTGAAAAACTTGATTGTCAATTCTTCAAATGTTCCTGTTTTATTTATTTTTATGTTATTACAAAAATATAATTGATATTCAAAAAATAAAAAAGTGTTTTTTAGGTATAATAATCTTTACGAAACCTTTACTTTCTAATAACATTTAGAAAGAATTCAAAGATGATTAATTAATACACCCGCAGCGATTTGAATCGCGAAATATCACGTGAGCAAGAGAGAGAATACCAGTTTTGCGACACAGCCGTAAACTTTGCCACATTTTATAATAAATTAAGACAATAAAAAGGCTGGCTATTTTAACTATTTTAAACAGCAAATTTTATGTCAGAATCGCATTAAACTGTATTTTATGTATAATCAGCCTTTATAGGCTTAGGCGCTTAGCAAATGAAAATGAATTACATTCAATATAATTTATATATAAACACAACGAATAATAAACATGTGATGATTTATAGCTTTTTTAAGTAGAAAATTAAATGTTGTAAAAAAAAAAAATTACTTAATCTCTTTCACTTTTTTTTAGTATGAATATCGGTTAAAAAATTTAATGAGTTAATTTTTTTTTTTTTTAAAGAAAAATACTATCACTATGTCACTTAAGTCACTTGTTAGTTTGATCCTCGGTATACCGTTTACGATACTTATTTTCGTTTGCCCAATTTTAGGTACGATAAAAAATTCTTGACAAATAATTTTCTTTCTTTCAATAATAAAATTTCTAATTTTTTATAAATTTATTAGAAATTGGAAAAATTGAATTATTTAGCAGAACAAATGGAATACTTATATATGATACGAACGTTGAATATACGTAGGTTTATTATCTTTTTCGATACAGTCAACTCTCTATAAATGCACACCCTTTGTAATTGCACAGTCCAAAGGGGGTGCATTTATAGAGAATTGACTGTAATATATATATATATATATTTATATGTATGTATATTTATATGTATGTTTACAAGATTTTTTCAGATTGTATACTTAAAAAAAGAATCTTTTTTATTCGTACTAAATTCAGCTACTTGGTTCTCTCATTAATTGCACCTAGTAAGTGTAAAAATAATTTTCGCGTTTATTTTAATTTATTAACCAATCACGTGTCATTATGTTTTTTGCAGGTGTGCTGATATTGGTGTATTTTTTTAAATGTCATTGGGATAATGTTTCACCTATGACCGCAAAATTACTTTTAGTTGCTTATCTATTTGGTTGTATAGGAATTTCTAGTAAGTTATTTCAAATTTAATGCATATTTTTATTAGAGTACTCACAATTAATAATTAATATATCGTAGTCGCATACACAATTTTCACAATTAATGAATTAAGGGGAATACCATTTGGATGTCCAGATAGTTACCATTATGCGTTACCACAAGTTCAAACAGCATGTCAAGCACGTGCAGCAAATTTTGTATCAATGTGGGCTTTCGTGTTCTTCTTAATATTGAATGTCATATTATTAGTATTTGGAATGGGTCCATTAGAAAGTGAATTATTCGCTGATATTGGTAAGCGAAAACTACCAAAGTCTGACACTTCCACACAGCCTCGTGACAGTGGTAGTGAACCATTTAGTCAGATCGAATCAGGGCAACAACAACAACAGAAAGACGAAAAAGAATGAAAAATACTTGAATTGCAAATTCGTATATTAAGACTAAAATTTTTGTGATTGATCCAATTATGAAAATGTATAATATATTTAATTCTCCGCGCGGGTAACCGTAGAAATAGATTGAATGTTGGTGAAAGGGAAGCTAATAATAGTGATGAACGATTTCAATATTTTTATTTTTATTTTATTATTTTTTTTTTTGGTTTATTTTATAATTGTAATTTATTTAATCATTTAATTATCACGTGATCAGTTAAGTTACGTGAAACTTTTTATTTTTTTGAATCCGTTTAATAAATCACTGTAGTTAATTATTATACAATAATTTTCCCAGTTTAACTCAAATTGGTTTATTGAGAGATAACGTGTGAAAGACACGATGTAAATTTAATGGTGGCTGAGGTCGCTAAGCCGATTGACAAAAAAAAAATAAGCCTGAATTTTTGTGGCTATGTAATATTTTTTTTTTTTATAAAGCAAGTTTCTCTTTGAAATTAAAATTTATCAATTCGTGAAACAAATTTGTTAATTTGATTATAAAACATTATGATAATTACACAAAAATAATTTTTTCTAAGTTCATCTTATTTCTCATCAAAAATTGAGAATTAAGAAGTAACGAAAACGAAGATGGGAAGTTTTATAAGATATATATTAGGTGGATTAGTTGGAATATGGTTATTATTGGTTATATTGGCTCCAATAACAGGTACTTTATACCACCATTATGAATAATATATATTAATAAATCTTTTTTATGTATTTTTTTTTTATTTTTTTTTTAATTTAAAAAACTTTTTTTAGAATTTGGGAAAATATTAATTTTTAAGATGGTTAGTAAAGCAGAATTGAATCGCGTTATTGAATATGTGTGAGTAATATGATTAATTAATTCATTTAATTGAAATTTCTAAAATTTCTAAAATCAATTTTTATTTATTTATTTTTTATGATAAAAAGTTATTTCTTAATTTCATTTCTTGTGCCATGTAAGTATTTTGGTTTTTTAAATGATTTTTTTTAGTTTTTTTTTTTTTAATCATATTATTATATATATATATATTTATTTACTTTATAGGGTGGATAGTTGTTACAAACTGTTGCGTATGTTTTGCACAAAAAGGAATATTAACTCCTAAAGAATTAATAAGAAAATTAATGTAAGTATTGAAAAAATTAGATTTATATATTATATATATATATACTAATTATTCTTATAAATTTTTTCTAGTTTCATGGTTATAGTTTGGATAGCTATTTCAGGTATGAATAATTAAAAACTCAAAAAAGTTGATTTATAATTTACAAGTTGATTGATTTTTTTTTATACATTCTTCACATACTTCACATACTTCGTATACTTCATATACTTCAATATATACTTCATATATACTTCATATACTTCATACACTTCGTATACTTCGTATATTTCATATACTTCACATACTTCACATACCTCGTATACTTCATATATACTTCATATACTTCATATATACTTCACATACTTCATATATACTTCGTATACTTCATATATACTTCACATACTTCACATACTTCATGAACTTCATATATACTTCACATACTTCATATATACTTCATATACTTCATATCTTCACATATACTTCACATACTTCACATACTTCACATACTTCAAATACTTCAAATACTTCAAATACTTCACATACTTCACATACTTCGTATTCTTCATATACTTCATATACTTCACATACTTCACATACTTGTATACTTCATATATACTTCACATACTTCACATACTTCGTATATTTCATTTACTTCATATATACTTCATATACTACATACTTCATACACTTCGTATATTTCATATACTTCACGTACTTCACATACAAAAGTTTTTTACACATATTTTACAAAAAATGATATTGGAGATATTCCATCTAATTGTCCACCAGATTATCCATATTCAGAACCAAAACTTCGATTAGCATGTATTATGAGAACAGCAAATTATGTTATTATGTGGACGTATACAAGTTTATTAATTATATTTTTAATTTCTGTTTTGAGTGGGGTTTTACCACAAGAAGAGGATATGAAAAAGAAGGGAAAAGATTTTAATATTAAAACTGTTGTTGAAGGTGTATAAATAAGAACGGATTTTAAAAAAAGGTAATTATGAGATAGAAGAGTAAAAATAATTTATTAATAGAGTTAAATCATTTTTTTTTTTTAAAAAAAAAAAACATTTTAATTTATATATATTTTTTTTATACTGTATATGGTTTTATAAACTTTTTTTTTTTATACTTATAATGAGCTTTAATTCCGGAGATGCATTTTTCGACGTGATATGACGTGACCATCACATAACTACGTGACTTTATGGCGTAATAACCTATAAATAGGGCTGGCCTGTAATGTCGTAATTTGAGAGAATTATTTATAAAGATTTTTGATGGCTTATGTTTATTATAAACGCGTGTACGGCGTGTACGGCGTGTACGTAAACATATCGTTAAGCCATAATAAATGGCTTGTATTTTGAAAAGTATTTGATTATGTTATAATCCGACATCCGACGTAAACTAATTTTTGAACGATATTATTTTGATTTCATTCTTTGATTGGTAGAATCGAACGTAATGAACGTAATTTTTATACTGTTCATTCGACAGATAAATAAATAAAAAAATATTTTGCTTAACTTTTTAAGTATGGTCAAAGTTTTTTCTACGGTTTAGCAAGAAACATGAATTAGGAATTGTCAACAAATATGTGATGCTACATGATGAACAAAAGAAACTTTTAAAAATAAGATTTTGTATCCTAAATCCTAAACCTAAACCTAATTCGGTAAAATTTCTCTCAAAAAATGAAACATGTATTCATTGATTATCGATTCGGATAGATTTTGTCATCTGACATTCATTCAACGGATATCTTTCAATCTGGCAACAAATTTTGTTCGAATAATATAAATAAATAATAGGTAATATTTTCTTTTATAAACCAGAAAATAAAGTTTACTAAATTTATTTGACTACATTAATAACAGAAATATTTAAAACTGCATGTTATTTATGTTATATACAAACCAAACAAAAATTATCCGTAACGGATAGCGCCCTTATATTCATTCTATCGGATGGCCGGATTGGATCTTTACGATCTGTTATGAAATTGACGCAGTAATTTAAAGGGCTTATCTATCTATAGATGTGAATTTACATAATAAATCGAAATTTTTTAGTGGCGCTCTCTTTTCTATTTATTGGCCAATTGAACTTTGCCATATTTGTTCTAGTTTAATAGATTTTTTTTTTCTTTACCGTAATTTCCGTAATTTGAACAAAAATTCAACACTCTTACCTTTTTTAAAGATAACGGATAATTACATTTAACTAAATTATTGTTTAATAATAAACACATGTATTGATTAATTTATTGGAGACTTGCTTTTCTTTTTTTTTTAAAAAAAAAAAAATTTCTTTTACAAAAAATAATTTTTTTTTGTAAAAGAAAAAAAAAATGACAGGTTTTATAGTCTCAAATTTATTTATTGTTTTTATTATTATTCATATTCTCTTATTATTTGTTTGTCCGTTTTTAGGTGTGTTTAATTTTATATATTATATTTGAGGAATTTTTTTCAGTCTTAATTTCCATGTTTTACATATTTATTTTATTATTATTTTTTTTTTTGAATAGAAATTTGGAAACTAAAATTATTTAGTGACAATCAACTTTCTACTAATTTATTAGAATATATGTAAGTATATTTAAAATATATTTTACTAATAAAACTTAATAAACAAATTCTTTTAATGAATTTCTTTATGTAATTACAGTTATTTAGCTCTTATTTCATATCAGATTGGTAAGTATAAGTTTATATCATGATTCATTTGGTCTATCATATTTGACATATTTAACATTTTGTTAACATTTCTCTCTCTCTCTTTTTTTTAGTTATGCATGTTATTATCTGTTGTTTTTTTAATTGGCTTAGTTCTAATGGATTAAAATTGATTTTTATGTAAGAATTTTTAAAAAATAATTATATGAATTATATTTTTATAATTAACTTTATTAAATTTTTTTTTTTTTGTTTAAAAAAAGTGTGTCAGGGATACTTTGGTTAATCATTCCAGGTAAAAAATATTATAATTTATAATATTAAAATATAATATATTATTAATTATATATCTTTTCATTTTAAAGCCATCTACACAAATTTTACCATTAATGAATTAGGAAATGTTCCATTTCTTTGTTCACAACTTATTTGTAAGATTAGAGCAACAAATTTAATTATAATGTGGATTGGATTTATTACGATATTTTTTATGACAATTTGTATCGTTTTTTTTGAAAATGAGAAATTAAATTTATTAATGGGTAAAAAGAGAAAAATTAATAATAATAAAAAACAAAAGAGACCAAGAAAAAATAGTAAATGTAGTGAAGTAGGAGCAAAATTGGTAAGTTTGGATAATGATGTTGAAAGTTAAAAAGTTAAGTATTATTATTATTATTAATTATATCACGTAAACTTCACGTTAAAAATTCACGTAAAATATCGTAAAATTCACGTAAATTCACGTAAATTCACGTAAAATATCACGTAAAATACCCCACGTAAAATATCATGTAAAATACACGTACTTGTCATTACTTGTCGTATTGTATAGTGTATAAACTTGTATATATTATAATATATGTATATATTTAATATCATATATATATCTATTTATTTAATTCTTTTTGAATAACTGTAAATATATTTTTCTTTCCTTCTTTCCTTCTTTCTTTCTTTTTTCTTTCTTTTCTTTCTTTTTATTATTTATATTTTTTTTTATTTTATTTACTTTTATTTTTTTTTTTTTACCTTTATTATTATTAATATACGGTATTATTATTAATTAAAATTTATAAAAAATTATCAATTTAAATTACAAAATTACATCAGAACTTTTTCCCCACGAATTGCAAAGATTTCCCCTTTCCTTTACTTCCTTTTCTTTAATACTTTAATACTTAGTTCATCTCTAACTATCACTTCCTCTTATCCTTCGCGATCGGGCTTGAATTTTTAAATGTTAAGAATGAAAAAAAAAATTAATCCCTACCATCATTATCAATTCCAACCATATCTTTGTAAGTTTTTTCAGGAACGCACATTATTATAGTAGCTATTAATGTAATTACAAACATTATCCACATACAAATTAAGTTCGCTATTCTTATTTGACATAAATGTAAAAGTTTTGAATTTTTATAAGGATAATTTGATGGACAAAATAATGGAATATCTCCTAATTCATCAATTGTATAATAAGTATAAATACCTAAAAAAAAAAAAGAGAATATTAAAAATTTTTAAAACATGAAAAAGAAAAATATTATATATATATAGTATATATATTATTACATATATTTACTTGGAATAACAAACCACAAAATTGTCGAGATACTAAATATAAATAAGAAAGAAATATTTAAATATTTTTTTAATTTTCAAGAGATGTTTTTATTAAAAAATAGTACCCAAATTCCAGATCAAGTTGTTTTCTTTCGAAAAAACAGCAAAAAACAATCAATAATAAATGTAAAGCTAAATGAATAAATAATATTCATTAATACTTTGATAAATAAAAATATTTATATTATCATATATACATATATTTCTTACCAATATGAAAGAACGTTAACATCAAATACCTTTTATGATAATTCAAAAAAAGAAATATGGTGTGAGAGGTGTAAGATTAAATAAAGAAATCGAAGTACTTACATATATTCTATAGGTTTTCTAATTGGAATTTCATTCTTTTCGAAAAATTGTAATTTAAAAAATTCTTTTTTTTTTAAAAAAAAAAAAAAAAAATTATATAAACCAAAATTTTTATTTTCACACCGTCTTTCATTATTGCGCCAATAAATAAATAAAGATAAATTTTCTAATATCTTGAGATATCTTGACATATTTATTTATTTATTTATTAATTAAGGCTTAAATTAACTAGTCATATTAGGGATTATTTCATATGGTAAATAATCAAAATAAAACTTCTCGTGTTTAACAAGTTTTTAAGAAAATCCTTGAAATATTTGAAATAAAATTATAAAATCGCACCCCTTGGGTTTTTATATCCCCTGATCGGCAAATGTAAGTTATACCTAACTGGCTAATGTATTTATCTATCCGTTCCTAGGAGATTTTGCGGTAAAAATTAACTATTGATTATACTATAATGAACGGATTTGAAAATTTGCATTTTCCAAATGAGAAAAACTTTCTTTTAATTTATTCGTAATCTCATTATTATTTTTCAAGTGTAATTGTAATAGTTCCAAAGCTTTTTAAATTTTAATCATTTTTTTAAATTCTTTTAAAATGAAAAAAAAAACCAAGCGAAAGAAAATAAGATTCAACAATAAAATATACTATATTTATACTCAAACCACTTACTATTGTGTAAATGGCCAGTTATAGGCCGGATTCTAAAGTAAATTTTACTATTCCAATTAGCCAGGATATAACTAATACTATATATGCCCGAACTATGGGCGAAACTTTATTAATATTTATATTTCAAGCAGNTTTTAAATTTTAATCATTTTTTTAAATTCTTTTAAAATGAAAAAAAAAACCAAGCGAAAGAAAATAAGATTCAACAATAAAATATACTATATTTATACTCAAACCACTTACTATTGTGTAAATGGCCAGTTATAGGCCGGATTCTAAAGTAAATTTTACTATTCCAATTAGCCAGGATATAACTAATACTATATATGCCCGAACTATGGGCGAAACTTTATTAATATTTATATTTCAAGCAGAGAACTACGAGAATTGCTATGATATAGCATTACAACGTCATATGACTCGTAGCGCAGTAAATATTAATTCTGGCCCGAACAAATTATAAAATTACATATGCATATAAATGCTTGCCCAAAGTGAAGAATTCTTAATGCAAAAGAAATATAACCTAATCTACAATATCACCAACGCGTAATAATGGTATACTTTTTGGAGTCATTTGACTCGAAATTAGTTTGAGAATAAATCGATTGTACAGAATAAATAATGTTTTAAAGTACAAATTACTCTTATTCTTAGTTGCATACATAATCATTTGATATTCACGTTAAGAACTTAAAATTTGAACTCAAACCTGCCACATTACGAAAGTAACAACGAACTATACCTGCCTTTTTGGAATTCATGAACTTCAGGATATATTTTCTTCACCCAACACTTTGCTTCCCTCCATTGCTCGAGATTATCAAAATACATGTGAAAAGAATGACCATCGGGCTTGTACCACCAACAAAACGTGTTCAAGTTCATATAACATTCCATCACCTGTTCGTTACCCCAAGTTTCAACCGCGTCTCCATTGATTTCAAGAAACTTTTTGTCCCGAGAGTTTTCGCGTCCATAAGCATACATAAAAAGTGTATAATAAGAATCTAAATACGTGATTCTTGTTTGTAAATCAGGGCGATAAGGCACATTTATCCATTTACAATGTTGAGACATTCCTAAAAGGTAGATTACTTTTAAGCACATAAATTTTAATAACCAATGATTACATATTTAATTACCATGATCCCAGAACCATATCTCGACGATCCAGTCTCTCAACAGAGCTCGTCTTAATACAGGACGATAATCTCCATCACCACTAACAACTACAATTATGCCGGGTCTTTTATGTTCTTGAATTGCGTCACTAATAGAAGCCCCTAGCTCATTCTGATCAAAGACTGTTACTTGACATCCAAGATTTTCAAGTTCTCTCCATATCGAATCGTTCGTCGGTGGACACGACCCAACAATAACCGGGTTATCGCCTATTTGTCGTCCGTTCAGAACCGTTTTCAGAAGCCGACCGTAATCGATATAAAGTTGATCCTCATAAACATTTTCAAGGTTGCTAATTAATTGCTTTCCCTCGATTTCAATATTAGGATTATCAATAAAAATGTGTACTAGTCCGGTGGGTTCTCTTGAAAAACCTACAAGGAAAGATATTTACATAAATCCTGCGAAACAACGGTTATCTAAAAGTTAAGCCAAGACGCGTTCACTCGCGTTCACTTACCGGTTGCACCGGATTGCTCTACAATGTGTTTTTTTCGGGCGGTTTGACGATAAGATGCAGTAAAGAAAGCACAAGATTAGTAAGTATTCGGTATTATATAACAGAAACTATTTTTAGAACCTTACTTTGATTATTTAACTTATTAATTAAGTTGACAAGCTTAGCTCTTGGCCCCATTCGAATGTTACATTCTTTAAACCTTTCTTCGTTTAACATAAGAAAGCTTTCACCATCAATCCCTTGATCACGAAAAATTCCAAGTTCATTTTCGGTAAGGCCAAATTTTCCTTTCATGAAAGCGATAAGAGCCTCCATGTCATATTTTTTCACATCTTCATACGTAGCAATTGGAGTTGTAGACATTACTATAGTGTGGCAAAAGTGCAGTCTGCGTTGCACAGTCCAGAAAAAAGAAAAATTTTGTTGAAAAGAATGGAAAAAAAACCTTTTTAAATATATTTATGAGAAATTGGTGATTAACTGATGATGATTAGTAGTTAATCAGTTACTTCTGTACTTCTGTGACGCAGCAGCCAGGATATGATTTTTATTCGAAATCCTATTGGAAGAAGTTCGACAATTTCATTAATTAAGGTTTAACTATTGATTGGACTTTACAACATGGTAAAATGAAAGAAATCATTAAAATCCCAAGACAATGTTCTTTTAAAAATATCATTTGGAAAGAATACAACCGTAAAAAATTTTAAATTTACGTAATCATGAAAAGTTTTCGCTCCCGAAAATAGAATCATGAGGTACTGTACGTTTATCGTTAAAAAATTTTTATGGTATAAACTATCGTAATTAAAATATCTCTTTCTCATTTTTTAGTGGATCATCGAGTAGTACTACTAGAAATTAAATAATTAAAACTTTGATACATAAGATCTAATATCATCTTATATTTATACGTGCAACCTTAGCCAATCTATTATTGTTAAATAGAAAAAAATATCTTATCTAATGAAAAGTTATGATTTATACGTGCAATTTTGTTGGTGGAAAAAAAAGTATGTATTTTGCATCAGTAGATACAGTAGGAGTTACGGTCACGCTGTATCACGCCAATTCGAAAATTTTTTGTTATTATTTTAAGTTTTTTAGGTGATTCAGAACTTTATCGTACTTCCTTATGGAAAATTACATTTGATAAAGATTACGCTACTATTTGATACTCTTATGACTTTATAACAACGATTGATAAATTTCTTGGAAATATAACTATCATACTTCTAAATATTCCAGTAATTCATTAGGAATGACATTATTACTCTTAATATTAAGAATGAAATATGATATGAATTTCACGTGGTCATAATTTTCAAGTCAATGTTAGAGAAGTATATAGCGAAAGTCATTTGCCATAATAAAGATAAAGGAATAGGTGTAAATGATAATGATTATACAGTATGTAATTTATCAATTTACTAATTATATTCGAAGAACTTATCGAGTAAATCTAAATCTTTTAAGGCAGAAAGAAAACAAAGATCTAATATAATTATATTTGTTTATTTCCATGAATGTTTTAATCGTGTTTCACCCAGTCCTAAAATTTCATTGGCCATTACACGCAACGTGACAGAGAATTAAAACATTTTACGTAAGTATTGTTATATACCTTCCTTATGTTAAGGATCTTTCTCACAATCTTCATACAGAGCTCCAAAAGGATAATGAGAATGTATATTCTTCCGTTTGTAAATGTCTCATTTTTCGCCTATCATATTTGCCAATAATATCAGATACCTAATTTTAGAAATATATATATATATATAAGAAATATATCGTGATAGAATATTTTATAATAAAAATATATTTCTCAAAAGTTCAAGATACGAAAAAAAAAATGGCAAGGAAATCCACTAATTATTTGTTAAACAATCATGATTTCATCGTGACACGTTAATCTACATAAATCGAGTTTTTTAAGCATACTATTTTCGAATGAAGCTCAACAAGAATATTACTAAAACAGGAGTTATTTTACTTTCCTTTCTCCCTCCCTCACCCTACTATTCCTTTGCTACTACTATATTCGCCTTTTCTCCCCTGATCTATTTTACTGCACCGTGATCAAGTGGTAACAAGTTTTTTAAAGACAGTAACGAAATATTTAAGTATTTTATAATAATAAATATACTGTATAAACTTTAATTTATTAAACTGCTTATCATAACGAAATCTTTTTACGTACCCTTGTAAAAAAAGTCGATCCGGTTTTAATCCGTAAAAGGTTCATATTTCCGGAATTAATAACCTTATATCACGGAATTTATACATTTTCCGTGAATGGATCCCTTTAATTAGAAGGTACATGATTTAAAAATTAATATTAAAATATTAAAATATTGTCTAAAATATTTTTTTTTTAATTAGAGATTATCGAAAAGAAAATTCAGTAAAGAGTGAAAAAAATAATTATATACATCAAAAGTACAATTTCCGTTTAGAAATATTATCTTCCATTTCTCATGATGTCTTTGAAGCCTTCTTGTGGATGATTTAATTATGGAAAGAATTAATTATTCCATTAGAATCCCATGATAAAAATGTTGATGAAAGGCTCATTTTTATGGAGTTTTTACAGAATAACGGATAAAATTTTTTTTATAATTGAATACTGAATTCTTATTTTTATGCAAATGCAAAAATCTACAATTGAGCGGTAAGAAATTTTGTACAATACTTAAAATTAAAAGAATTAAAAGTAAATTCTTTTATAATTCACTTTTATGTTTAGGGCACTGTCAGATATTACCTAATATCACTTTAATATAAGAGCTTACCCCCCAAATAAGATATATTTTATATATAATTCCTTATATAGTATTATATGTAACCTAAGATCTTTAGTTCCCCTCCCCTTAAAATATTAGGTAATATCTGAACAGCAAAAAAAGTAATGATGGGTATGTCCGTGAAAACATTTTGGGATCATTTTTTTTTAGTACCGCTTTTATAGCATTCATAGACAATGATGATTTGTCCAATAGGCACCTTTAATTATTGGAATTTTTTTTTTACATATAATTTTTAAATAAATATAATTCATAATCACGTGACTTATCATGAAATTATAATAAAAATGCCACTTGCGTCAGAAATTGCAGTAAATATATACTACTAATGAGTGATGATCATATTATATTCTTAATTATTAGTTATTATCTAATTTTGTTTAAAATAAATAATTTTGGGGCTACTAAAGATGACTAGGAAATGGATCAGAATATCAGGGTTCCATATTCCATATGTTCATAGAACTTCGATCATCCCGACTCAATGACTCATCAAATGAGTGGAAAAATAGTTACCCGACCCGTAACCCCTATAAAAAAATTTCATATGATATCTTAAATTTTTTTTTTGTGCTTAAAATATATTAAAAATATGCTGAAATTAAAAAAAAATTAGGTATAATTTAATTATAATTTAAGTATATAATAATATACTTAAAATATTCTTAAATATATACTGAAATTAAGTATAAATTAAATATGTAATAGTTATATCACGAATATCATGATTTTCACGGCTGCTGATTTATCCTAGGATATCCGTACCATAAAGCCCATTAATATACTTATTTTATTCCAATATTGATAGACTTTTTACCCATCTTTTTAAATAAACACCCGTGAGAATATCACAAATTTTAACTAGGAACCGTGGGAGATTTTCAGGTTCAAGTATAAAATAAGGAAAATTAAGTACATTTTAAGCCTATATTAATTATATTAATTAAATATATTTTTAAATAAATATTTTTTATTATTAAGGAGATTGATCAACAAAATTTAAAATAAATTTTATTACGTAATTTTATTATCTGAATGAAATTCTCCGGATTGGCAAGGTGTGACGTGACGTGAATCGGAGTTTTTGAAAATGTGTCGCCATATGAAGTTAACGTCACCGCCAAGAATGAGTGTAATGAGCGTCCTTAAGGGTTCCCTGAAATAAATTAGTACATAATTGTATATAAATGTAGTTTTATTGAATAAGCCAAGATACCTAAAAAGAGAAACTGATACAGGTGAATGCAACGCGGAATCACGGGCTGCATGAAAAAGTAAATATTTATATTAAAAGGTAATACCAAGAGTTTTTTTTTAAAAAAAAATAATACTCTTCATTTTTGAAATTTTTTTTTTTTTAAAAAAAAAACTGTAAAAAAAAAACCGCAATGGATATCCCAAAATATATTGGAGATATACACCCAGAAGATTATATCAAAGAAATGAGAATATATTGTAATTTTAAACAAATTACAAATGATGATGATGTTTTAAAGTTTAGTAAATTGATGGTAGATTCAACCATTGATTTTCCTTCTGAAAACATAGAATCGTGTGAAGATCTTATCAAAGAATTAAAAGAACATATTACATTTTTGATTTTTAAAAATTCTAGTATAAGAAAATTACATTTATTAAAGTATCAACTTGAACGAGATGGTGGTGATACGCCAAAATTTATTGCTAAATTTCGTTCACTTTGTCGTAATGCTGAGATTAATGATATCGATAGACAAAAACATTATTTATATTACACACTTCCAAATGATTTTTTTAGAAATGAATTTATCAAACATTATGATGATATTAAAACTATGAATGATTTGGTTATTTGTTTTGAAAGAACTTTAAATGAATATTCTAGATTTATTCTAAATGGTTCTGTTGTAGCGTTAAAACATGTTGCTACTGGAAAATATCTTACTAGTAGTATTAAACATTACGAGACAGGTTCAAAAAATCAATTGGTTTGTATTATTTCTTTACTGATTTTTGAAATTTTTTTTTTGTAATGATATACATATATTTATAATTGTTTGTAATTCAGGTTTTTTGTGGGAAGTCGTTACGTGATTCAAACTCTGCTTGGACTATCAAATGCCTTCAGAGTCCTGAATTTCTTCCTTATGAAAGTATAATCTATTTACAACATAATAATACCAACAATTTTCTTGAAATTTGTACTGACCGTCATAATCTATCTCCTGTTTCTAAACATACTGAAGGTAAACAACTTAATTTTATATTTCTCAAACTTAATATTTAAAGATTTATCAAGCTGCTTACAAATATATATATATATATATTTTTTTTGTTACATATACAGTGAGCTGTGGATCTAATAATAATTATAGCGATTATACATGGATTCTTGATCGTAGTAAACCCGAAAGTAAAGATGAATTTTTAAAAACACAAGATATTATTCTTCTTAGGAATAAATATCCCGATTATCTTACTAATAAGCAAAAAGAAGAGATTTTGGGTTGTAAAGATATTATGTTTACCGTTGGCGAAGATGAATATCAAGAAGTTTATGCTCATTCTAAAGACAATATTGACGAATATGACGAGGTAATTATAATTTTTTTTTATTAACTTTTATTCTTGTAAAGAATTTAAATCAAATTAATTAACAATTTATCTATTTTCATACAGTGGTGCATTGAACTTATCGAATAATTGTTGTAATTGCAAAAATTACTTTTTAATTTATCATCTACTTTCTATCCGAGATTGATGTACTTTTTTTTTTGTAATCTATTTAATAAATGTTTAGAAATTATTAAATTTGTCATCATTTGGTAATGATTCTTTTATTATATGCCTGTATTAGTAGTCCAACTTAAAATTTTGATTAAATCTAAGAAAAGTTGCATCCATGATCCTTTACTTTCAAAAAGATATTTCCCGCCATTACGTTAACAATTAATAAAGAATAAATGTAGATAAAGTTAAGCCACCTTATTGTTTGAAGACAAAGAAGCATGTACAATTGTTATGTTGGTACATAAAAAATCACATGTATAAATAAAGTAAATAATAAAACTTTGTACAACTTCTCTAGTACCGAAGTATCTTAGGGACCGCCTCTTATTGTTGATAATAAACGGTTAAAATCATAACCTAGGGACAGATTCACGTGGTCTATAATAATGCAGATAAGCCAACTCTAACCAGTTATAAACCGGTTAAATTAACTGGTTAAATTTATAAACTTATCCAGCTTAAGGTGACAAACGGTATTATAGTTATTTTTATTCATTAGATGGTAAAAAGGGCCCATCTCGATTTTTGATAAAAATCTGGAACATGACATGTGTCAGTTTGTATACTGTTGTTACTGCACGTGCAACGTGGTATTAATTCAGATGATTTTATTGTGAGTTGTGACCATTAACCAATCATATTTAATCAGGCAATCATACGATTATTGGTTTTTCGATGACAAATCGAACAATGTTGATTTTTTTTTTTAGAAAAAAAAAAAGAAAGGGAAGAAAAATGCCAATGTATTTGATAAAGAAAAACAATTATTTCCCTCCCAATAATCCTTCTTTACATTTCTTATTTCTTCTCGTCAATTTTCTCGTCAATTTTCGTGATTAATCCATTCTTTCTAGATAAAAGATTTTAGATGCGCCCTGTAAAAATTGAATACATAATCCAAAAAAAGAATATATATTTCCATAATTCAATTTTAATCACCTTGACGATAAGGATCAAGCCCACTACCAAGAAAGTGTTAATTATCAACTTCATCATGTAAATCAATAGAAATATAGAATCATTTTCAAAATTTTACTTACCCTTGAAGAGAACTTGATAATCCGCTTTCAAGATTTTTTTTGTTGAAAAGGAAAAAATAGAGAATTATAGTATAAAAAGTTCAGAATAATATTAAAAAAATTTATTAATGATTTTTTTTTCAAGGAAAGAGTGAATTAAATTGGTTCTAAATACATTTAATATTAAGTAATTAAAAAAAAACTAAACTATTTGTAACGCGGGTGCTGAAATTTTTTAAAGTTAACCCAGTCTAAATGTTAATTAGTAGTATATATTATTTTTGAGAAGGGGGATTTTTTTTTTTCATTTGTAAATTAAAAATTTAGCAAGAATATAATCATTTTGAACAAAAATATATTCGCTCTTTAGTTCTCTACTTATTTTAGATATTTCATCAATACTTATTTTCATATGTTTGCCTCTTCGAGATAATCTAGATTGATGTCGTGGAGCAAAACAATGCCGTAAATATGGTTTAACTTCACTAGAAAAGTCCTCACTTGAAATATTACCAAATCTAATTAATTCGACATAATCTTTTAAAATTTCCCATAATTCATTAAAGTCCTTCTCCTCCCATTCGTTAACGTCCCTTTCACTATTAGAACACTTATGAATCCCCCATTTAACAACATATTTCCATATTTCAACTTCGTCCATCTCTATATCATCTCTTTTCAACAGGTCAATCAATAAATCTCCACTTAAATTAATAAAATCACTAGACTTAAATATTAATTCGGGATTCTCACTCATCTTTTGAATGCAAAATTCTTGAAGATTTTTACATTCCACAAATCGATGAGCATGAAATTGAACTTTGATAAAATCTGTTTTAATCCAAGTATCAGCGAGAGATAATAAATGAGATTCTGCAAAATTCATTAATTCCGTTAACATAAATTCATCAGTAGCGCATAGTAAGTCTAGTAGTTCACAAGGCGTAAGCTCGTCGAGAGACACAGTACCACTATACAAATGTCTATTAAAAAAAAAGATTAAAAATGAATAAACAAATAAATTTAAATAAATAAAAAAATAAAAAATAAATAAATAAATAAAAAATTTTTTTTCTTACTTGAGGATAATTTCAAAATTTTTTGGTGAAATATTTGGTTTTTCAAAAACTATTTTATCTCCTTCCTTCTTAATCCAACCGCTTGATAAAGCGATTCTAAAATAAGTTGATTGTGAAGTTAAAATTAAAGCATGAGCGAAAAATGTTTTACTATTTGAACCATTTCCAACTTTAATTATCGTATCATAATTAATATTTGGGTTTTGATATAAATAATCGAAATTTTTTATTAATCTATTTACTAATATTTCAGCTGACTTAGATGACATTTTTTTATAATGTTTGTATTTTTTTTTTTTGTTTTTTGTTTTCTTTTTTCTTTGTTTTTTATGCTTTTTATGTTCGGGAGTAAAAGATTTTTTTTTTTTACAAAATGAGTATATTTATCAATTTATTTGGTCCTGCATTACCCACATTAGCCGAATTCAATTTTCCCAAAATAATCAATCAATCATGTGATACGGGCTGAACAACGCTTTTCGTCACCGGTCGGTACCGTTTTGTTGATTGATGAACAAAAACTTTCTATTTTGAGAATCTAAATGAGGTTGTGCTTTTTGATTTTTACTTTTTTTGAAAATTATATATTAGCTTCTTTTTGGCTTAGGATAATTATTATCACTTTGTTTTAGTAAATTAGAGATCCGATAATTCTTTTTTTTTTTGTCCTTAATATTTCATAAATCTTGTGATCTTTATTTCTCGCATTTTAATCATGAGAACTTGGGGTAAAAGAATTTATTAATAGTTTGCATTACCCCGTGTAGCAAGATATGATTGAATCAAAAAAGTTTGATTAACAAATTTGTCTGTTGATCGATCCTTCGATAATCCATTTTTTTTTTTCGAAACCGTCCGTCTGAAACAAATCCATTACGATCTTTTATAAACAAAAGTTAAGTTTAAATGCTTTTTTTATACAGATCTTATTTATAATATCTTATTTGGGGGTTTTTATATCCGGTGAATATTCATCACGTAAAATTACTTTTATAGCGCCCAATTAAGAATTAAGGTTAAATGACATTATTATTTGTAAATGTCTTGTCTTCCTTCTATAAGGATTTTTACGGTTTAAACTTCTCATGCATTCGTAGTTGTGCAAATAACCTACTTAACTATATAAATATATTTTATTTTCGGCATCAAAAAAGTAACTAAATTGTGATTGAACGAACTAAACAGATCTTATGTTTATGCGATTATCTTTGACGGAATAACATTGTCAAATGTTTATACTAAAGTTTTTTTTATCATTTTAATCATGTGGTCAAACAGATAATTATTACTACTGGCGATAAATATGGTAATTATTAACAAAATATTACTGTATCATATGTTTGGCCACATGATTATTTTGATTTATTTCATGTAACACAGATAAACGGCGTGATAATTCATGTGACAATATAATAATGGATTTTCAAAGTCATAAGATTAATGATATATGCATAAATGTATAACCAATTTTAAAGGTAGAGATGTATTAGTTTCCAGCTATTGACCTAAGGACCTAAGGAGTAAGGAATTACATAGTAATATAGTCTGTTCTCCTGACCTGGTCTTTTGATCTCTTTGAATATAAAAAGTTAATCCGTGTTTTATGTTCCATATTATTCGACTCGCTTAGAATTTTGCCGATTATGTAGAAAAAATGAAGAAAATATGAAAATTTAATAAATATAATAAATATAATAAATATAAGGGAATTAATTATCCGGATAAAACAAAGCTAGCCATTCATGACAGTTGGTCTCGGACCAGAACCGATATATTTATATTTAAGTCACATGATAATATCAAATTTCGGAGGAATTAAAAACTAATTATAGTACTGATGATAAGTCATGTGATTTTGCTTTATTATATTTAAATCACGTGTGTAGGATAAGAGTGTCCTTAAAATAGACCGCATATAGGGGGTTAACCTTGACCCCCGGTTCGGGATAAATTTATCCATAAATTATATAGACGAGATTTTTGGAAGCTTTCAATTACTTTTCTTTGGAATTAGACGCTTCCAAATTCCAATTTCTTCCAATTTTAGTCCTTCCAATATTCTAATGATTTTCACTACCTATTATATGTTAATAGAAGGGCTTCTAAAATTTTCATTGGAATTGGCAGTGAACATCACTGCATAACAATTACACGAAATATTTTTTTTCACTTCTTGAATTATCAGAACAATGCACTAGTGTAAGTTTTGGATTGAAACATTGTACAATTGAATTAGATGTGCTGTATTGTACATCCGATTGGAAAAAGTTCAACATTGGTTGTACGATATTGTAAACGCGGAACTTTATTGTAGGTATTTATCAAAACGTAATTACGGTCGGAATGGTCGCGAAATTATATACAGCATATATCGAATGGCAAAATTTTTCATGGCGAATGGCGTAATCGTAAAAAACTTATTATTCAAAATGTCAACTCCGTAATTGCGTGCTCGAAAGCACCTATAGGCTTTATTCACTTATTTATAATAGTTTTATGAATACTAGAGAATGGAACTTTCGCAATTCTGGAACGGACTATTGATAAGTCTTGTGAAACTAGAATAGGTTTCTTTATTTACTAGAAACTGAATGTATATTAATAATATTTCCCAAAAACTTTTCATATTAATATAAGGTAAATTCACTTAATTTTTATTTGATTATGATTGTAAAGATTGATAATTATAACATTATGCTAATTATGCTAACTTCATTAAATAGGCCCCAGATCTTTTTTTATCCATATAAACGAGAAGATTGGAACCTTCAAATGTATAATGCTAGTCAATATTTAATAAAAGTTTAAACTCTTGCTGATATCAAAAATCTACATGGCAAACTACGATAGGATAAAAATAGCAACATATCAATGGGCATTTTACAATAGATCACATTTAAGTTTTTTTTTTAAAAAAAAATGTCCTTTTCACGAATAACTCAAAATTTATTTTTTTTTTTACGATTTTCAAATTAAGAAACTGACTTTATTTAATATTTAATAAATAAAGATACAAAATATTTGATCATAAAAGGACATTAAACCAAAACTCATCACTAATAAGCGTAGTAGTTTAAAGCCGAAACTAAATCGTTCAGCATTACCGCCGGCGATTCCCGAAGCCAAATCCAGAAGGTGGAGTGCTACTGAAGCCAAACCCACCAGCAGCAGGCTGAGTAGTCTGACCGAAGCCAAACCCACCAACAGCAGGCTGAAGTTTCTTATTTCTTGGAGACTTATTAGTTTGTTGTGGCTTAATATAATTCCAAAGTAGGTTTTCATACATCTCTCTAGAAAACATTAATGAATATGGTCTAACTGCATTAGAAAAGCTCTCGCTTGAAATCTCATTAAATCTGATTAATTCAACAAGATTTTTTACAATTTCCCACAACTCATCGAAATTCTCTTTCTTCCATTCGTTAACATTTTTTTTACTTAAATTATTAGAACATTTATGAGTTCCCCAATTAATAACGTATTCCCATATTTTAACTTCTTTCATTTTTATATAATCTCTTTTCAATAAATTAATCAATATTTCTTCACTTAAATTAATAAAATCATCAGAGTTAAATAATGACTCAGGATTTTCACAGATTTTTTCGACGCAAAATTCTTGGAGATTTTTACATTCTAAAAATTTTCGAGCAAATAGATAAATTTTAATTAAATCACTTTTAATCCAAGAATCAGCAATAGATAACAAATGAGATTCTGTAAAATTCATTAATTCAGGTAACATAAATTCATCGGTAGAAGACAATAAATCTAATAATTCTGACGTAGTAAGTTCGTTAAGTGACACCGTACCACAATACAAGTGTCTAAAGTTGAAAAAAAAATTGAATTTTTTTTTTTTTAACGATTTTTATTACTTTTTTTTTTATAAATAATTTACGTACTTGAGAATGATATCAAAATTTATTGGTGAAACATTTGGTTTATCAAAAATAATTTTATCTCCATCTTTTTTAATCCAATCACTTGATAGGGCAGTTTGAAAATATTCTGATTGTGAACTTAATATTAATGAATGTGCGTAAAATGTTTTACAATTTGATTCGTTTCCAACATTTATTATCATATCATGATTGTTATCCGAATTTAGAAGTAAATTTTCAAAATTTTTGCTTAATCTAGCTAATAACAAAATTTCTGATGACATAAATTTTATTTCAGGTCAAAGAAAAAAAAAGATGCTTTATAAAAACAAAAGTGCAATGAAAATTTGTGAAATTTTTTTTTATTCTCCGAACGTGTAAATTGAGCCCGATTTAACTATATTTAGGATATTTACGCCTTACGTTACAAAATACAGTTAGCGAATGTCAAATATATCATTCCTAATAAAAAAAAAAATAAAAATAGATTAGATTTAATTGATGTATTGATATTGATGTATTGATGTATTGATGTATTGATGTTACAATCATTACTAATATTATAAGTCTATAAATCTTAATTAGTAAAATTTGAGTTATTTAACCCACGTGAATTTTGTCACTGACCTCGCTCACGCTATATGCTATATGGTTAATGCTGGCTAGTAAGTAATGATGTTGGTAGAGAATTCATAATGCCGGCCAGACAGATTTAACCGGGCGATACTGGAGTCTTACATTGCTTTTATTTCCCGCGTATTTCGTTGAAAATATTAGGCGCCATTTTTCTTAGTAGCGCCAGTGTAGCGCCCATCATTATTTTTAGTTTAATATATAAAGCGCATATAAAATAGTAGGTTGCGCATATGAATTTTATTAATGATATCAGATATATGCTTTGCGCGTATAAGAATTTTTTGAATTTATAACACTGGTCTTATGTTTTTAGAATTTCAATAATTTCATCGAGATATTGTATGGGAACAATAAAAGAAAAGCATCATTTTATTTATATTATTAAACTGATAGTGATTAAGATGTATGTTATGACGAATTTTTTGAAGAAAAATGCATCTGTACAAAATAATTTAACAGATTGGTAAAAGAAACAATAAAGTATATGAATGAACAAATACAAATTGAAGAAAAGCATTTGAACGGCATTTAATATTAGCTGAAAATAAGCTAAGAATACAGATTTTTACCAAGGCAAGTTACATATAAATCAATGCATTTGAATTATGAAATGAAGATGCGGCGGCACAAAGTAGTTTGGAAAATTATTATAAAAATATGATAATAAATGCGCTTTTTTTTTTTAACCAGTAACTATTAAAATAATGGTAAAGGAAGTTAAATAAAACAAGGAACACAAATGGAACCAAGAACTTGCGCGTGTACCTAAAACGAGCGACTTGGCTTCTTCGGTACTAACCTATTGTTTCTTGATATTTTATTCCTTCCTTTTCATATATACTTTTCACTTACAAATGTAACTACTTCTTTACCTCACGTATATTATTCTTTTAATGGTTAATTTACCAGAATTTATTAATAAGTTCATGAGTCTCACCATCGATCTCAATCTTTAACTGAAATCCTTCCGTTTTATCAAAAAATAATTTAGGAAGATACTTAACATTGATTCTTAGCGTATTTTAAAAATGCAAAAAAAATTATATAAGTTTATTGAAAAAAAAGTAATTAATTAATTATTTATTTCCTACGTATATAAATTAACTAATTATTAAAAAAAAATCCCTCGAAATACCGAATCTTCTCCCCGCATAATCTTTAATTTGATGCTACGAGCGAGAATCTACCTGTAAAAAATTTATTTTTCCAGATTAAAATTTTAAAATATTCATTCGATAATGATATATTTATTATATACAGTCAACTCGCTCCCTTATCCGTAATTTCTGTAAAAACTTCGTGAAATATGACGAAATAATTTTTTTATAGGGCACTTTTTAATGTACAGTATTAAAGAAAAAAAGAATAATTTTTTATCTGATACGTTTACGGAAAAATAATTAAAAATTTAAGTAACTTGGAAATTTTCCATGTTTTGAGGCTATAAATTCCGTGAATGTGATACCGATACATTTGCGGAAATAACATGGAATAAAATATACACGAAATAAATTTTTTGACGCTTTATGACGAATTAAAGAAAAAAAGAATAATTTTTTATTTAATATTCAAATTATTATAACAAAATTAAGGGATATAACAAACGATAAATTGAACAGACCACAAATAATAATAATAATTTTATTAACTTGATGACGTCTTGTAAAAAAAAAGATTTTTCTGTAAATTAAATTTACAGTAGTAAAAACGCGTAAATAGTAATTGACGTAATAAAATTAATCTTTTACTATACAGTACGTCACAACACAGACAAAACCAAAACACACGTTGAATATTATTTGACACAAAAAGAAAAATTGAAATATTTATTATATGAAAAATTATTTTAATACATACTTTTAAACCCAATTTATTATAATAAGACTTTAAATTAAGGTAATGTAATACATAGATAATTTAGATAATTTAAGGTTTCATATGTGAAAAAACGTCATTTTTTTAATCGCGAAATCGGATCATTATATCGGGTCACAGGCGGAACACCCGAATGGGAGAAAAAAAGGAAAGAAAGTCAAATAATGATGGAAATTTTCTTGGCAAATATTTATGGCGTCTTATGACTTGTTTTTGTACATTCTGAATTACATGCATTATTTTTGAAACTTTTTTTAGTATTTCGGTAAATACAACTGTAAAAATTATCATTATATTAAATTTAATTAATATTAACATTCGGAAAATTAGACTATTACATAATCATTTCTATAACATTAAGTGTGATACAACATTAATCGGGTAATCCGCGAACCCCAAATGCATTATTATTAGTAAGTATTTAATATTTTACAATAGCATATATATATTATTTAAGAAAAATAAATATTTTATGGATTCCAAATCAAGAATTCATAACCTTCGAGATTACTAAAGTAATAAACGGGAGTAACAATAACAAAAGCGCAAATTATGGATTAAAAATTATTAAAATTATTAATCGTTACATTTTAATACGGAATATTTGTAAAAAAAAGGAGTAAATAAAAAGGGTCCTATTCAACTAGAAAAAAAAATATATATTATGTAAAATCCGTTATCCAATTTCATTTCTCCCGTCCATTACTCAAGTAAATTGATATCATTGGTTCATCTTTCTAAATTGTTTAACGCAGTAAACACAAACCTTGAACATAAATAAGATTGCATTTTATTTACAACAAACATAACGCCGCATTTAGTTTGTAAATACAAAGTTTGCGAAATTATATTAGACTAGTATTAATTTAGGTTCATTCAAGTAGATTTTTTTTATTTATAAACCACTTTGATTGGCATTACTTAGCGCCAAACTTAAGAACCATGATCAGTGTAAGAATTTTAGATTGCATGAATGAATGGTTTCTACGCAGTACTTTTTTCCGATAAGATGAAATTTTTTCAATTTTTAATTCAATTTTTAAGTTTGAGAAAAAAAAAAAAAAAAAAATTTTTTTTAGAAAAAAATAAAATAAAAAAAAAAAATAAAAAAAAATTAGAGGGAAACCCGATTTATTTAATAAAAAATAAATAAAAACAAAAACAAAAATATATTTACTGCGAGAAAACGAACTTATGTAAAAAAAATCTTTAGTGCGTGAAAATGAATCATTGTATCAAGTTAAAAAGGTTAAAGGGATAGGAGTAAATGAAGTAAATAATTATTATATTGGTGTAAATTGCTAAAATTTCGATGGAACCTTTACAAAATTTTGTTTGTTACATTTTGAAAATTATTATTCTATTTATGAAGTATGTAATATATATGCATTGACATGCACATCAATTGGGATGGTCTCATTTTAAATTTGTGTAAATCATATTATGTGATTTATATTATTTGAACCTATATTAAAAGACCGTGAAAATCCGAACTCGAATATCCACTTGCTTGTAACCTGCAAGATTCCATGATCTTTTTTTAAAAAAAAATTGTCACCAATCGACTCGCATAAATATTTCTCATTCAGTATCATTAAACCATGTGTTATTATTATTTGCCGATACCGTATCAATGGTATCCAAGGTTTTGGCAACTTATTATTGAAAATTTCCATTTATGTCAATTAACTATAGGTTTAATAATATATTACACAACATAAACCGCATAAAACGGGAAGTAGTATTCTTTGACTATTGTTTATAGGGTCGTATATATATTAAGATTTACTGTTATTCAAGTATTTTTTTTTTTTTTATCACTTTTTTCTCTTTTTTTTTACACATACATATATATTCCGTTATATATACTCAATTCAATCATTTTTATTGTATCAAGCATAAAGGCATCAGGCATCCTTCCATTCTTTTCTTTTTCTTTCATTTTTTTTTATAATAATACTTACATGTAATATAATGTTGTAATAATTTTTAAAAAAATTTTGAATTGGAGCAACTGTTTGTTTTCGCTCCATAATTTGTCATTCTTTATTTTCAATATTATACTAAACAACCCTTCCTTTACCCTTTAGAATTAAAGTATTAATTGCTTTTTCCTCATCCATTAAATACTCTTAATAACTAATCAGTTATGCAATTTTTCACGCCGACGCGAAACAAGTTAATATCTTTCTTCCTTATAGTACTATTATTTTTAAAATTAAGTACTGCTAAGTTAACTGTATATGACACATTAAATAATGAATTATCATCACATGATAATGTAGACTTTATGGGAATAGATAAAGCAAGTTATGGGACAATTGTGGGAAAATTACTCATTGCTTCCTTCTCAAAACCTATTGACGTTAAAGACGACCCTTGTAAAATAAAAAATTTACCCACAGACGTCACAATTGATATTGTGGTCATACCATTTCAAGATGCTTATAATATTGGGTGCAAATCATATTCACAAATTATAATCGCTAATAATTGGAGGCTTAATAAAAATGGAGAGGTGTCTAATAATGTACCTCATCCACCTAATAAGACTCCAGAAGGAGGAGGTAATAATGATAATAACGAACCACCTAATTATAACGACAACAACGACAACAACGACAACAACGACAACAACAACAACAACAACAACAACAACAACAACAACAACAACAACAACAACAATAATAATAATAATAATAACAATAATAATAATGAAGTGAAGAATCCTCAACCACAGCAGCCAGAAAATCAGGATGAGAATCCAAAAGTCATTAATAATGATGATAACATAAATAACATCCCGAATGGCAAAGGCGTCGATAATGCAAATCCTAAAAATAATGATGCTAAAAATAATGATGCTAAAAATAATGATGCTAAAAATAACGATGCTAAAAATAATGATGCTAAAAATAATGATATCCCTAATAATGATAATAATGGTAACGCTATCCCCAATAATAACGCTAATGACAATGGTAACGCTAAAGTTAACGGTATCCCCAATAACAATAATAATGATGATGCTAAGAATAATGATAATCCTAAGAATCCAGTTAATAATGATCAAAATGTACCTATAACAGTTCCGGATGTTACAACTTTATCAAATACTCCAAAAGACACTCAATCAGATGATTCACAATTTAGTTCAATTAAAACAATACCAAACGATCAGAGTAATCCAACTAATTCAAATGATCAGACTAATTCAAACGTTCAGACTAATGATCAGAGTAATTCAAATAATTCAAATGATCAAGGAACTAGTTCAATTGAATCAATACCACCTCAAAACGACAACACTGGTGATTCTAATGTAGTACCAATATCAGTTGATAAACCTACTATATTGGCAGATACTCCGACAGCTACCACAGGTCCACAATCAACCCAGGATTCACAACCACAACCAACCGAATCACAATCAACCGGAAATTCACAATCAACAGATTCACCACAACCGACCACAGATACAAAACCGACAGCTACAGATACTACAGATACTCCTATTGGATTAAGAAAACGGCAACAAGAGCATGAATATGTTTATGTTCCTAAAGTTGTGATATTTTCTTCAATGAACGGCGGAGAACCTGGTATAAAGGAACTTTACAATGGAGATAGAAATGTATTAAAAGAATCTATACCTGGTTTAACATTATTAAAATTTGAGGACGTTACTAGGTTAAAAAAGGAAAATGATAAGATTGACCATGCAAAGATTTCTTCAGAAGATGGTAAATGGTATAGTTTGATTACAAGCCCATCTTGGGTTGCATGGAGCATAATAATGAGCATAATATACGGTATCATCATTATAGTAGCAACTCATTTATTAATAGTACATTATAATAAATGCGGTTTTACCAAAAGTCATGTCCAATATTACTGTTATCCTGGGATAGCATTCATTTGCATATTTGGAATCACACTTTTATTGGTTGATCCTGGAGACGTCTACGAGGATCGACTGCCATTATTTAGCAGGACGCTAATCACCAATTTAAAAGTATTATTGTTAATGGTATTTTTTACCATTTTGGAGATTCAGTGGAAAAATGCAGCGTCCATGATATGTGAAACTCACGACCATCATTATAAATGGATTTTAACTTATTTAAATAAATTTTTTTCATACGTTCTCGGCTTTTGTAGTTTCATTTTTATAATTTGTTTTTTTATAAAAACTTTACTAGTTTTAGATACTACAACAAGTTGGTTTAGTTTAATAATTAAGTTAACTTACATATTTGAATCGATTTCCGTTGGCCTTATTGGTATCGAATTTGTATTATTTGGTAGTTTTATAATTAGCGCCATAAAAAGGAGGAGCCGAGAACAAAGATTAAGATATAAAAAGAGGAGGACAGCCGTAAAAACGTTAATTATGAACATTTCTTTTATATCAGCTGTTGTTTTTCTTATATTATCTGGTGCAGTACAATTTTTATTACCAACACTAGTAAATTTTTGGGTTCAATTGGTTTTGGGAAACGTAGCCACCGCTACCGCATGTATAATCATAATCGTGGTCCTACAAGATAAAACGATAAGAGAGCATATCCAATGGGCAAGAAATAGGAGCGCTGATTTACGAATAAATATTGGAGGAGGGACCGATCAGATGACCGCCATAAACATTCCGCCGACTCCGCCGACTCCACAAACTCCACAAACTCCGCAGACGCTAACATCCATGACCTCTTTAATAAGAAATCTGACTACGATCAATGAACTACCAACAAGAAATGATATGAATTCCATTTCGTCTAATAGACCATCTACCGAATATAGAGGATCTACCAGATTTAGCGGTGCCAACTATCCAAATAGATTTAGCGGTGCCAATAATTATTATAGATATAGCGGTAACTATTCTAATAGGTTTAGCAGTGCTGGTAATTCGAATAGATTTAGTAGTAGTAATAATTCAAATAGAAGATTTAGTAGTGCAAGAGATTCGATGTATAGCATATATACTAGCGTTAACGATATGAACTATTCGAATCAATATTTTTTAGATACTTTATAACAAAAAAAAAAAACATTTTAAAAAAAAATTTTTCTTAAAAAAAAAAAAAATAAAAATTAGAGTGTTTTTTTTAGTTTCCTTTTTTTTAAGGCTTTGTATTCTTTTATTTTTTGAAATTTCAAAAAAAAAAGAAAAAAATCTTTGAGATTTCAAAAAAGTAATTGAAGAACTAAGATTCTTACAAAATTAATTTTATTCTTTTGTACAAATGTTAAATATGAAAAATAAATACTGTGTTTTTTTTTAATTTTTTTTTTTGTAAATTATTGGGAGGAATTAAAAATATTAATCAACGTACAATCATGTCATTAAAAAAAAACTCTCGTGATGTCTATCAAAGAAATTCAAATGTTTTTCTAAGTTATTTACGTAAATTATGGCATTCTTAAAAAATATTGACGCGTCCAACGAGTCATGTTTTAGTCGATAGAAACAAAACTACCCCCAAAAAATTCTGCGTAAATCATGTGATCATCACATATCACTTAAATAGTTACGTAATTTACATAAATAATAATTAATTAAATAAACTTTTATTAAAGTTTCGCTTTTCCACTTTCAATATGGATATTGTAACTACTGGTAATTTACAAAAATGTAAAAAATGTCAAAAAAATTTACCTCTAGAAGCTTTCATTAATGAAAATACTCAGCAAATTAAAACTTGTAATATATATCGTCATAAAGCTACTTTGCAATATAAACAATCTAATCAATCTAACACAGAGGTAGGACTTTTAACTCTAGAAGAAATGTCAAAACAACTATTTGAAAGAATTTTAGAAATCAACACTAATGAATATTTAGAAAATGATTTAACTAGTAGAGTAGATTTTAATTGCAATGTTTCAAAAATTTATTCAACCACGTCTTGATTTGGTAATTTATATTCTTCTTACTCGTTTAATTCCACATCATCAACAACAATATAATAAATATTTATGTGGCTGGGAAAAACTTTCATGGTGAAAAGATTTAAAAGGGAGTGGAATAATTTGCAAAAAAAGAAATTAATAATAAGTATGAAAGACAGATTACAAATCTATGCACTTGGAAAGATCATAATAAACAGAAGTGATTTATTTTGTAGATAGGCAGTAAATTAATAAATTTATGAAATATTTTCTTTTTAAAAAGTAATAGAGTAATAAAGGTTTTCTTTAAAAGTTTCATAATAAAATACTTTAATTTTTTTGAATATCAGAATTTTTTTTATATAAATTACATAATTCTTTAATCTCAATCATGTGATATGTGATGATCACATGATTTACGAAGAATTTTTTGGGGTGCTCTTGGGGTAGTTATAATGTCATTATAAAGTTTGTTTAGTAAGCTTATGTAGATACAATTAATGGTTGCGCAAATAACCAGAACGATCAATACCTCATCCACGACTAAATTCTCAACAGTTTGTATTTGGACTATAGGACTATATGGAGTCACTTTCTATTATCGTCAAAGTTAAGGGTTTCTGATTTTTATTGTTGATATCGATTCACCTGTCCTCGCCCGAGCAAAAAGACCAATGATTAATTAATAATATATTGCTCTAGTCCTATCACGGAAATACGATGAGCCAGGGCGCAAAGCACGTTAAAATTATTTTTCCATTGTCCGATCGGTAAATATTTTACCATTTAGCCGTCTTTATTTTTAACGACTAATACATGACGCCTATATTCTTTGTCATATATTATCTCAACAATAATATCCATATCCCATTTAACATATCACAAACTCATTGCAGCGTTTCTAAATTTCTTTGAGATCCGAAAATTTAATTAAAAAAGCCGGTTAACATACATATATTAACGATAAAATGTATTCAAATGCACAGATAAAAAAAGACTAACCTGTTAAGCCGCTTAGTCTCACATACGGGAGTGTTGAATTGAAAATACAAAATAAGAGACGAGAAAAACGTTATGCATATTGTCAAACCTTTTCGTATGAAGATACCACTCTGGAAGTTAATTACATGTCATTATAATGGTTTGAACTAACAAATTCTGAAATTCATTAATACGTTTCATATACTTATTTTTATATACCATGTCCTACAGATGTAATAAATTAGAATCAGAACCAATCAGCGCCTTTATCAACTAATGAGGAGTGATTTTTGGACATACTATAAAATATCAATATAATAAATGCTATGGTTGTTTATTTAACGAATATACATAAAATATAATAAATATATAAATATAAATATGAATACAAAAATTTGTTAAAAGATTGATAATAATATATACATAAAGATATAATAAATATATAAATATGAAAATATAAAAATTACATAGTCTCCATATATGATATTTGAAGCAGTACATAATAGCTATTCGAATTTTTTCAAAGGATATAAGTTTTTCAAAAGATAGGGTTTCAATACTTCGTTAGGAAGAATGGAGCGGACATAATTGAAGATTTTTCCCGACACGCAGGCCTTGTGCAAATCCCGTGGATCAAACTGAGGATGTTTGATTAACTTCGTATACATTTGTCTAAGTTGTCTTTTCTCATCTTCTGTACGACAATTCATAAAACCGTAATCAGCCCATATAGGAGGGCTGAGACGTACGGAATCGCCCAACGCATATTGCTTAAGGGAATAGACGCTAGGTCTAAATTGCTTGTATCCAAAAACCTCTATCCCGCACTTTGATAGCCAATTGCAGTCGCTACATTTTCTCTTTAACAAGTCCACTACTGATCCAGACACATAAGCATCATTGAATTCATCAATCGTGCAACCCTTTTGAACAATAAGTTCCTGGTACAGTTCACCCAACCTTTTTTCTTCTTCCTCTCCTAAGTGGTCTTGACTGACGTTACAAGTACAAAATCCAAAGTCGATCCAAGTGTCTTGTTCAATATTCGGAATACATCCCGTGAGTATAATTAAGTAAAGAGCAAAAATTTTATGCTTCGATTCTGGAAGAGACTCAATGGGAACTGTTTGATCTTGTTCGGAAAGATATGGTTTAACAATTGCATAATATCTATCTGCAATAGATTTATCAGATTTTTCACCTTCATATTTATGCAAACCCTGCAATACATGCTCATTTTTTAAAAACCATTTGTAGTATCCGCTAGTGAAACCTCCATCATCATATGTCTCTTTGATTTTAATTGATAATTCGCCATTTTCCCACCATGAATGGATTTGTGACGCACTACAACCTATAATTGTTATAAGGCCAATGTACAAGCCTAGAAGCATCGTTTTATCCTGTTTTTGCATACAATTGATAAAGCCGTATTCATATAGCACCGCAATATTCGTGGGCATCAAATTTTCGTTAGCATTCTTAACAAGAATATCTGCAGATCTCGGAGGACAGTCAATCTTATGATTTGTGTAGTCTTTCTTTTGACAAAACGCGCTACAGTAATACCTTTTTTGGCATCTTGAACAATATTTAATTGTAGGTTTTTTGCATATACTACATTCCATTTAGGATTTAAAAAAGGAAATGTTTTGGAAAAGAAATTGTGCCTTGCTATATATATGTGAGAAAATTGTTATGTTGTGCTAAGTTACACAAAATTGTGATTCAATTTTTAATTGTAAAACAGTTAGTTATTTAGGTCATGTGCTAATGAAGGCTAAAGACTAAAATTTTACTAACTGATCTGCCTCTAAATCTACAGGTGTGATAAAGGATTGCACTAATTGTTTCGCAAAATAATGGTAGAATCATGTGATTTGAGGTGGGATGATGGAAATTGATGTCATATAACAAGGATGTCATCATTATTACCTAATCAAAAATCTTATTTCCTCCACCTAGAGACCTAGACGCAAAAATTAAATTAAATTTCCAAAGATAATTATCAATGGTATAGTCCAGATCAATAAAAATTTAGCATTCATTTTATTTAAACTCAAGATATAATTACAGATTTTTGGAATCCCTAGAATCTGCGCCCAAAAAATTTACTGATGAAAAACAATAATGTCCAACTATTTTTATTTAAATAGGTTTAATTATCAATACATTTGTTGACCAAAGAAAGGAAATTGTTGATAAACTTCAACAAGTTACAGGAAAGTTCTCGTTAATGACTGATATATGGACTTCTACTGTAAATCAAGAATCTTTACTATTCACTACGTAGATTCTGATTGGAAACTGTCCTTTTGCAATTAGGCATTCTGGTGTGGATATTGTCCAAGAAATCATACGCATCTTAGGAAAATTCAATATTTTTGACAGAATTATTGCATGATAACAATTCTGCAATGCTAGCTTATGGAAGAGAAATTGCCATGACGATTTTTCTTTGATGACTCTTTCGCACTACCATTGTGTGGCACATGTACTAAATCTAGGAGTGAAAATGATCATATTCTATTAAATCAATACTTTGATATTCAATTTCTTTTCTCTTTCGCTTCTGATTATCACGAATTGCTTTTTTCTGGTTCCGACATAAGTTTTAGTTACACTTGAAAATAATTCAATTGATCGGGTCTGTTGACACCCCAAACATTTTTTGCTTTCGCTTAGAATTTCTATTTCCTATAATACAAAGTGGTGCTAATATTATTAAAACATAAAAAAATAAATAAAAATATGATAAATTAAATAAAAATTACCATTAAAATTTAATTTATAATATATATTTAGGTCGTGTTAGAAAAATTTATGTGAGTACTTTAAAAAAAAAGAGTTCGTGTTTATGTTTCAAATCAATATGCGGAGCATCCTTATCCTGGGCCACGGTCCAGATGCTTATCCTGGACCAGCAAATCTAATTGGATGAGATTGTTTTGTGTAACATTTGTCTTGGAAAAAAAAACAATTCGCGTTTTTTTTTAAAAAAAAGGTACGAAATGCCTTTTTTTAAAGCATTTAATACTACCATTTTAAAGTAATATGTTATTTAAAATTTGTACTTTGGTATGCATTTTATTAAACTTTATTAATAAATAAGTAAAATTGCATATATAACTTTATAAAAAAGGTCTTTACATTATTTTTTACTGTAATTTTATTATTAAAATTATTTTAACGTTAATATCAAAACAAAAGTACAAAGTAATAGTATTATATTAGCTTTAAAAGTTTTGTTATAAATGTGTAATTTACAACCTTTTTTGAACAACTTTGCTTAACCCCAAAACTTAAAAAAAAAACACTTGATTTCCAGAATAATATCAATATATCATAAAACTCTTCAAAAAGAAAATAAAAAACATTTAGTATTATCATAAAACTACAATAAATACAATTAAAATTAAAATATACAAACTGAAATGAAATATGAAATACTAAGTACTAACATACCACAAAAAAGAATAGAGAAAGAGTGAAAGATAGGAAGAGTAAGAGATAAAATAAATTATGCCGGAGTTATGTAATAAAAGGGCTGATTAGCCAATCAAAAGTTGACTGGTCCAGAATAAGCATCTGGACCGGTGGATCAGGTTAAGGATGGCCCAATATGCGCGTTGTATCACAAAATTAAATTTGATCGCACGTGACATTGCGTAACAAATTGTGGCTTGAATGTGCCACAGTGCTTTTTTTTGGGGTAGTTGGTTAAGAATCTGTACCCCGGGTACATAATAGGGGTCACCTGTACTACGCGAGGTAATGACGTATTACACAGATATATCATATGATGACAAAGATTAGATTCTCCTCATGGACTTCTATCGCTTTTTCGCGATAAAAGATTGGACATGCGATAAGGTAATAGAATATTATTATAAAACTTATAAGCAAAAGGGACGAAAGAAATTGTTGGATAATATAAAAAAGGATCTACAGAAGATTGCAAATTCAGAATATATATTGGACGAAGCGCGAAAAAGAAAGGCTCAAGAAATCTTGGATTACTGGAAAGTATGTTTGTTAGTATTTAACGAGTACAATTTTTAAGTAGAAATAGGTAACTCATCATAAAGGAAAGCTGATGACTTTTGGTCACAGTTATGAACTCTTAGTTCTTCCTAGAAGGAAAGCTGATGACTCTTAGTCACAGTTATGAACTCCTAGTTCCCTCTTCAAGCGCAAGCTATAACTCTTAGTTTATAGTGATGAACCCTTAGTTCGACGCTTGTGCGCAAGCTATGACTCTTAGTCTATAGTGATGAACTCATAGTTCGACGCGTTTAGTTTTTTAATCTTGTATTTTGTTATTTTATTAGCACTGGACTGCATCAAAAAAGAAAATGTTACCGGATACAACACTTAATATTAGGACGCTACAGGTAGGATTCTGTTCTGAAATTTTACAAAATAATAATAATACTTAGTAATATTTTTGTCAATTAGGTAGAACACCAGATTTTAACAGCCGGAAATTGTGGAACCCAAAATATTGATAACCGTCAAAGAAAACATCATCGAGAAGAAACGACAGATGATGAAGAACCGGAAGAGGTATAGAAGAATTGCTCAATGCCTTGCATAATAATGGTAAGATGCTTCATTCTTTCTTAACATATAGGTCGATGATGATGAGTCTAGCTCCAAAATTGGTAAACAAAAGCAACGTAGGAGGACTAGGAATGGGAGAATTATACCGAATTATAATGAAGATTCTTTGAATGTTGTCGAAAAATCATTGGAATTGCCTAAAGATAAAAGTAAGAGAATCAAAAAAAGTAATATTGGACACGAGTCATCAACATCATCAAGACAAAACGATATCGAAGTTGACGAGATAGATATTACGTTGTCAGAGGTCTGATATCTTGCGCATATTGCTTTTGTTCACAAGGTTCATCATTTAATAAATTCTTGTCTATCGTAGAATCCAATCATTGAAAGATTGATAGGAGTCGGTGGAATTGGTCGATATAAAATTGTCTTCTTGCCAGAGGAAAACGATTGTGATGTAATCAAGTTAATATTCAATAAAGGTGAGTGGTCGAAACTAGAAACAGATTGGATTAATGTTAGTTATCTTATCATGCCTGTATTATTTTTAACAAACTAATTCAATACTGTTTTTTTTTTTTCAGGCTGAGAAGAAAACGCTACCTTCCAGTAGTGGGATGAACGAGAATGTTAAAACGTTATTAAAGAAGTACAATGATGGCATCAATGATGTGACGTTCGGATACGATGTGAATTTGATGAAATTGCCCGTTTTATTTGACGAGACTTCAATTGTAAATCGGGATACATATAGTTTTACTCGAGAATGGCCTACGCAATGGATCAAATCGGTTTTTAATGCATTGTAAGTATAATATAATTTTTGGTTCTTTTTTTTGGATAATTTCTACATCGACTTTATTCTATTATAGTTTACTGTGTTTCCAGCTACCAATAAACCCACTTCACGATTGTGATTTATCCGAATATTCCTACAGAGATAGGATTGTTAATCGTATTATAGAGGATATTTTTCTAGACACATATAATTTTGTTCGTGTTAGGACGTAGGTTTTCTCTTGCGATCTCTTATCTCTTGAAAATTATCAAATATTAATATAAGTTTTATTGCTAACAAGGGGTAAAGTCGAAAACACAGATCGTAAAGATCAGAAAAATTCTGCAAGACCACAAGGGCAACGACGTTCCGTTGGATGGGATCATGACGCTATATTAATAATGAAGGCAAACAATGTTGATTATCAAATAGGGTTTTGTGAAGTCGTAGGTAACGCCTGCATACATGACGATCAAAAAATGGTAGGGGATCGAGAGAAAATTTTAAAGTGTAAGTAGAAAATAGTTCTGCTTTTTTATTTTTCTTTAATTTCAATTGACAAAATCATTAAATTTGACAGCGATGCAACTCGGATTATTCCGATTACGAAAATTACTCAGTAAACTAGGAGTCGATGAAAACGGAATTTGTAAAGCCGAAACATTTGGCATTCTTATTTATAGTAATTATCCACATAATCCATAGCATGTTTTACTTTCATTATTTTTATTGGTGTTTGACATTTTCTAATTTTTATTTGTGTAGGAAAAACTTTTTGTTTTTATTCAATGCATTATGTTGACGACCTTTATCTAGTAGATCAATTTGAAGGATTTACAATTCCCGATAATTCTGGTCAATTGGCAGAACTTTTTAATATTATAGAAATAATGTTTACTTTTAAGGTAATAATTATCTTCATCACAGTGTTTCTATCGTAAATAATACTTTAACATCTGTCTTTTATCATCAGCAACGTGTCATGGATCTTCATCACTTTGTTCAAAGTTTGTATAAACAAAAGAGTAAATTTCAACGAAGATCTCTTATCAATGAAAGTGCTGTTAAGGCTTCACCAACAAGACGGAAAACATACGAGAATGATGGTAAACTGAATTATGATGAGGAAGTGATAGTTTAGACTCCAGAGCAAAAATCTGGAATTAAGATTTCAGAATATAACGTTTATTTCTCTGCATTATTTAGTTTGTCTATTTTATAAAAGAGTAGACAACAATTTTTTCCGCTGGGATTAATAGGGATGACATCAAAAAAATTAAGAAATTGTAATAATTATTTGAAACATATTGTAATATATAGTTCATTTGCATGTGCATATATTCATAACATTACTATACTCTTTTCTGAGTCATATATTCTCAACACTATATCGAACTAAATCTGATAAGCACAGCACCTTTTGTATTATTTGCTAAATACATTAATAATACTATAAATGACAATTTATTGAGAAAAAACGAGGGCTACTGCCCAAGCATATTAATAACCGTCTTGAATATGGCTTATTAATGTCTCCAATATGATAGACCAAGTCAAAGTAAAAATGAGGATGCATCGGAGGTGGTTTCAGCTGAGGTGAGCGAATCAACCTCAACTTTTCCTGTATCTTATGACTTTAATTCTTCAGGCCCTGTTAATGCATGGCGACCATGACTCCGATTCCGATGATGATGGTGAACCGTGAACGTGATAGAGGTTATTATTATCGTGACGGAAAATATGAAAGAAAAACCTCCCCAATGATGAGTCCTATTATCTCACCGGTAACCGCCTAGGAGAATTATTGGATGAATTGCATACTCGCACAGACTGAATTATTTATTTCTTTCGAATCACGTGGGTGGCTTATGCAAAAGAGACTAAACCGATCACCTGAAATGCGTAGAAGATATCGGGAAAAATAATAGGGGCTGTGCGACGTGCGAATCGCATATTATTTTTTTCGCTTGTGTTATGGAATCCGAGTTTGACTTACTTAAAGAAGAAAATGCCAGACTCATGGGCAAGATAACTGGGCTCGAGTTCGAGAAAGCTGAGCTTGAAGCAAGAGATGCCGAGCTTAGAGAAAGAGTCGCAAAACTGGAAGAGAAGCAGTTGGAGAACGTAGTAAAAAAAACTTATTACATGCATCACAAGTATCGCGAAAAACATGATCATATTAGTAAAACAATATTCGGGTATGGATATTTGTTCCAGCAATCGTTATTTCGCATTGGGATATCTATGCTAATCATGAAGTCATTTTTATCAATTTGCAAGGGATTAGCGGAATGACGAAATGCAGTGCGTAATTGCTGGTGAAATCCGGGGAATGTTTCTCCTGCGAAATTTACAAGTGATATAAAATGAGGTCAGCATATTTTTTTTCGATTCTAGTAGAGGGAAAAGTCCCATTATGTCAGCTTCAGAACAAAGTACTTCTGGTCCGTCTCTTTCGAATATTAGAAATCGGGGATACAATATCCCAAAAAATCTTGATGATGGTCTTGTAAGAGATAAAGAAATTCCGGAGCTAGAACCATGTTCCGAATGTACGAACAATATTTTAACGTTCCCTCCTAAAAGCATTTACAACATTATCATGTGCCATATTTTTCACAGGTCGTGCATCGAGAAGCAACTTCTACATACCAAACCAGGCGCGTGTCCATTTCCCAATTGTGGGAAGAATGTCGATGTTATCATGGATCCAAATTCTACTAGGAGAGGTTCACAATCATCCCAATCAAGCGGAATTTCAACTATTTCTAACTTGGTGAATGAAAAGGCTTTCCTAACTTCACCAACTAATTGAATGAATCGGTCAATTAGTGATGCAATGTGGCAATCATTGCAATTATTGCACAAATTACCAGGGTTCCCCTGATGTAGGTTGAACCAAATTATCATGTGATTAATAAAACCTGTAAAAATCGATACACAAGAACCAAACAATGAACTTTATTTAAAAAAAACGAAAAAAAAACTTTCCTATATTGGAACTAGAGATTTGAGCGGTTTTATATATGTAAAATTCGAAAATTTTTGAATACTAGCTGGTATTATTTTTTTTAAAAATTACATTTTCTTCTGCCGCTTTGTTACCTGCTCGCTATTACCATATATATTATGTTTATGACCACGCGGTTTTTCACCACTAGATTTCACCATTTCTTGAAAATTATCAGCATTTCTGTATTACTCCCTTCTGCTGCTTTTTCTATTGCTGATTGTTTTTTCAAGCTTGCTGCATATCGTGTGATCCAACTTGCAACTGTCGTTATTTCAGGAACATCTTCAACATCAATTTCGCCTTCATCAGCAAGAATTTGAAGTTGTTCTACCATATCTTTTGCTGTCATACGATCTGTCCAATTCATATTGCCCGCTAAAAGTAGCTTTCAAGGTATGCTTTCACTGTTTTTGTCATCCGTTTTCCTGCTCCTCTTGTTCCATATTTCTGATTACTTTTTAACGCCCATCCTCTTTTCAATTCAAATGTTTCTTCAATAGCTATATCAAAGTAATCAATAATTATAATAATTACCAACAAATTATAACGAAAAAAAATATTATTTATTTTACCTAGTAATAAACGAACTTGATTATTATCTTTTTCTTGATTATTTACATCTAACGAATATAAAAAATATGAATATAATAAAAACAAATACAAATTTTCAATCATAATAGTTTACTTTGAACACGAGATAATGAAAAGATCCATGGGTTCTTTGGGGCTGAGTGAGGAGTGGTATTGGATATTGGCTTATTTATAGGTGTAGTTGTTAACTTTGATATTTCAAATGGTGAAAACTGGGACCATGATCCAATATGTGGTAAGCATTGAGCTCGTATATATCCAGCATAATCACCATCAATTGGCCATTCAAAATAAAATAATTTAGTAATACCAGCGATCGTTTTAACTTTATGATTGTCACGTATAGGTTCTAGATTTGCAACTGAAGTTCCTCCTAAGTCAGCTATTGCAGTTTGTATTTTTTCTCCTTCATCTAAATTATGCCCAATACGAATATATCTTTTTATGGCATGATCGATCTAGAAACAAAAAAATGTCTAATTAATTATCGTTACTGTTTAGTTTAGTAAAATACAATTAGAAAGCTTCAGTTACCTGAGCATGGTGGGAATCAATAGTCGTTTTAGCTTCGCTGGGTTCAAGAAAATACCAGCCACGAATTTCAATATTATACCATTGATACCAGTTAGCAATAGTGGCAATTAATTCTGAGTTGTGGTAATGAGCGCCATTATCTGACACTATTTCAGCCCATCGCGGTCTAGGATTAAGAGTTTCAAAAACAGAATCAAATGACGAAATTGTGAACCAGGCATCTTGTTTGGTATCAGTACTCCAATGATCAAATGCTTGAACATTGAGTTGGTCAGTATCAGGACCACATTTTGTAAACACCAGAATCGTATGCAATGTCCATCCCCGTTTCCCAAAATTTGTTCTTTCGTTTCCCTCGCACTCTTAGGTAATACACGCATTTTATAATCGCATTTTATAATCGCATATTAAAATTGCTCCTTCATTATCTAGCTTTGCTAGTCTAGCTTTAAATTGACTATTTAAATATACCTTTCTTGCTTGGTGGGTCAAAAGTAATATAATTTTTCCTTACATTCTTCAATAGTTGAACGGCGTTCTTCAAGATTAGCCATAAGATGTTGAATGAATACAAATAGGTGATCATATGCAGCACATCGATCAGTATGTTGTTCATAACATTCACCAAATGCATAGAGTAAACAATGATTAATTGTACTTGCATGAATTGTTGTACCATCTCCATTCATAGTAAGCTCTTCTTCAAAACCTCTCCTTAAGTGAACACGTAATTTTTCCAATTCCGTAATTAATTTATTCTGTAAATAATGCAATTTTAGGCAAATTTTTGATTTCAAAAATATAAATAAAGATATCATATATTTTATAATTACCCTTTCTCCTTGATCAGTAATATTTAACTGGATTAGACTAGTTAATGTATCAAAAACTTCATAGAAATATTCGTTACAAATGCTGCATAAACCGTCTAGGTCATTACAATAAACAAATTGTCCATTTGCCAATCGTGCCATAAATGATGTTCGTTTAATACCATCTGGGTAAGTTGCCTCAAATTTTTTCCAAAGAGCTTCTTTATTATCTTTTAAATACAGAGTCGGAAGATTTGTTTTTGAATGAACTTTATAGGAACTCATAGAAACATTATCTTTATCAGCAAAAAAAGCCTCAAATTCTTTATCTTTTACTTCTGGTATTCGGCTTCGGGTTACTATTGGTTTACTTATAGTAATACAACCAGGACCATTAGTACGTGAATATTTTCTTGCCGCGTTCATCAAATCGTTTGAAATCTAAAAAATTCAGTGTATCTTTGACAAAAGTAGTTTGTTTACAAAGAATTACTAAAAAAAATTCTTTTAAACCTACATTTAATTTTTCTTTTATTTCTTGACGCCCAAAATCATTGGCAATTACTGATAATATCCTTTGTTTGTCTTCTAAGCCACGTTTGTTTATTTTGATAGAAGTATCAAAACAATTCCAAAATTGATCAACTTTACTTTGAAGTTCTTGATTTTTTACTACCATTTCTGATTTTGATGGATCATATGGTATTCCATTCAGAAGATTTTTCGTATACAAATAAAGAATCAAAGCACCATCAGTCGTTGAATCTGCACACGTCCAAAATTCAAGCTATTGTATTGAGGTAAACTGTTAGCTTATGTTTATAATAATGTAATAATGCTTCCATCAATAATTAAAATACTTACGGGTGATTCTTTTTTTTTATAAGACGTTATATCAGTACATCCAACATATCGCATCATTGCTCTCCATGCTCCTAATACAACATTAGTAATTTCATAATTTACTGGATATATAGAAGAAAAATGTGAAGTAAATTCAATGATAGCAAAAAATTGATACCAGTTTATATTAATGACTGATATTCTTTTTTTTTAGATATTTTTCAAAGGTGTGCGTCATTATTTGAATATTATTCCAGTCACATGATTTGCAATATGACGTATTCATGTAAGTTTGAATGGCTTGTATAACGAGTTGATCACACAAACCAAATAATCAAAATTTTTCAAAATATTTAGTTTTGTCTAGACATCAGTTGGTATAAGTTTGAATATGTTTTCTTGATGATATATATCTATTTGACATCCAGTATTCACTATTGATTGGCATATTAGAGAGTATTGTCCATGATACTTATAATAAAAAGATGAACAATAACCAGGACCTGCAAATTCAATTCTGCTTGATCTGAACTACCCAATGTTGCCATGAAAACTTTAATACCGTGGATAATAATTTGCAATGGAAAAATTAAAACTTCAGCCTGTAATTGCTTGGTTATTATTTCATTATCAAAACCTAAAACACCTAATCCAGAAAAATGCGTTTTTACATTTATAAGTTTCATTTACTGCACTTGGTGTCAAGTATATTATAGCTTTCATGTCTGATTCACATATATAACCAGGTTTCCAATTATTATCAACTACTCGAATAATAAATTCAGCTTGGTTGAGCTCAAATTTTAACCTCATGTTAACGCGTATTGGAATACATGTCTGTTTTGTTTGAGCTGTTTTAGTTTTTATTCCAGTAAAAATCCATCAATTAACAGCAAAAGGACCATAGTGAAGTTTTTCAACAATATCACCAGAACTAGGAGTTGTCTTTTATGTTATTGGGTAGATATAAGAAATTGGAAACAGAAATTGAGGCGAAAAGCGTATTTTATTAATATTAATTAGTACAACGATTTTATATTAAAATATGATCAGGTAGTCCGATTGATTAGCGGATTGGCAATTAAAAATTTAATTTTTATATATTTTTGTATATAGTCACACTTCTTTATAATCACGGAAAATGGCTTGTCCCAAATGTATGACTATAAAGAGAGTTGACTGTAGTAATAAAATCAACAGTTTGTATAAAACCTACTTTTATTTAGAAAAAAAAATGTCATTTAAACGATAAAAAACTAGTGCAATTACAGTTCATACACAAGTTAAAGATTATAATGGAGTATTTCATGCTGATAATGGCTTACTTTTCTGTAATTATTATGACTTTTCAATAAAATGGAAACATAAATCAACAATAGATGTATACTGTGCAAGTAAAAGACATGATTTACAAAGAAAAATTTTCAAAACAAAGGAAAAAGCAAAAAGTCAGCAAACATTACAAACTACTTTACTTTCTATAAAATCAAAAAATGAAGTGATAGAAGATTTGATAGAAGCATTTGCTTTCTTTAGAGCAAACATTCCTTTAGAAAAAGTTAATATTTTACTTTCTTTTTTTAAAAAACATCTTAACAAAGGAGTTCAAGCACAAACTTTACATCAATTATATTTACCTAGAATTTTTAATAAACATGTCAATACTTTTAAATCAATTTTTGATTTTAAACCTGTTTGTATTATTATGAATGAAAGCAGCAATAATTGTGAATGAAGTGTAATTAATACTCTTTTTACATATCATTTACATACTAAATTAGTCTCAGTTGATTTTTTAGAGCAAGCTAATAACTAAACAATTGCACAGATACTTCTCCCTATATTACATTCTTACAATATACCTTTAAATTTTCCATGATTATTTCTTTCAGATTCTGCTGCATACATGAAAAAATGTTACCATTATGTTTTGAAACCAATTATGCTGCAATTGATACATCTTCCATACTCTGCACATATTTTAAATCTTATCAGGTAAAGTTTATTTTAAATTTAAATATTTGTATTGTTTATTAATTACAAATTTATTAATTACTATTAAATATAATTAATACAGGAAAACTTGGTGGGATTTTCCAAAATTTTCTCTTTTAAAAACATTTCTGATTAAAGTTAAGGATTCTTTTGTCAAGTATTTTGCACGAAAAGCTTAATATATAATTTATTTGTGTATGAATGGCATTACATCACCATGTAAAATTCCATTACTAAATAAAACTCAATGGAACAGTTAGTTCAAAATGGTCTTTTATACCTAAAGCATTTGTTCAAGATTTAGATTTTTTTCAGCAACAAAAAAAGCCAGTTTTCTATTTGTTGAAACAAGATTGGAAAATCTTACAGCTTATCTTGAATCAAACCTATGATGTACCATTTGAACAGGATCCTACTTATTTATAAGGTAGGTACTCCCAGGTTTAAGGTAAAAATTATATATAAAATTCTCTGCAGATCCTACTATAAAAGGAAATTTTATATTACATTGTTATGATTTTTTTCCTTTTTAGCTAATTAACCAATAGAATTTAAGAAAAAAGTAAGGTAAAAACAGAACCCCAGACATCACATATATAACTCATAACTGATCTGCATGAATTTAGCACTTTTTGCTCCTGCTAAAATAGACCTAATTTGCTAAAAATCAAATTATCACATTTTAAATCTATACTAATTTGCTAAAACTCAAAATATGAGTTATAGTAAAATTATAAATAATATAGGTTTAAATTTGCTTAACAAAATATAATTTCAGTTTATTAAAATTATTTGTAGATTGGTAAATTTAATTGTCAATTAACAATCAGCTTTTTTTTTATTATCAATAAAAAAATAAATAATTAATAACAATTGACTTTTTGCCAAAAAAGACCCTTTTTTATTTTCAGTTTTTTGCAATTATCTTGGCATCCAGTGATCTGATTCATGCGGATTTTTTTTTTATTTTGTAAAGCTCGATGAGAGCTACAAAACAAAAAAAATTTGCATAAATTGGACCACTGGATGCCAAGATAATCACAAAAAACGTGATTTTTTTTTTGAAATTTAGGCCAATTTGCTAAAAAGTTACTTTTTGAATTGTATATGTAATGTCTAAGGTCCTATATAAATTAAACTGTCAATTTTTATAATTTATAATTAAAAATATGTAGATTATAGATAAAATAATAATTAATAAAAATAATAAATTAAATATAAAAAATTATTAAAAAATAAAATGTTGCGAAACTAATCAGACGGTTTTTGGCCAGAATTATGCTTAATTTTGGCCAAAATATAACCCAGACCCCAAAACTAATATTTTTAAAAATATTATTTATAAAAGTTTAAAAAAAAGGATAAATTAAATTTAAAAAAAAGTACCAATTTGCTCAAATATAAAATATGACTTTGTAAAATCAACACAATTTGCTAAAACTCATAATTATGACTATTAATTAATTTTCAATCAATTTGCTCTATTTAAAATTATGAGTTTAACCTAATTTTGATTGAATTTGCTAAAACTCAAATGTGAGTTATATATGTGATATCCTAGTAAAGGGCCAATTTTCTACGGTAATCTTTATTATAAGTAACCCTATGAAAAGTTTTTATACTTAAAATATACTTAAAATTTTATTAAAATATACTTAAAATAAGTATCAATTTTAAATCACAATATACTTATAATATACCTAAAATGTATCTAAAATACTCTCAAAATATACTTTTAATGTACTTATTTTTTGCCCAAGTACTTAAATTATATTTAAAATATACTTAAATTAGAATTTAAGTACAATAATATAAGTGTATTTTTTACATATGGGCTGATTTGTCTACTCTGTATTAAAAAGAGTTATTGATCATATGGGCCGATTTGGCTCACTTCGATTATATCACCTGCAAAAATGATCAATGGTCAATCATTACTAATTTGTTTAATCACACATCACATTTATAACCAATCAATTTAATTTGATCTGTTTAATAATATGCGGCTCTGATACCAGCAAAAAATAACTGCCATGTGTACTTTTTTTTGTCTTTTATGTTCTAAAATTTATGATACAAGAAAAAAACTCCAAAATCATGAACAAAGCTATACATGCCACCCAAATTATTTTGGACTGCTGTAATTATAAGTAAAATCCCAAATTCAATTATGGCATCCCAAATTATTTTGGCACTTTATATAGTAAATTATATATAAACCGAATGAATTATGGCATCCCAAAATAATTTGAGCAGCATGTATAAATGAAGCAAACATAAAAACAATAAACTGATTTCACATCGTCACATGCTTTGTCAACCTTCTGATGAAACATTATCATTTTATCGAAATACAATAATAATTCGCCTGAAAAATAGTCTTGAGTTCAATAGACATGCAATTGGAAAGAAACACATAACAATAGATGCGTTTCCAGAAAGTGTATTTTATTTTTATTTGAAAATGAAGATAGTTTCAAGTATATACCAAGTCAACGAAAATATCAATGCATTTTTGAGAGTAGTACAGGTGCAGAAAAACTAAAAAGTATATTCAAATATAATGAAATTATATTTCGTGAAAATATAAATACTTTAACCCAAGGGTATATATTATTTGAGGATAATGATGGTCAATACAAAGCAACATTTAGTTGGAAACAGAAGTAGAAGGAAAACAATGAACTTTTTTTAACTGGAGCTATGTTAATTAATTTTATTACCAATTCTGACGAGTTTGTAAATTAATAAGTATACTGTATAATTTTAAAAGTTTTTGTTCAAATATTAAATTTATTTTATTATTTACAGCCAAGATCAAGAAAATATTGCGCCACCTCTTTATAAACCAACCTTTGATAGTAAACATAATTTGCATACAATATATAATAATTCCTGTAATGTGCCTTCTTTTCATCCTAATTTTTCACAATCAAATAACACAATTTCATCAATAAATATTGAGCCTGTCTCTTATACACATCTTGAGCCAACAACTATTACTAAATCATGCTATAGATATATTTTACCTTGCCCTCCAATTATATAAATTTTTAAATAAAATAAATAAAATGCTTTTATTACTATATAGTAATGTTTTTATACATTATTTCATTGGGAATATTATTAATCAAATAAAAAATTTGGCGATTTTCAAATACTAATATATCATAAACAAACAGGAAGTTTTTTTTTACCTCCTCCCATAGTAGTTCCTCTAAAAAACAATTTAACCTAATAAGTAATAAATGAATAATAAAATTAGTGAGAATGAATAATATTCATATAAAATTAATAAAATCAAATACCTGATTATGATTTTTTTTTTCAATACTACTTGTTGAAAATAATCTAAGTGAAAGTCCCTTTTCTTTTAATTGACGCATACAATAAGGAATATATTGTAAGTATGTGCATGTAAGGTGTAACATCTTCTTTTCTATAAAGTCCTGGAATTAATGTTGCAGAATTCATTTGGCCTATAGTAGGCTGGCAGAAAGTTCTTACCCAATTTTTAACATCATCTTCAAATTTTGAAATTTCTTCTTCAGTGTAAAATGGTTTTTTTAAAACTTTATACAATTGATAAAATTTACGCCATAAAATTTCAATATCCACTCCATCATCGGGAAATTTTTTGGGGAGCAGATCTGCGCAGATTTTCAGAAATTATATCTGCGCAGATCTTATACCCTGGCACAAAACATTAAAGGAAAAATCCAATAAAAAACTGCGCAGATTTTAAAAATAACAAAGTTCTGCGCAGATTTTTAAATAAAAAACCTTCGAAATACCTCAGCAATTTTTTTCGGTAAAAATCTGCATCACAATAATACAAATTAATTTATTGCATTAATTACTACTAATTTATTTATATAATCAAAATTACTTTTTTATTATTATTATATATTAACAAGTTTACAAATACAATTGAAATCTATTACTAGTCATTGCTATTTATCATCTCTTTACTGCACATTTACATGTTGTTAATGGTTTGGACATTGTTCCAGTTGGTTCGATTCCAACAAACAACAAAATAAAATAGAAAATCAGAGATGTTTGTTAGAAATAAGAAAATCATTTCAAAGTTATTACTTTCGAAATGTTTGACACGAAATCTCAGGATCTAAAAAATAAAGTAAAATGAACGTTAGTAGAACGTTCGTTAAAGAAGAAAAAAAAAAAAAATTATAAAGAATTTTGAAGATATACCTTCAAATTCTTTCGTCCAGGAGCCAGAGAAAAAAACCCTACAGAAAAAAACAACTGAAACGTTAGTAAACATTTCGCAAATTAAAAAACATGAAAGAATTTCGAAGGAATTTTACCTTCGAAATTCCATCCAGAAGCCGTAAACCTGCAAAAAGTAAAAAGAAAAGACAAACGAAACGTTAGTAAATGTTTCGTTAAACATTAAAAAAAAATTAATTTTAAAGGTAAATACCTTCGAAATCCTGAAAAAATCTCCAAGTCTGGTTCGTCTAAAGAAGCCCAGCGTCCCTATATAAAGAAGAAAGAACGTTAGAAACGTTCTTTGAAAAAAAAAATAAATTTTAAAGTTTCGCAACGAGAGTTGCGAAACTTACCATTTACTCGTTTCGGGAACCTTGGAGTACCGAAACCTACAACAAAAAAGAAAAATGAAACGTTAGCTAACGTTTCGTTTAAATAAAAACAAAAAAAACAGAATTTTGAAGGTTACCTTAAAAATTCTGTTCAGGAGCGTTCAGAAAACCGTGTTCCTACAAAATACAAAAATGAACGTTAGAAAACGCTTCGTTAAGTATAATTATTAAAAAAAAATTTTTTCGAAGGTTTCACCTTCGATATGGGAGACCGAACTCATTTTCAGCTTCCTTTACCTAAAAAAAATAAAATACGAACGTTAGTTAACGTTTGTTTAAATAAAAAATAAAATAAAATTTCGAAGGTTTTACCTTCGATATGGGAGCCCGGAATTCGTTTTTGGATTCCCTTGCCTAAAAAAAAAGGAAATACGAACGTTAGTTACGTTCGTCAATAAATTAAAAAAAAAAAAATTTTTTTTTACGAAGATTTTACCTTCGTATGGGAAAACCTTCGTATGGGAGTCCAAGTTTTTGGCTTCCTTTATCTAAAAAAAAAAGGAAATACGAACGTTAGTTACGTTCGTCAATAAATAAAAAAGAAAAAAAAATTTCGAAGGTTTTACCTTCGATATGGGAGTCCGGAACTCATTTTCGGATTCCCTTGCCTAAAAAAAAAGAAACACGAACATTAGTTAACGTTCGTTAATAAAAATATTAAAAAAAATTAATTTTTTCGAAGGGTCTTACCTTCGATATGGGAATCCAGAACTTGTTTCAGATTCCTTTGCCTAAAAAAAAAGAGACGAAATATTAGAAACGTTTCATCAATAAATTAATTAAAAAAAAAATTAATTTTCGAAGGTTTGTTTTACCTTCGATATGGAAGTCCAGAACTTATTTCAGCTTCCTTTACCTGAAAAAAAAGAAACGAAATGTTATAAACTGAACGTTTCGTTAATAAATTAATTAAAAGAAATAATTTGAAAGTTTTACCTTCAAACAGAACTTTCAAATGGGTCTGGAACATACTTTCAGCATTCTGGACCTATAAAATACAAAAATGAACGTAACTAACGTTCGTTAAAGTTAAATTATAAAAAAAAAAAATATTTCGAAGATTTTTACCTTCGAAATAAACGTCTGGAGCCATTCTTCGGCGTCCAGGACTTATAAATATAAAAACGAACGTTAATTAACGTTCGTTAAATAAAAATATAAAAAAAAATTTGAAGGTAAAACCTTTACATTCGAAATAAGAATTCGGAGTCGTTCTTCGGCGCCCAGGACCTAAAAACATGAAAAATGAACGTTAATTAACGTTCGTTAAAATAAAATTAAAAGAAATATTTTGAAGGTAAACTTTACCTTTGAAATAAACGTCCGGAGCTGTTCTTCGGCGCCCAGGACCTAAAAACATGAAAAACAAACGTTAATTAACGTTCATTAAAATAAAATTAAAAAAAATATTTCGAAGGTAAACTTTACCTTCGAAATAAACGTCTGGAGCCGTTCTTTGGCGCCCAGGACCTATAAAATGTAAAAACGAACGTTAATTAACGTTCCTTAAAATAAAATTAAAAAAATATTTCGAAGGAAAACTTTACCTTCGAAATAAACGTCCAGGGCCATTCTTTGGTGTCCAGGACCTATAAAACGTAAAAACGAACGTTAGCGACGTTCGTTAAACAAAAATATAAAAAAAAATTTTGAAGGTAAAGGTTTTACCTTTGAAATAAGAGTCTGGAGCCGTTCTTTGGCGTCTAGGATAAGAAAATAATAAACCGAACGTTGGACAACGTCCGGTATATAAAAAATATTAGTTTCGAAGTTTTACCTTCGAAATAGAGTCCAGAACTGGTACTTTCAGCGCTCTGGACTTACAAAAAAAAAAAATAAAACGAACTTTAGCTAATGT